CATAAAAGCACAGACTGGTCCGAGTAATTTTGGAACACCTTTTGGAGCAGGGGGGAGGGGGCTAGTGGGACATATTAAACTAACAACGTGCACATGCATCCAAACGCTGACAGTGTTCGGCTACGTTAGCCTAGTGCTGCGTCATAAACACGCGCAAATAATTCACATTGTACTCATGGGTTTAGTTCTCAACTTCACCGCTGGGGGCACGACGGTTGAACCTATTCCTCAAAGGAATCTCAGACCACTCCTCGAAGTACGTGGCGGGTCTGAAATCACCCCGACCTTTAAAGGGATAGTGCAACGATTTTAATGTTAAAAGAATTTGCAGTTTGTATTTTTTTATATTGTATATCTAGGCACAAGTGACAAAAACGCCCCAGAATCTTGCCCCAGAAAACTGCTATTCCTCTGCGTAATCGCAATCTGCACCTGCGTGTGGCGGTTACGGGAACCTGGGAAACACGTGGAAGTCAACGAAACCTCTCCCCCTCCGCCGCTACACTTGCCGTAAGCCACGTGACGAACCGTCTTATGTGGGAATCGCTCGCCGCGACCTTCGCGAGAGAACCCAACGGGAAAACAAGTGCCCCCCCCCCCCCCCCCCTCTCCCTAGAGCATGTCACTCGATAAAAGAGGCACCTTTCAAATGATTCGTCCGTCTTATGTCAAAAAGCAGTGGATTGTCAAAAGTGTTTTGAGTGGCACACACTACAAAAATGACAGGACATCGCTGGAAGACTAACAGAGGCCAATGAAGGTCTTGCTAAGAATGTTATATTGCAAGCTAGGGCTGTAACGTAAACAGCTAAGAAGTTACTTTTAATTTTTTCAGTACGCACCACGCTCGTGTGCTACGTCCTGCTCTGGAGGAGTGCTTTCTCCTTAGCACGCCACTGCACTGCGGCGAAGCAAGATACGCAAAATCGCGATATCTACACTGCGGTTCTCGCTTTACTAGAGTGCACCAGTGTGCGATGATAAGTGCACTCAACGAAGCTCCTAACCCATTAAAAAAGAGCACAAACATGAGTGAAAAAAAAAATTGCGACTTCCGAGTAATGTTGGTTTGATAGAGATCAAATCAAGTAGTACACACAGTAATGAGTGGCATTTGAGCTTTGTAAAAAGCTCAAAACCTGCTTCTTATGGCAGGTTTTGTAGCAGAGAAAATATTGATTTGGAGTAGCCACTGAGACTTTTGGAGCAGATGCCAACATTGTTAGGACCAATAACGTAACCAAGATTTTTTTTTTTTTTTTTTTTTTTTTGGGGGGGGGGGTGTTTAGGTGGCTGGGGACGTTTATGAATTGGGGTGCGAAGGAGCGGGGGGGGGGGGGGATACAGGGGGTCAAAGTGCATGTGTATATTACAGGGTCAGTTGGATTTCGGGGCCGGGGGGGGGGGGGGGGTGTTGAAGTTGCCTCCCCCCCCTGGATTCACCATTAAAGGGATACTACAACGAAATTTCGGCGCTCATTTTTTGGTCTATATGTGTTCGAAGGAGCAGTACCACATCGAACATAGCAATATCTTGTTAAAAAAAAGTCTCAAAACGAAATTTTAAAACGAGTTAAACGATTAGCAAAGAGCACCTGGTGGATGTCGCTAACGCCTCGCTTGTAATGCCCGTCTAGGAACCTTGACAGCTAGTGACGGTGAGTAGGGAGTTTTCGTAGATCGTTTTCGCCGTCCCGCAAGGCCGTCCGCAACCCGCTAGGACAGCGGGAACTCCACAGTCAAGGCTATCGGCGCGCAGGCGCAGTAGCAACTTTTTCGTTGCGGAACGCTTAGCGGAGGGGGGCAGCGCGGTCTACGAAAACTCCCTAATAGGGAGTTTTCGTAGATCGTTTTCGCCGTCCCGCAAGGCCCTCCGCAACCCGCTACGATAGCGGGAACTCCACAGTCAAGGCTATCGGCGCGCAGGCGCAGTAGCAACTTCTTCGTTGCGGAACGCTTAGCGGGGGGGGGCAGCGCGGTCTACGAAAACAGCGGTCTACGAAAACTCCCTAATAGGGAGTTTTCGTAGACCGCGCTTAGCGGAGGGGGCAGCGCGGTCTACGAAAACAGCGGTCTACGAAAACTCCCTAATAGGGAGTTTTCGTAGACCACGCTGCCCCCTCCGCTAAGCGTTCCGCAACGAAGATGTTGCTACTGCGCCTGCGCGCCGATAGCCTTGACTGTGGAGTTCCCGCTATCGTAGCGGCTTGCGGAGGGCCTTGCGGGACGGCGACAACGATCTACGAAAACTCCCTAATGTCTCGCCTCCGGCCACGACGAGAGAAGAAGGGAAGGAGGAACTCCCCTCTTCACGAGAATGCCCTCTGTGTGTCGTAGAAGTCGCTATTGTCCCCCTACAAGATTATAGAAGATTATCCCGTCACTCAAAATTCGTACAAAAGCAGCCGCTTCGGTGGCTGGAACGACTCAGAGCTCTGGAACGACTACGCTATCCTCTCGACGTCAGCCTCGCCGTAGCTTTGCTCGTCCCGAAACGCCTACGTCACGATTGCATTGGATGTCACGTGGTCTCCGCTGGGCCTTCTCTGAGCGCTTGCCAACAGTGGGCCGTTTATAACGAAAAATGCAGCCACCAGGCTCAAAATACAAACGTGCGAGTGTCATTTACGGATATAGTGGATCATATTCAACCTATTTTTGAACACGACGGGAATATTTCAAATTTCGTTGAAGTATTCCTTTAACTAAGACATCACTTGAAAATGGAAAAAATATTCAATCGATCGCTAAATTGGTTTATCTTTGATAATGACTAAAGTTACCTCTCTAATACTAAAGCATATTAGTTTACTTTTCCTAACAAGTATAGATATGACGCAAAAAGAACGCAGCCTTCTTTTTTTGAAAAGGGCTCAGGTCAGAGTAGGTTCCACTCACTTTGGGTATTAAAAAAGCGAGTTAAAAATCAAGCAGAGCAACACATCATGGGATAAAGCATCTCTGCCCCTTCCCATTTTACAGGTTTACTTAGCCTATTATTGACGTAAAATGCCAACAAAACCAGTACATTCAATAAAGTGCATCTATCAATAAACTACATCCCCCAAGTTTTATGAACCTACTAAGCTCAAGATTTCAACATCAAACTGCAAAAACAACCACCCACAAATATCGTAAAAATCTACAGTTCTGCTTTGAAATCTACAGTACTGCAATTTGCCGGCGTTGGAACCAGAGTCGAGTCAAAGTTTGCTATCCTCAAGTACTCCACGAGGATTTCCTTGATCAACGTGTTTTAATGTAGACCCGCACATTAGTTTCCCCTTTCTCCAAAGGTTGACCTGCAATAGCATTCAGCATAATTTCCGAGCCAATAGAGCTAACCCAGACCCCCCCCCCCCCCCCCCCCCCCCCCCCTCCCCCGCGACAGCCGCTGCTCCTAGTAACTCTGGTGCGAAGCGGAGAAGCTCGACACACGCTTAGTGGTGCGAGGCAGTGAACGTTGGACGCGACCGGTAAAAGAGAAAGGGAAGTGTTGAAAAGAAAGGAAGCCTTCGAGCGGTGCAAGCGTCACAGTACAATGATCCAATGATCTCTAGAGTAAAATAGCCTGGTTTTGTATTACCATGACAACCGCCACCCCACTATTTTGCAAAATTTTCTCTCGACTTTAGGCTTCGTGCATCGCCAACATCGTCTGGAAGTTAGAGCAATGACATGGCCAGCGCAAATGACGAGCAATCTCTATACTACTTTGTTTAATTTGAAGTCAAGGTGCAGCCGTCACTACGAGCCAATGGGAACAATCAAACAGCGTCAAAAGAATGACATCATGCTATTTGTCAGCACTCGGTATGCATTCATTTATCGGCTAAAGCAATCAAGCGAAGGAAATGTCCCGTGGCTTGTGCTTTTAGGACGAGTCTTCGTGGTTGTAGGTGTTCGAGCCTTCAACTGACTCATGATAAAACACTGTACGGAAAGTAAAAAAAAAAAAAAAAAAAAAGTCTGAAGAACACATGAGCACCATTTTCCTTTCCTCCTGCTAGTCTGAATATTAGGACAGACCAATAAATATTTTCATTTTCTTCGCCCAAGCTTATGTTGCTGCAAGCGTGGCACAATTCTTAGCAAAAATGGCATTTTGGCACGAGGCGTAGCAGAATTTCATTCATGCAACAGCCCTTCCATCACCGACATTATTAAAGGCGATAATCAAAAGTTCCGAAAAGTCTGACTGGACTCCCGTAATGATCCGGCCATGTAGCGGGGCCTCAGCCATTATATTTTCAGTATTAACCCCTTGCCTACCCAAACAAAGGGTCACTCGTACCACCCTTTACGGACCATAGCCCGATCTTGAGCGAGACTCTTGTTTCGATTTCGGCACTCGTTTAATGTGCTCTCTGGCAGGTGGCAGCACCATCCTTGTCGCTCCACTTACCTTAGGTTGTTTGCTCGTTTGTGCTGCTGTTTGACAGAGAGAGGGCATTCCATTGAGCCACGAAAAAAAAAGAGCGCGCTGGGCAAGCATTTGCACCAAAACGATATGGCTTCGGCGCAGGGGACCGCTTTAGCAGACGAAGAGATCAAAAAACTTTCCGCAACACATCGCACCTATTGAGGACCTGACAGGGGCATGCAAAGTATGCACATTCAAGAAATCAAGTGAAATAACATGGGAACGTGGACAGTGAAAGGCGGCTCTCCACCTTCCTGAATGTTTTCAATGCTATCACACTGAAGAACTGCTGAAGAGGATTAGAAGTCCTGATTTAGAGCAAGATACCACACCTGAAAGTCAAGGAACACTTTTGTCTTATTTTGATACAAATTTCCTGCTTACATTCCTTGAATTTGGCAAAATGTAGCAGGATGTGCAGCGCACTTCGGTGCAGCAATCGCATTATTGAAAGCACGGTGCATTTAGATCAGCATGCCAAACAGCTTGATGAAACACCACGAGACACCAAACCAGAAAGCACACAAAGTCAATTCCAAGCCCAATTCCGAAAAGAAAGACACAGACCACCGGGAGGTAAATAGAAAGAGCCAGTGTATTCCTCGGTTCAAATACACCACTTTCCTCAACGACCCCAGAGCTGAAAACTCCCCCTCTCGTCCAAGTTCCGCAGAGGACCTTCGTCACCAAAGAACGCTTATATTTATAGTATATATAAAACTTCCCCTCATTCACACCATCTCCTATGGACACAGAGCTTAATCCAGCAGCAGCACACAAACGAGGAAAGAACAAAAAAAAAAAAAAAAGGCCTGTCGACGAAAGGAACTAATACTGTACAAGAATGAGAGACAGGTAAAGCAACGAAAGTTAATCCTAGGAAAAAAAAAAAAGAAGGCAACGGAGGAGAGAGCTAGCCGAAGGTAGTAGTCGTCCTGGTAGTATAGTCCCGTCTGTACACATCACAACAGGGGTTGACGGCGGCTGCAAAGAATCCTCAGGCAAAGCCAAACCCTTCAGTGCACTCTTGAATGGCCTTGAGTAGCATGGTGCGAAGCTTGTCGTAGGTCTCGTACGCTGGAAGGTCCAACTGGTTAAAACTGCAACAAGAAAATAACATTTTTTTAACGTCAATGAAACTATGTGGAATACATAAATAATTCTTTTATAACCCCACAAGGAACTAACTGGTGAAAATACACTGCCTCGTGTAACAATATCTGTTTCAGTTTTATATGACTCTGACATAGTACACAGAAACCATGGACCTGGTACACAGGAACTGACGCCAAGAGACCAGACGCCCCAGAGGCAAGACGCCCAAGATACCAGACACCCTAAAGATTAGGGACCAGACACCTAAAAGACCAGAGGCCAGACGTCCAAGAGATCAGACACACACACACACACACAAGCCCAAACATGCATGAGACCAGACATGCGTGCGACCAGACTCCCAAAAGCCCAGATGCCCAGACGCCCATGAGCCCAGACGCCCATGAGCCCAGACGCCCATGAGCCCAGACGCCCATGAGCCCAGACGCCCAAGAGCCCAGACGCCCAAGAGCCCAGACGCCCAAGAGCCCAGACGCCCAACATCCCAGAGACCAAGCTAAGCCCCATGATGCACTCCTTAGATTCACAAGCCAGAAACTGGGAGTGGACTCACCAAGTGTGGGCGGACGGCAGACGGTCCGTAGAGCGGTCGTCCCTGTGGATCTGGAAGCGCTGGACCCCGTTCATGCCCTCAAGGGCCACAAACCCTTGCAGGGGCACCTTGGACGTGCCCGTCACAAACTGGAGGAACTTGGCACGATCCGCCTGGTCCAGAGAGCGCAGGGCCCTCCAGAACCATTGGATCTGCAGGGAGTTGGGCTGGTACTTGTGGTACTCCGTGTGGGCCCGGAGATCATCCACATCGATGCTGGGCAGCCCCGAGATGAGCAGCTCCAGTTCCTGCTCGTTGAAGATGGCAATGAGCCTCTTGGGGATGATCTCGTAGAAGCCCTCCAGGAAGGCATTGAGCTGGCGCCTGATGGCCCCCGTCATTTTCTCCTGGCAGACAAGGCGCACATACTCCTGTGTCGTCTCTTCCGTCACCGGGAGGTGGCGGCCCCCCGGCTTGAGGTCCCGGACCTCCGTTACCCCAAACTCCTGCACCTCCACGCTGAAGGTAAGCTCGTAGCCCAGAGCCCGCACCCCGTGCTCCAGCAGGAACACCAAACCCTGGTAGAAGGAGTAGTCCTCGCTTTCCATGTCCGTGTACTTGACCGGTTTGCCCAGGATGTGCTTGTAGAAGGAGCGCGTGAAGTAGCATTCGAGCAGCTTGTTGTCGTACACCGCCTTGGCAATGACCCGCCCCACAAACTTGAAGTAGGACAGGTGGTTCGAGTTGCAGTGCGACGCCGGGTTGATCATGTACGTGACCCTGTCGCCCGGCGACGTGGTGAACAAGGCGTACATCGGGTTGAAGATCTCGCGGGAGATGATGGTGTACCACTCCCGCAGCAGACCTCCGGCATCCTGGCCCTCCTCGCCCTCGAACACAATGTAGAAGCGGTTCTTCCACTCCTCCGGCGGCCGGCGATGCAGTTCCCGGAAAGAGTCCTCAAAGACGTGCTCGCGGCGCACGTGCACCGCCAGGTCTTCCCGGCGCGAGCCCTCATCGAGGCGCTCGAGCTCATGGCGGAAGTAGCGCCGCTTGACGTCGAAGTCGAGGACCCGCGTGTGGTCCACCAGCACTGCAAAGGGCCCGTCTGCCAGAGGCGTGCTCGATTGACGAAGGATCTGGTTGAGCACCTGGGTAGGCAGAAGGAAGGCGTTGGCACAGAGACCATCAGCCGCTCAAATTGACGAACCAAGCATACAAATTGGCGTTTATGGCATTTAGAACTTTCGCAGGCCGCGTTCGGAGGGTGCGAGGTGCCAAAGAGTCTCACCGTGCGGTGCGTCTCTGCAAAGCCCAGGAACTTCTGCACGTCCGGCTGAAGGAACTCCGACCCCTGGGCACCACCCGCGGCCCCGCCGGACGCCTGCGCGTTCTGGTTGTCCTGCAGGGGCAGGGGCGACAGGGGCGCCATTTCTTGGTGGATGTGGGCCAGCTGGGTCTCCCGGCTCTCTGAGCGGTACTCCCGGCGTCTGGCCGCTTCCCGCGAGCTTCCGCTGATGCCGGGGACGCTGGTGCTGCCGGGCGGCACGCTGGCATGCACCAGGAAGAAGGCCTCCACAGCGGGCTGCAGAACCTGCGAATGCAGACACAGCGGGTACCCGGAGTTTAAGAGCGGGAAATGTTTGAAGACATGTCCTCAAAAACCTGCCCCTGGACAGCCACACCCAAACCGAGTGCACATTCTCCATAATGGCCTGTAATAACCCAAGAAAGGACCCATCAACCCAAAGGACCTATACACGTTGGCCCAATGGTACTCACCAGGACAGCATGTTGGTCCTGGGTTTCAGCCAGTTCCAGGAGGCAGTCACTCAGTGTGCTCCAGAGGGCATCCAACCGAAGCTCCTCGCTGAGCGGCGGAGGTTCGTCGGCAGCGTCCGGTGGCAAAGAGCCTGCCCTCGTTGGAGTTGAGGACATCACTGGCAACATGTGCTGACTTCCTCCTGCCCCCACAGCAGCAGCTGCCCCTGGACGAGAGTAAAGTATGTTCTTCATGTTAGATGCTGAATTATTTCTACGAAGGCAAGGCCACCGCAAACCTGCGCGACTAGACTACGACTCGTCCGCACTGGTGATGCCAGTCCCGTCGTCATCACTGCTACGTTCTCGAAGCACGTTGTCGGCGTCGTCCAATAAAATCTCACACTTCGCAAATGGCAGGATCAACCGCATCTTCCGCGCTTGCTCAGCGATCGCGTTGGACGTCACGGGTAGGGACCGATTGCGCACGTTTGCGGCGTACGTTGCAAGCCTGAACTCCAACTCCGGAAGGCACCCCCACCTATCCAGACTTTGGCCTGCGGAAGCTTCTTCGTTTGCCATCACACTTTAAGATTCCGCGCCACCACAGACTCCACTGAAGCATCACCCACTCCGACGGGTCGAACTTGCGTCCAACAGCGCAGTTGTTCGTTGCTTCTGAGTGAAGAACGGCGATAAACAAGCACCGAAAACCTAAACTGCCAGGATCACGCGTTTCAATACAAATGAACATAGTTAGTGCACCAGCATGATCTCGTACCCGATCAAACGATGTGCGACCGTGAATCATGCGAAAAACTGCGAAGAGAAGCCGCGGCGTCGCGGGGTGAGCGAGCCAAGTCAGGCTATTCCAGTGGCCTCCGGAGTGGCTCTTACGAGAAGTGCCGTCACCCCCCGGGAGTTGGCCGCTCCATGCTCTGTTCACCGCCGTGCATTCGGGTTATTTTGCGAATCGCTCGTAATACTCGTTCGCGCAAATAAAAAATAATTAATTTGTAAAATAAGCGCACAAAACAGTGTAATGCTCGTGGTACAGCCGGCTGAACTCGTAACGAGCCGAGGTGTCCATGATATCGCAATTGTTTCGTTTTTGCCGGCGGTGGAATGCTTTGGCTCGATTATAAGTCGACCCCCCCACTTCAGATTTTCAAAAATTGAAAAAAGGGTCGACCTACATTCGTGTAAATACGGTACGTGTTATCATGCGATGTGACCTGCAAGAGGAACTGTGGCCTACTTTAGTAAAATTTAGAACATAGACATGGTGTTAGTAGCCATGCTCACCTGCTCCATCTACATCCATGTGGTTGGCATTGGACTGCACAGCACAAGGGGCGTTCTCCAGGCGCGGTGTGCTGGCCATCGAACCTGTGGACGTAGAGAGGGCCAGGGGCTCCGCCGAGGCCGTGGGAAGTTCGCAAGCTCCGGAGACTGTCGGTACAAGAGACAAGCGGAAGCAGGAAAGTATATTAGCCCAGGATCCTAACCCTTTAACCCACCGTTCGGCGCTAGGGCAGTTTTAACGAGTTCCAGCTTGAGTTCCAAGCACCACATTAATCTGGCAATGTCACCTGAACTTGACAAAGCCGTGAGCAGCAAGCAAAAATGGTTTATACAGTCTAAGCTCATTATAACAGACTTGGTTACAACAGACATTCGGAAATAACATACCGATTTGTGAAGTTCGGTTGGTTTTCCTCTTTGCACCATTGACTCAACTTCATATCTGCATACAACATACTCCTTTTACAACAGACCGAAATCTTGGTCAAAATCAAGGTCTGTTATAACGAGCTTAGACTGTAGTCCCCTCTCATGAAACACATTTGTATACAAGCAGAGGCTGTTTTGGAAAGAAAAAATGCTGTGATTTATTTGTTTTTACATTAGACAGCTGTCACAAGCAAACTTTCACAATAAACATAAAGTCAACCAAATTAATAGTGTTCATAAAGTTGTCTTGTCCTACAAGAAACTACGTAAACAAGCGAAAGAAATTGACATCAAATAAAACCCCTCATCACTAATGGTCGCCAAACCATTATTGCCAAACCAAACCTGCCAAATTAAAATTACACAAGCACTAAGAAGAATGCTTGAAACATGGGTACACATGCTTGAATCATTTGTTTGAAATATTTTGAGTAAACAACCAAAATAACCCACTAACAAAAGCATGTGCCATTTCTTTGAGGTTTATGTTTTAGAACAGATGCTGCTCCAGGCACCAGGATAAGTAACTATGCTCTCAGCATGCTCATCGAATAATTTAGCAAAAGGTCTATAGATCACAGTTCCTGCCCATCACACAGACAGTTGTACAGAATCTGTAGCGGAGCATGGTGAAGCAAATGCACTCACGCCTGCGCCGCCGTGCCTGGTAGTGGCTCTGTGCGGCCTCCCTGAGCTGGATGACCACCTTGAGCACGCGCAGGAAGAAGGCCTGGGAGGACATCTTGGAGGTGAGGGCGGCCATCGAGGGCAGCTGCAGTTCCCGCCCTGCCCCGGCTTTGGGCACACGACCAGCCGCACCCGCCGCTCCGCCAATCACGCCCCCGGGGCCGCCGGCACCAGGCAGCGGTGCCCCCGGTGCGGTGATCACCACCGTCGAGTGGGTGAAGCGGTCCTGGATTGTGCCAGCCGCCACCCTTGAACCTGCAAGACAGAAGCCAAAATCAGATACAACATTGTCCAACAAAACAAAAAAGAAAGAAGGACAAGGTTAATTGTTAGAGTTGCTAGTCAGCAGATGAAAATGTGCTCTTCACTTTCAATCCCTTTCATTCCCAATAGTGGCCAAAATGCAACCGGTCAGAACAAAGCGCCAACCCACGCACGTGCCTTGACAAAATTCTATAGATCAAGGAGCTTTAGACTCAATTGTGTGCCATCTGGACCCAAGTTAGAAATAAACGTTTACACAGCATTTGCATTTGTTTGCTGTGTTGCATCGTACGGACGTCTCAAACACGTAGACCTCGCATCATCCGCTTGGGGTGCCTCGTTGCCTTTTTCCTTCATCGGTGACAACAAGGCCACCATTAGTATGGCACCGATGCCATCCCTCAGACGACGATAGCGGTCGAAGTGACCAGACCGAATTTCGGGAAGAACAAACAGAAATTCCCTAAGCAAGCCAGAAAAAATTGGCTGTATATTTGACATTTCCCAAAAGTGTCCTCAATGTGTGGCGTTAAAGACACCTTTTACCCACGTCTACCCAAAAACGCAGTCTGTCACACAGATTACACGCAGCGCCGAATGGACTGTCCATGAAATGGCACTTCGACTGCCGGTCGGACGCTGATGTAACGACCACGGGCTTCCAGTTGTATGCTAAGCCCGGTGCTCTCGTTTTGCGGTCGTATCCCTCGCTCCTCCCTCTTACCCCGCGGCACCCACCGTTGTCGTTTTTGCACCGCTTTGGTAATGTGAAGGAATGTAATGCGAGAGCAATAACCTTCACATTACAACTAGTCTGCTTTGCCGCCGCTGAGCGCACACCGAGGAAAGTCTGTGTCCCAAGAGCAGTCGCCTGCACACTATCGAGGGTACTGTATTTACACAAATGTAGGTCGACCCACTTTTAAGATTTTTTTAAAAATCTGAAGTGGGGGGGGAGGGTCGACTTATAATCGAACCAAACCATTTCACCACCGACAAAATCTAAACAATAACAATATTACAAACACCTCGGCTTGCTACGAGCTCAGCCGGATGTACCTGAAGCATTGCACCATTCAATGTGCTGAATTTACAAGATTTTTTTTTTTTTTTTTATCTGCACGAGCATTTTTGATAGCGATTCGCAAATCAGCTTAAATGTACGGCAATGAATGACACACGGCGTGCCTGACTCCCAGGGGTCGCGGCACTTGATGTAAGAGCCACTACGGAATAGCTGCTAGAACAGCCTCACTTGCCGCTGCTTTTTGCACGATTCACAATTGCACATCGTTTGATCGGGTGTAGAGGTCGTGCTGGGGTGCCAACTATGTTTCTCTGTATTGACACTAGGCATGGGCGAATAGAGGATTTTGGGTCCGAATCGAATTCGAAGCGAATAGTGATTTTGACCGAATAACTTCAAATCTAATAGTTCGAATAGTACAAGCAACAAATACCACAATATATGTTTAAGCTATAGTTTTATATTTGCCCTTATTTGGTATTAGAAGTACTGTAATTGTTAATTTCAAGTGCATCGAGTTCGGGAGCACGAAATGGTCAAAATGGTCGGAAGCTTGCGCCACCTGGCTGGAAATCCAAGCCAGAGTAAGTCAAACCCGTTTATATCGAACTCGCAAAAAAAGTCTACCAGTTGGATATAGCGGGTAATTTGATATGAAAGTTTTAATGAATTTGACACTCGAAAATCCACTTTCTGCTGAAATATTACACAATGAAGTAGTCTTGCATCTTCAGCTGCTTTTTCTTCACTGCATCCGCGATAACAACATTTTTCTACGCTATCGACGGACTCCAAAATGCTGAGGCCGCTGCCTTCTATATTCGCGCATTAGCGCCGAACTATGCCGAGAGCACGGGGAACGTCCAAGCAGGAGCACCTTCTCCTGCAGAGCACCGTTTTGCTCTGCAAGTTGGCTTTCCCCTAGAACAGGGTGGGGTGGCTCGTTGGGGGAAGCCAACTAACAAAACAAGCTGTTTTTTTTTTTTTTTTTTTGGCGGCCGCGTCAATTGTTTGGAAGATAAAAAATATTCTCTTTTGCGGACGGAGCGGGGAGAGGGAGCCACGGAGCACCCTCTCTCCACTAGCTATATTTCCTCTCCTGGTCGACGCGGCCGCCCGGGAAAAAAGAAAAAAAAAAAGCCAGCGTGCTCTGCAAGCTGGTTTTCTCCCAATCGGTCGCTCGCGTTGGGGGAAGCCAGCTTGCAGAGCAAAACGGCGTTCTTGGCAATTCAATATATCGGTAGCGGCTGCTATTTTTGTTCGATGCAACCATAGTTTTTGCTATATATTATCACTGTAACATTACTGTACACAAAAATTTCTCAATATAAGGAATAATTCAATGTAAACGGGTTCGATATAGTCGGGTTTCACTGTATTTAGAAAGGTTGAATAATCCATTATTGTCGAATAATCCTATATTGTCGAATAATTCGATATTGTCGAATAATTCAATATTGTCGAATAATTCAATATTGTCGAATAATTCAATATTGTTGAATAATTCAATATTGTTGAATACTAAAATTCGATTCAAAGCGAATGCCGAATAGAACAGAATTCAATTGGCTATTCGTAATAACTGAATATTCACCCATCCCTAATTGACACGCATGATTCGGGCAGTTTAGGTTTTTTTGGTGCTCGTTCAATCAAAAGCAACGGACAACCACGCCGCCGAATGAAAGTTTGACCCGTCAGAGCAGGTGGTGCTCCAGTGGCATCTGCAACTAAGTAGTATCCTAACTGCGACGGCAAACAAAGAGGCTTTCGCGGGTCAAAGACTGCATGCTTTCTGGGGCTAGGTCAGGCTCGCAACGTACGTCGCAGAACTGCGCGATCGGTGCTTACCCGTGATGTGCAACGCGATGACCGAGCAAGCACGCAACATGCGGTTCTTACAATCATTTGCGAAGTGAGAGATTCCGTTGGACGACGCTGGTGACATTCTTCGAGAACGCAGCAGTGATGACAACGGGAACAACAGCATCGGTGCAGACGAGTCGTAGTCTCTAGTCGCAGACGAAGTGAAAAGGACGGGGAGCAGCTTCACTTTTCCTGGCTCCAGCGTGAGCTTCCTAGTTTCAATAACGCCTGGACATCTCGTGCGTCTCGTGCGTGCATGCACAGCCAGAGCATGCCAGAAGGCATCGAGCGTGTGCTGGAAGCCGGACTTTCTGAAGAGACACCCTGCCATTCTCATGTGCTCTCCGCAAAATGCGCCCCCTAAATGCCATTTTTTTTTTTATATTGCTGATGTGCATTCTGCAGGGCTTGACTCACAGTCGAGTCGACGTACAACCGTGCAAATATGGCACATCTAAAACAGGACCTTTTCCAAGTAAGTCTATGCGCACACGTACACCCTCTCCCCTTGCCTTGCTGCCTGCTGTTGCCATTGGTCAGCACCTATCTTTGAACATATTTCGTCTTTTCTGGCACTCCTTTTTTGAGGATCTAATATAGGGCATAAAAGCAATAAAAAATTGAGCAGTCTCGCATTAATCTACAGTACAGTCACTGCGATAGATGAGACAAGTCACGGCGAAGTCATTGCAAATTAGCGCGTCATGAATGCGACGCTGTTTTTTTATTTGCGCAATCACAAGCCTTCGGAACAAAATAGACACCTGACCCTTTTGTTCTGAACGCCTTTGTTTTTTCTTTTCTGAAGCATGTGAAAGCACATTTTCCGGCACAAGCTCTTGGCTTTATGGCATTTTGTTATCAGCCTTTTCTTTTTTTTTTTTCTTCCAGAAAGCCACTTTAGCGAGTGTCGGGTACCGCAAACGAGTTCTTAACGGTTTGGCATGGCTCAGGGTAACGTCTCCACTTCGCACGCAGGGTACCCAGGTTCGATTCCCGCAACCAGCAGGTGACCTTTTTTCGAGGATTCGGCAACAAAGACGACACGTCACCAGCTACAACATCAACAACGACGCCTACTACAACATCCAACTACAACTACTACAGTAACATCAACAACAAACTTCATTTTTCCAGTGGCGGAAAAAGCCATCGCCGTTAAACCAATTCATGGGCACAACGCCGTGTTCCGACGGGAGGGGGCACTTTGGCTTGCCCTTCGTTCGTAGTTCGCAGACAACTCCCCCCCCCCCCCCCCCCCCCCCCCCCCGTGGCGCTTGTTGCTCGAAAAAGAACCCCCAGGACGAGAAGCTCACCGGGGGCGGGGGAAGGCAGGCGGCCAGCGGCGTCGTCCCTTTCGTTCTCCTCCAGGGCCAGGCGCTCCGAGGCCAGCCGCGCGTTGAGGGTGCTCAGCTCGGCCAGCAGGGCCCCGATGGAGGCTCCCACCGTGGCCCCCAGGTCCCGGGCGCCCTCCAGCAGCAGGCGCAGCACCACCTGGCGGGCCGACGGGCAGCCCCGGGACAGCCGCAGCAGGAGGGACGTCGCGTCCTCCAGGCCCTCCTCCGAGCACGCCTTGGACGTCAGCGTCTGCAACACGCGCGACAGCCGTCAAGACGTTTTCCACAAGCACGGAGCCTGACTTCGTCCGCGTCTACACAGAGTAGACTCTGTCGGTGTAGAATCGACAAAATAAGTTATAGTCAGAAAAACAATATAGTTGCTGACCCATTTTTTGGACGCATATTGCGGACCTAAAGGAGGAACCATGACCTACCCGATAGAAAAAGTGCATATTCACGACCAACGTTTTGGGACAGCTTGAAGTCCAAAAGTTAAATTTTTCGGACAAAATCGTAACGAGCAATCAGCCTTACCGAGAAGCAGCCATTTTTAGATTCTTTGTTAGCTGCACATAGATTGGCTTGGTTAAGCAATGCTACTTGAGTACTGCTAAGTGACGCTATGTTACGTCTTTCTTTTTTTTCTCTAGCCGCGCATCATTATTATCATCATTGTTACCGTTTTGCTTTGTTCATTCGCCAGTCTGCAGTCGTGGACCTACGCCTCTCACCCCATCCCAGTGAATCGTGTTTTCACTCTGCTGACTTGGATGTCATGGCCTTATCTGTTCTTCGCCGCTGTGAAGTAACGCTAAGGAGCACGGAAAGTACTCTACCAAAACGCTAGAAAAGAAGACAGCAATTGTCAAGCTAATAGAAAGTAGCCGAACGCAAGCAGAGGCATATCCTGAACCAAAGCACTATTGACAGCTTTTTAAAGTCCACTTAGACATAATAAAGGCAAGTTTTTTAATCTGCCAAATTTTCGGCCTGCTACTTTGCTAGTTCTAGTTTGGATGTGCAGACAATGACATTTGGAACTACATTGCCCCCAAGTTTTGTGTTATTTGAGTGAGGATTTAGGTATACCACATAAATCTAAACTTTCAAATCAGTTTTTCTCTAATAGGTATTTTTGTCTGTTTTCATAGTTTGTGCACACAAGTTTTGCCACTTGCAGTTACTGTATTACAACGCAATTTTGCACAGATGCTCCTGATCGGTCATAGAAAGGACAAATCTTGCTAGTTGTACAATTCATATCTTTGAATTTTTATAAAAGACCTAAGGGAAAAGTAAAACATAAAATGCAATGACTCAATTTTTTTTTTTTCTTGAGGCACAAGTTTTTTTGTTTTTTTTGTTTGTTTAGATTTTTACATTTTACAGTTCACAAGGAACCAACCAGGCTATTTCGAGTTGTGGTCTTATATAAGGTTTAGAAAAAATTGTGTGCACAAAAATGGCATTTTATGCACATGATAAAGGCATAGCCATTTTACCAAGGTAATTATCAGAAAACTGATTGCATTATGGCAAAAGGACCTCAACATGCACCAGCTGTGCAAATTGCAACCTCCTAGCTTCAGTATTTAAGAAAATTGAGGTGGCTTAGCTCGGCTATGCAAGGATGTACGTAGCGTGAGCTTATGCGCACAAAATGAGAGGCGCTATCAAGCGGCTCCGGTGCAGCGTCAGACTTGGCTACTGCACAACGGAGGCGCACAGCTGGGCACACTGCGGCGCCAGTGCCTCTACAGCGGCTATGACGTCACTCCTCTGGAATGAGCAGACCGGAGAGGCGCACGCGGTGGCGGCGAAGCACGCAGTCTCCGGTGCGCCTGCTGTGCGTCGTGTGACGTCACTGCTCCTCGCGCTTGCACAGCACGGTTCATTACGCGAGCCACGCGAAACTGCTTAACTTCGGCCAGTGTAGCTCACGCTACAAAAATTGTCCCAAGGAGCATCTCCCCTTAAAAAGCTTTCTCAAGAGTCTCATTTTCTAATCGGCATGTGGACTTTGATTGTGAAACGAGTGAGGAATTGGGCACGCTTGCAATACACAAATCAATGTCAGCAATCATGGACAGGGCAAGCATCGTCGAAATACATAGCAGACAAATGCATGTTACTATAAACGAATGCTGGATCTAGTCAGTTTTCTGTTAAATCGGGGCGGGCTTTTCAATTTTTGGCCACGTGCACAGCCTCTTCCACGTGAAGGCTGGACTTCTATGATGTTTTTGCCCGAATAGTGTTTTTACTCTCGAACAAAAAGGTTTAATGCACTGAAACTGCGAAGAAATGCTCTTTCCAACAAGCATATAGTCCTTATTCTAGGGCATACCCGTGCGGAGCTATAGCAGTTTGAAAATATGAAACAGAGATTCACATTTCCAAAACACGATTTTGACACGTCTGCTTGCCGAAAATGTTTATTTCTCCATAAATACTTCAGATATTGCAATAAAACTGCGCAGGAGTGTGCACTATTAGTTGTGCAACCACAATACATAAAAAAAGAACAACAGGGTGTCTAGCAAGTTGTTATTTTGAAATTCCCCGACTTTTCCAAACTTTCCCTGACAATTTTCGGTGAAATTCCGTGATTATTGCTTGGGCGGTTAAATATACAACACCATTACAACACAAGACACTGAGCATTGAGCACTGTGAGGGTCATTTTGCAAAGCTTAATCCAACTCGCATATTCCGAAATATTTGGGTTCGTCCAGTCTGGATTAAACAAGCACTTTCTTGCCGCCGACATCGTCAGTGAAGAGGCCACTCCGGGAACACAATGAAAACGAGACACTCAACCAAACACGTCAATAACCTAATGGCAGCATGGCCGCCAGATGCACACTTTCGGCTTAAGGCTTGGATTGGCGTCTGCAGCTTTCCCATTTGTCACTAAATCTCGTAGCTCTAACTGGATCGAGCCTCGTGTCGCGCCCTAAATCCAAGGCAAGGTAAAGCAAGGCTTGGACTATATTTGTCGGCTGCTCTCCATCGGGTAGCACGCTCTACTTCGGGGGAGCAGAGCCCCCGCTCCACTCTAAGCAGAATTTATTGCCTATTTTTCTGCCCACCCAAGTCCTCAAGTCTTTGCTCAGGGCACTTGATGGCGTTTCCGGCTCATTTTCCCTGACTGCGCTGGCTTTGACAATATCCCTGACAATTCCCGGTTTTCCCGGTAGCTAGACACCCTGGAACAAGTCAGTTTTTTTCTCGAAAATTATAATTTTAAGGTGGTGTCCCCCCTCAGCTGTATTCAAACGTCTTTTCGGGGAAGTCCGAAAAATCTGTCCGCTACCGTACATGGTACTGGGCAAAAATCGCAGCACCCAAGGGAAGCTGGGCTTCTGAAAAATTCTGCCGAATGTCCCACCTCCACTGCCAGCTTGAGATGTTGCTCCAACACCACACTCTCCACCTCCGGCGTCTCTTCTTCAATGGGCACCTCCGGTGGCTTGCTTGCCTTCTCGGCTGCTGGAGCTGCAGTTGCTGGGGAAGGAACAGCAAAACATTAGACAGCTCGCTCAGCTGCAAGGGTAACCGCAAAACACGCTTGCATGCCTCAGAGCTCACTATGCCAACACAAGACTAATAATTACACCACATTTCTGCACAACTTGGCAAACAGCGAAGGTTCGGGCCGGTGAGCTATTTCGAATGCCATAGCCAGGCGTGACAACGTGCCATCCAAATGCACACCTGCAAAGAGCTGTGTGCCTAGACCTAACTGGCTCCCTAGGTCCCAGCTTTACCTACTCGCCCACTCCTATTGAGCATTGCGATGTACAGGTGCTAACAGCAAGGCAGACGCTAATCGTGAGGCAGGTGCGAACAGCGAGGTAACCAATCAGTCGCCTCGTTCCTCACCATTGGACGCTGCGGACTCCTGCCTGGAGCATGAGGGCACCTCCGTCGCCCTGCCAAGCAGCGCGCCATCCAAGTCCAGTGACGCCGACCCTCCGTTCGCCGTCACGGGTGCCGGCAACGCCGCAGCAGCCGCGGCGGCCGCGGCCGCCGTGGGCGGCGTGTTTTCCTTGCCCTGATCCGGAATTGCCATCGACACCAATGCCAAGAGCCGGAGCAGCCGGTCCGTGAGCAGCGAGCTCCGCTTCACGACTGGATGCGCCAACAGCGAGATGAGCTGCGCCAGTGGCGACGCCTCGAACGACGACGCGCCTCCCTCGTCGTCCGGCGGAGCCTTCGGGGCACGCTTGCCCACGTTGCCGCTCGTCGTGTTGCAGTCCAGGCGGACCAGCACGCTCCAGAAGTCGCCGTCGCGGCCGGGTTCCGTGGTGACTGGCGAGGACGACGACGTGGCGGTCACAGAGGAGGAGGTAGCGACGGATTTGACGCCACCACCGCCGCGGCACATTCCCTTGGCGGTTGTGGACGATCCGGCTCCACCCCCGCGGACTTTCTCGGGAAGGAAGTGGACGGGAAAGCTCTTGGCGAGCGAGATGAGGGTGTCTAGTACGTGCCTGCAAGGATGAATGAAAAGACGTGGTTAGTCAGAGACCAATACACGCAAATTTCGTTCCCCCCCCCCCCCCCCCCCCCCCCCCCCTCTGGCATTAATCACCGAGAGGTTACACACCCAGGTGTGCAAACCTCGACTGCACTGCGAGAAACGAGTTTGACAGACAAGTTTGTAGGCTTGCTCCAGTACGAAAGTGTGGAGTTAGCTCAGAAGCAAACACAGAAAGCATACAGAGACAGAACCACAAGATTCCATACATTAATTTCCCTCGTTCATTCAGAAGATCTGGCGAAAATGAATTGTGGTTATACAAGCCGCTTCATTAGCAGCTTATAATTAGGACACCAGCAGCCATGAATGACAGCTGGTGTCCAGGTTTGAAGGCTTGTTAGTTGTTCTCATAAACTCCAGTCTGTGGGTGGCTCAGCCTGCAAGTGTGACAGCAACTAAATCCGAGCGAGCAACACTGTGCGAGTGTGGGCATCTGTAGGAGGAAAAGATTGAAGTGTCTAAAGGTTAGTGGAAAGGTTAACAATGCCCAATATAGGACTGTAAGGGAGTATTCTGGGGGGTACCGTATACCTCCGACGGAATACAATGAGGAGAATACACTACGAGGGGAATGCTTTGGTACGAAGTACAGTGGGAGGAGTGCCCCTAAAAAAGCATCCCGTGAAGGTACCCTAGAACGGCTACCCCTGGAAGGAGATACTCACCTGCAGACCACGGGAGAGGCCTGCGGGTGTATGGACACCTGTGGGCAGGGCCGGCGGGTGCTGCAGTGCCTCACCACCTGGAAGACGTTGGTGCGGCAACCCAGCGCCGCATCCAGGCTGATCGAGAGCCAGGAGGGCTGCTGCCCCCCCTGCTGCATTGCACCCCCCTGCTGGGGGCCCCCCTGGCCCCCCCGGCTCCCTTCCGAGAAGGACCCCACGTGAGTCTTGCTCCACTTCTTGCCCCGATGGTGGGGAGGATCTGCAACTGCCTGGGAGTTGCCCTCCAGGGGCTTGTTCTCCTTGGTCTTCTCCAGGATAGACAGCAAGGACTGTGGGGGGGAGGGACAAAAGAATGTGCCCTTTAAGTTTGGCGATGGTCTCGAGCATTTGCAACACTCAGTTTCGTAGCGATAACAGGAGGCCGTCGAGGATGAAAGAAAACTTAAGCAGAAAGATTAAGAAAATTTTATTTTTGTCAGAACTTTCTTGTTGTGTTGCCTCTTTCAAATCTTCCAGCTGCCCCAAATCAGTTTTTTTTCAACAACAGAGATAATGCTCAAAACACAACCTTCTGAAACCACTTTCCATTTAAATCGGAGTTATAAAATAAGACTGAGAAATGTCATTCCTATTATGCCCATCCATTTCTGAGCTAATTTGGAGAACTTTTTTGACACCTGCCAAGCCAAAATCACAAAACAATGGTCACGTCTTACGAGTGGACCAAGAGCAGTGGCAGCTTACTTGCAGCCTTACATTTGGCAGCTTATCAAAGAGACGTTTGCGCCTCGTACGAATGTTTTCAGGCAACTCAGTTTCGACACAGCTAGAAATCAAAATCAACTTCGTTTGAACGAGTCGCTCGACTCTCTCACCAGCCAAGAGAGACGTCACCCACTTTCTACGCACGAAAAAATAACCAACGGCAGCTCCAATCCCTAGAGCACCAAAAGAGCCTACGCAGTGGCAACCATCCCCGGGACCCAAACGCACCTTGACGACCCAGTGCCTGGTGGGCGGGTGGTAGCAGAGGTTGCGCAGCACCCGGTGCAGCCTGCCCGTGTTCAGCCGGGGCTCGTCCACAAAGAGGAGCACCAGCAGACAGGCCAGGGCCTCGTGGTCCAGCAGCTGCCGCCCCCGGGCCCCTTGGGAGCCCCCCTGGCCCCCGCCGCCCCCCAGGGCCGTGGCGCCCCCCGAAGAGCCTCCGCCCCCGCCCCGGCTCGACAGGGCGTTCCAGGTCCACTGGCCCCGGTGGTGGGGCACCGTGTGGATCGTGTAGCGGGTGCCCATGCGACCAGCTGCCCACACGAGGCAAGAGAGACGCGGGAGTCAGAAGTGTGCAAACAACGCCGAGCCCTACAGCGCTGCAGGTGAGCCTACAGGTGTTTGCGAGCTCTTCAAGAAAAGCATCAAACATTGTCGAGTTTTGAGGTTACGTGCAGTGCGTCGCGGACGTTTGCGTGTCCCTCGAGCTCCAGAGAGCCGCAGAGAATCTGCGACCAGCCTACAGAATACTTCTTGTCGTTTCGGCAACGGATTACATTGAGCTCAAACTTTTGCCCATTTTTCCGCATTTTTTTTTTTCTTTTGCTCCGTCTTTGGTTTGATGAGCCAGGGAAGGTCACAAACAAAGCTTACGAAGAGGAAGACTTCACCAACTCAAACATATTGATGACAATGTAAGCGTTGTCATCAAACATTGTCAACGCTTACACTAATGACCATGTAAACGTTGACAATGTCTGTGTTTTGCTCGAGCATACTGATGACAATGTAAGCGTACTGATGACGATGCAATTTAGCAGTGCACTGACTGTTTGACATTGCCACGTGCTTAGCTTCGTCAATGTTTTGCTTACGGGGCTGTTGCCTTCCCCTGCCAAGCTATGCTGAAACTGAGGACAACGTCGTGCCGTCTTAACACCTGGCCGCCCTCACTTGGGTGGTATATTGCAGGGTTGGTAGCAAAGAGAAATGCCACCACAATCAATGGAGCTGACCTCTTACGTAACAGCAACAACTCGAAAACATCCCCAGATGTTTTTAGTACCCACCACTCAACTAAGAAGTTAAATCAAATGCACCATTATATCAATCGGTACTTCGAAACTCTGGCCTACTAAACACATCTACAAGGCAGGTCTCCATACCTACCACAACCACGCTCACTCTGAAGGTAAAATCAAATACACAAATATTCAAATCAATGTTGGAAATGCTAGTTTTTTCAGATATATCTACAGGCAGGTTTTCCCACCTACCACAACAACTCACTCTGAAGGTCAAATCGAATACACTATTATACGAATGGGTGTTGGAAATGCTAGTTTTTCAAACACATCTACAGGAAGTAGTCTTGTGCGAATAGTGGATTTTAAGTTCGAAGCGAATTCGAAGCGAATAGTGGTTTTGCCCGAATATTTTCGATTCGAATATCGAATAGTTTTCCACGCCTTTCACTACCATTGCATAATGCTTACGACGAAAACCCAGCTAAACTTGAAGGTTGTTCCACTTGTTTATTTATAAACAAAGTTTAATCTATCTATATTTATGAACTGTGACCTCAGATGGTCTGGTGTCTTGGGATGGCAAGTAAACAACGAATTTGACATAAAATGAATCCTGTAGAGATGGCCAGCTATACCCAAAGAAGTGAATTTACAAATCTTGCTATATAAAATATTCTTTCTTTAATCTCGAGTTAAAAAAGAAGGAATCGTGCATGATGAACGCAGGTTGTAAGGGCATCTCTGCCTAACATGGTATACTCGTGCATAACAGTTTAATTTTGAAACTTTTACTACAATGTAGATACAGTCATTCACAAACTTTTAATTTATTTTCGAATACAATCGGCACAGGTGCACCATCCTGCTTTGAATGTATGCTTTACTTCCAAGCACGGGATTACAATATTCATATTTCTCGAAGTGTTCATCGCGGCGGGTTACCCCATTGAGTGCGCTTCTTACCAAACACCAGTGCGCTGCGGAGAAGCAGCACCTGCAGAGCTCGCTTCCGCGGATATTGCTTCTCCGCAGTGCACCGGTGCTTGGTGAGAGGCGCACTCAACGGGGCTAACCTGCTGCAATCAACACGTCGAAAAACTCAAATAGTGCAGTTCTTCTCGAAGCGAATATTGAATAGTGTATTATTCGGAACTACTATTCGAAATCTCAAATATATGCACAACCCTAACAGGAAGGTTTCCACACCCACCAAAACCTTGCTCACTCTGAAGGTGGAATCGCATAAACTAATACTCAACTCGTCCTAGAAAATGCTAGTTTTTTTCAAACATATCTCCAGGCAGGTTCTCCCACCCACCACAACCATGCTCAGTTCGAAGGTCAAACCGAATAGTCATATTTGAATCTGCATTCGAAACTCTAGCCCATTAGAGCCCGTCTACGAGGCAGGTCTTCCCCCCGCCACCCCTCTTTCGACATTCCCGAGTCAAATGCGTCCGCAAAAGAAGGGAAGGAGGCAAGGAGCTCGCACCGGCCGAGCGCAGGATGCGGGAGAGGGCGGTGCCGCCGTGGGAGGAGAAGAAGCGCTCCTGCATCTGGCGGTGCCTGGCCTCCAGCTCACGGCGCAGAGAGTGTGCCTCCGAGGCCAGGTCGGTGGGCAGCAGGGCCAGCAGCGAGTCGTCCATGTCGGCCAGCACCTGCTGCCTCAGCCCCGGGGGCAGCGTCTGGATGAAGGACGCCGGGTCCACGGGCACGTCCGGGTTGCAGTTCTGGGCCGCCAGGCGCTGCTGCTCCGCTCGCTGCTGGGCCAGCACCTGGAAAGGATGTCGCACGGGTTTGGGAGTTTATGAGAGCTGCAGTCGGACGGATGGTGCAATGGAATATGGATTAAAGTGTGGGTGTGGCAAAAATAGAAAAGTGTGCGCTTGAGTGACTGTGTGCAAGTGCGCACGTGTGAACCAGTGCATGCGTGAGTGAGTGCACTTATGTCAGTGTTTGTGCTTGAGTGAGTGTGCATGTGCTTGGGTGAGTACATGTGTGCTTGGGTGAGTACATGTGTGCTTGGGTGAGTACATGTGTGCTCGAGTGAGTACATGTGTGCTCGAGTGAGTACATGTGTGCTCGAGTGAGTACATGTGTGCTCGAGTGAGTTAGTGTGTGCTCGAGTGAGTTAGTGTGTGCTCGAGTGAGTTAGTGTGTGCTCGAGTGAGTTAGTGTGTGCTCGAGTGAGTTAGTGTGTGCTCGAGTGAGTTAGTGTGTGCTCGAGTGAGTTAGTGTGTGCTCGAGTGAGTTAGTGTGTGCTCGAGTGAGTTAGTGTGTGCTCGAGTGAGTTAGTGTGTGCTCGAGTGAGTTAGTGTGTGCTCGAGTGAGTTAGTGTGTGCTCGAGTGAGTTAGTGTGTGCTCGAGTGAGTTAGTGTGTGCTCGAGTAAGTTAGTGTGTGCTCGGGTGAGTTAGTGTGTGCTCGGGTGAGTTAGTGTGTGCTCGGGTGAGTTAGTGTGTGCTCGGGTGAGTTAGTGTGTGCTCGGGTGAGTTAGTGTGTGCTCGGGTGAGTTAGTGTGTGCTCGGGTGAGTTAGTGTGTGCTCGGGTGAGTTAGTGTGTGCTCGGGTGAGTTAGTGTGTGCTCGGGTGAGTTAGTGTGTGCTCGGGTGAGTTAGTGTGTGCTCGGGTGAGTTAGTGTGTGCTCAAGTAAGTTAGTGTGTGCTCGAATGAGTGTATTCACCAGCAAGCGTGCACATGAGGAAGCATATACATGTGTTTGCTAACACCAGTGTGTGCAAGTTTGTGCACAGGTCAATGCAAGTTTCTGCAAAACTGAGCGCAAGTTCGTAGCCGAGCATCTGTGGAGAGAGAGAAGGGAAGGCAGTGGATGGGTGGAGACTTGCCTCCTCCTGGATGCTGGGTGGCAAAGCAGCCAGGAACTCCGGATTCACTTCCGTGAAGGTGGCAGCTCCGTCCGCCGAGGCCGCGGCTGCAGCCTGCTGCTGCTGCTGTGCTCGGGTGCGGAGCCGCTGCAGACGCAGCTGCTCCGCAATCACCTCTTGCCGAATGTTCTCCGGCAGTGCGGCCAGGAACGAAGGGTCCACACCTTCGGGGATCTCCACGTCTGTAAACGACAGTGAGCAACCCATCAGCACAACTCACATGCAACAGTGTCCCTTCCCCTTTAGAATGTCCCCTTCACCCGAAGACAGGCCACTCACCTCCGAGGATGCTGGAGTAGTCGTTGGATGCCGAAGGACCTGCCGATTCGCCTGCGCGTTGCTGCGGTGGTTGCGCGGGCACCGGCACTCCGGTATCTCTGCAGATGAAACGAGAAAGCCAGCTCAGCAAACACTCCGACAAATAATCAACCGCCTGCAAGAAAGAGTCTTCGGCTATCCACTCACCCGTCCTCCGCCGCTCCGTGGGTTGTCTCGGAGGTGACGTCATCTACAGCCGCCACAGCCTCTCTTGTGTCTGGAAACGAAAATTCAGGCTCTGTCCATCTGATAGGTCTCCGAAGCTGACCATAGCAATGTGCTCACCACAATCACTTGTAGTTTGCACGACAAGCATCCCCCAGTCATTGTGACGGGACAGAGAAACCGCTTGAGTAAACACTGTTCACACAATCTGTGCTAATGCGACACAATGATTCGCAACTCCTTTACATTTAGCAAATGTTTAGTTGATTTAAAGAAAAGTTAAACGTAAGAAAGCCAGCATACGGTGCAGCAATTTCCACGAAATGCTCCCCGATTAGTGTTGCTGAAGCCAACACAGAACATACTGCATTCGGTGCAAGACCATGTAAATGATCAAAGGAAGCCAATGCACCCACCTGGGGAGGCGGTGTCATGGTCACCCTCGTCTGTGCTGATGTTCAAGACATCTGCAACAACAAACCAATTGTTGTATTTAAAAGCAAACTTGTACCACACATTACCATCACAGTTATTGAAGTTTCAACTTCTGAGATGTGCAAAACAAGAAGAGCGAAATTATGGACGACGCTAAACAAGCACCCACCAAACATCGTACGATGTTATTGGCTGAAGCTGAGCATGTTGGTTCATTGCTTGTGAATGGGGCCAGCTGAACATGGAAAACACACAGAGAAAAAATATAACATTTGCACCGCTAATGCGAATGTTATATTTTTTCTCTGTGTGTTTTCCATGTTCAGCTGGCCCCATTCACAATCGTACGGTGCCCATTATGATTACAACTATCGGTAAATTAAGAGACAGGCAATGGTCTAGCAAATTCGGAAGCTCGTAAAGAAAACTTAAAAAGGGGCGGACACTATTTTACAAAATTTACGCCCAAGAAAATAGTATCGAGGGAGACAAAAACTTGGAGGATGCTTAACCTTCGCCTTTAAGAGTGAAATGCGATAGCGTTATAGGGCCCCATTCGCATCGCCTTCTCATTAGCTTTTCATGCTCTTTTCAAATGAATTACTTTATAAAGAGAAATAATTTGAGACATGTGATAACATTAAATTCGCATCACATGCAATGTTTTTAATCACTGTCATTCCACTCGTGACATCACGTTTTATGTGAGCGTTGGGAGTTGTTTGAAATTCCCGCGCAAGGTCATGTGGCTATGACGTCATGACCCTGTCAACCAACCGGGAGTTTCACCATCGCAACGCCACTGACGTTGACGCCGGCTTTTCTGCAAGAGAAGCTTTTTAACGCTATCACATTAAAAATTGGCAACCCAAAGAAAACCAAGACATTTTGCGCACTCTACTATCAACTTTGGCAGCTGCAACTAAGGAAATACAAAAGCCAGTAAGCAAGATTTACAGGAGTGTCCAGCGAACCACGCAAGACAGAAAACGTAACCGCCTCAAGATTCGATTGACACTGCTCATCTGGTGAAAAGCAGAACTACGCTTTGTCTAACACTTACTTGTAGCAAGACGAATGCTACGCACGCGAGGCCGGAGTCATGGGGGGCGCCAATGCAGCGCTCATGCACTGGAATCAACTGCCAAGAGCTCGTGCTCAGTACCCTTGCTCATGTTCTGTACCGCTAGTGTGGATGCTTTGTCTCATACCCGCATTGTGGACAGACAGAATCACTGCACCTCATAGAGAAGCATGGATAACCAAAAGCACGTTTCCACAGAATTCAGTCTGGGTCTCGAGGCCAGCAGACCCAAAACAGCAAGCCCACATAAAAGTTGAACAAAACATCTCGTAGCAGGTCCACGGCCGTCTCTGCACCGTCACTTCCAGGCACCTCCCCACACCCCGAAAGGCTAGACCTCGCAGCAAAACTACAGCAAAGCTGTAGTGCCGGAAAAAGAAAACCGGAGGCCAGCAGAAGGCACCACTAGGAAAAGAGGGCCGCTATCAGCCTGAATTCGCATCCTCGCCGACTGAACGCGCGTGCCAGCCAAATGCGGAGATAGCCCTCGTGTCCAATCCGAGCTTAGCATTTGCTTCTGGAAGGCGACATAAAAAGTCCAATACAGTCTTGCGATCTGGGGTTTGGCAGAATTACTCGTGCGCGAGCAAAGAGAACACACAGCCGCAACCCTTCGAACTGCCAAGCAGCAAACTGCCGCGTCACCTTCGAAGTCCTCGAAGGGAGCGCCGCCGGGGGTGGTAGCAGGGCCGCCCGCGCTGCCCGACGTGGTGGTGGTGGCGGCGGGCTCCGAGGTGTCCATGGGGCAGGGCGCCGTGCTGAAGAGGCCGCTGGCGCACGAGCTGGACTGCTGGAGGGCGCTGGTGACCGCCGACAGCGCCGTGCTGCCCAGCCCTTCCAGCCAGCTCATGGGCGGGGGCCCAATGGTCAGCGAGGGCAGGTGCACCACTGAGGACCAGAAACAGGAAACTTGGGCACAGAGCGACGAGACGCGCACTTCTACAAACACAGATCGCACCAAAAACATAGCTTAAAACAGAGTGAAAAGGATGTCCAGTCTGGGAAACGCCAAACGGACGAGCGGCAAACTGTGTTGTTTGCGGAGTCTTTGCTTATGCAAGTTGGGGCGTGCGCTCCAACTTACGTGGGTTCCGGTAATACGCCCCAAAAATGTGAGTCAAGTGGCCTCTCCGCAGTCGCACATTTCGGGCTCGCGCTCCGAGCATGCATTGGACCAGAGCGCTGCGCAAGCGCTAGGTGCAAACTTGGCGCTTGCGCTAGGTCTGCACCCGCCACTTGCGCCAAACGATGCCCAAATTTGTAGCGAACACCAGTGTTGCTCGATGCACTTTCGACGAAGGGTTAATTCAGAATTCTAAAATGTCTGTTCCGCGCAAGCTAATCCATGCTGTGGTCCTTCACCGAATGAGATCGGCGAGGAGGAGCTCCCCTAGTCCCGCCTCCAGCGAGAGCTTTCTACCTTCGACAACGCTTGGGTGCCTCGTTTGCCGCTAGCGCACGCAGCGAAAGCACGACGGAAGAGCGCGGGCCGCAGGCCGGGCGTTCGAAAGGTATGTCCTGCCGTTCTCACTCGGCGACTATGGCATTGACTCGGCTTTCTTTCGAGCCGGTCGCAGCCTCAAAACGTGGCGAGTTCTGGCGGCGAGCCGAAGAACTAGAGCCCACCTTGCGGCAAGGAGGTGGCAGGTTCAGCGGTCATCGAGAGGGCCGGACCCAGCACCCGTTCCACAATGGAGGCTGCCAGACGTTCCGTGCCCGCCAGGGACGAGTCGTTTGGCACTGCAAGTTCCGAAGGGCACGTCCGACTGGGGTCACTCACACGCGACGAACGTACGTCCCAAATTTTTGTGCCTCGGGACTTATCCCTCGTCGCGGGGAACTCTAGGGACTGGGAAAACTTAAAAACTAGTCGCAAGTTACACTTAGCGAAACGTGCAACCACCATGATGACGCAAACATTTTGGAAAGTTCCAAGCACCAGAGTTCAGATTCGAGAGAGCACAATGGTTATTTGATTGTGACGAAGCATGCACACTTTAACGTGCTGTTGCTTGCACGCGAATTGATGCAACATTTCCCGAGCATGTGAGTACTCCACAGTGGATCGTTTCGATTGCAGCCAACTAAAAAACTAAGATCTGGTAAGCATGACCATTAAAACATACAAAATTAAAGTGTGAAAAAAAAAATACTGGGTTTCGTCTTGCTGTCTAAAAATCAATAAAGGTGTCAAACTAAACTTTTTAAAGGTTCAACTAAAGAAACACTGAAGTCCCCCTACAATAATACATTTCTTACATTCAGAGCACTACATGGACGGTTCTCAAAAAAAGCAACACCCGCCGAGCTCGCTTCCGCGGGTATTGCTTCACTGCAGTGCACCAGTGCTCGGTAAGAAGCGCGCTACTACTATTCAAAATTTCGAATATTTGAACAACTTTAAATTTTATTAATGAATGAACCTGGATACTTAGATGGTCTAGAACTCGGCAAAATATTTTGGGTTTTTGAATTATCGACAAATATGAGCAAGTAGTAGTTCCTCGACTGGTCATTTTCTTGCAAATAACAAACCAGATTTTTAGTGGGGTAGTGGGCTATCAGACCGTATCCCATGAAACAGATATCGGTAAGCCTCTTCAGTGTCCCTATAAAAGACCCACACTCCGCAAGCGTCGCTCGGGATCGAGCAAAGGGCCGACTCACTTGGCTCCAGCGAGAATGCAGACTCCGCGATCTGCGAAGTCGCGGCGGTAGCGCCGGTCGCCGATGCCACATTCGTCGAGTCTCCGGTGCTGCCCGGCGCCAGCGGGTACGTCGGCAGCACCATGTCCGCGGGGGGCGGGTTAGTGTTGCGCGAGGCACCCGCCGCCGCAGTCGCCACGCCCGCCGTCACGGCGGTTGCGATGGCGCTTGCCGCCACCAACGATGATCCCACCGCCGAAGCCGCCGCCACCGCGTTGGAGCGCTCCTGCTCCTCGCTCTGGTTGTGGTTGTTGTCCTCCTTGGTGTTCTCCGAAGCCGCCGGTTGCGACTCCTGCAGCTTGCGGCGCTTCTCCCGACGCTCCGCCAGTTCCTCGTCGCGGTGCTTCTCGAGCACCTCCAGAATCGCCGGCTTCAGGCCTGGGCGCAAAAGGACAAGAGTCGCGGTTCGTTCCAACGGGCCTCCGGTCCCTTTCGGGAGGGCGGGTGGGGAAGAATATTCTAATACCATTCCAATGCGATTAGAATATCCCAACATTCGATCCGAGAATTTCCTACCCAGCACTTTGCCAGACCGAAGATTTATGCGCCAAGTCGGCAACAAGCACCCAGCCCGCCCCGGCAAACGATTAGGGATAATTGTTTTCTGGACGTGCAACCAAAATCTAATTCGCTCGAAGCGTTCTCTGAAATAAGGCTCCTTCAACTTACGGGACCGGAGCCAGCATTCCAACCAGCTTACCGAGGATCCGTTGGCCGGCAACTTGCGTCGGAGTTACCGAGATGACCACTTGGGCGTTTAGTCTGCATTCCATTTTTTTTTTTCTTCTTTTGACAATTGGGGCACAAACACATTTTCTAGCGTCGGCTATTTTTCGAGTACCCTAATTGAGTGACCGCCTCGGTAAGCTATGTGGAGCACAAATTCGTCCGCTTCTTTTGCAGGCGTTGTGGTGACGTCACAATGCCAAGTTCCAGTTCGCTCCGATTGAAGTATCAGGGGTGGAAGCGGGCTAGAGCCTTTTGTATCAGGGCTGGGAGCAGCAAAAGTCCCACTTTGGAGCAGTTTTGGAGCAGTAAAAGGCTCGCTTTAGAGCAGCTCGGGAGCAGCAAAAATAAGTTTTGTAGCCGTAGAAGTAGGTTTTGGAGCAGGTCACGGAGGTCAAACAGGTGACTAAAAGTGATTTGTTGTTTCTAAATGTGAAAATGTAGCAAAAAGATATGCATGCACATCCCAGAATAATTTTCAAGCAACATACATACACATTGTTCTATTTCTATTGCATTGAAATATGGAATATTGGCAATTTATGCAAAGGAAAGGCTTTGAGAACCATTCCGGCAGCAGGCAGTGTCATGACAGACTTTATATGGGAGGCCCCGACAATAAAAGCCTAGCTTGAGCCACGCCAGTACAAAACAGTCTACTTAATAGACCAATTGTAAACATGTATCCAGAAAACTAAACCACTGCAAGGTGTCAGATAAACTACCTTCGCTGACTACAGCTTTTGTTTAATAAAGAATACACATGTTCAATCACTACTTAAAAAGCCCTATATCAAGTTTAGTAACAAAATACAAGGCTACTGACATTTGACAAAAATTCAGATGCAAAATAAAATGTGTATTTTATATCTTTAGACCACCACAGTCACTCGTACATATGCAGCTTTAAGCATCGACTAGAAGAGCAACGCAACCTTATGTACTCCATAAAATGCTGTGCATTGCGTGTCTCCATAAAAAAAATTAAGGTACCACAACATGTTTCAGAATAAAGCAGTCCTTGCTGACCTGTTTTCATTAAATACAAATGTTCTTAATCCCTGTTCATAAAATACAGTAATCCCTACACCCAAGTTAACATACAAAGCTATATCTAATTACTTTGGATGGAAAAATATATTGTCTTAAAAATATCACATGCCACTAATACATATGCAGCATAAACACTGACTAGAAGAGCCCACAGGCTCCATGTTAAAAAAAAAAAGGGTTGTGACTAAGCTGAATCTGTGTAATTTAGATACAACTGAAGTTCACCTTTTTTTTTCAAAGTTTGAAGAGCAGAGTCAATTTCTTTTATGCGCTCGAGTACTTTGGGCAGTTTAGAGTTCACATCTCTTAGCAGGAGGTGTCCACTCCCCACCTTGTCCATGTCCTTAACTGCCTCACCCTTGCTTATGAGTTGTTGTGCACTCAGTAGAAGTGCTTTAAAAGAAGACAGTTTGAACGAGACTGAAAATGAGATGTAGCTGATCAGGCGCTGATCCCTGCGGGGCAGGCTGCCTTCTTACGTGACAAAAAGCCCACCAACTTCTCTCTACCCTACGCAACCCCCCCCCCCCCCCCCCAAACCAGAAACTTATACGAGTAGAGTGGCTATAGCAAGTTAAGGTGCGTTCTTGACAGGAATCGGCAGCGCGGGAGTGTTGTACGGCATTTCTGATGTAACCCCCACTCCTCCACGCCAAAGGAAAGAAGCAAAGAAGTGTGTAGCACTGCCAGTTAACCAACTCGCTTAAGATCGCGGGTATTGTTTTCGCCAGTGGTTTGACGGCGGTAGACAACACACGACAGTGTGCACATTCGCGCACACAATGATGGTTTTGGTTTCGTCTTGACAAGACAAAATGAGCTCGAGAACGGATGTGCCTGTGCTCGCGATTCTTCACGGCTAAGCGTCCAAATATGGTAGGCTACCAAATAACAGGTAAAGCTAGTAAAGACCACTTACTTCTGCTCATGTTAATGGCCAAGGTAGCCCACCGGTGCCGAGGCACCAACTCCCACGATCACGGCAAATCGGGACCACGGGCAACTGCATGCGCGCTCCAACCGCGCCAACCAACTATGCCCGAAACCAAACCGATGTGTTCGTATATAAACTCTTTGTAGTAAAAAACGACATCGCACTCTCGATGAACTAAAATCGACGAATCGCCCTGAGGTTAGACATGGTTCGGAGCCCCAGTCGAGTTGGTACGAGTCACCCGCAGTGACACCTAAGCAAAAGTACCCACCTCATGGTGGCCCGTGGCCAACCGTTTTCCACTAAATTTAAAGAAAACACACAAAAAAAAAAAAAAAAAAAGTTGAAATTGGCGTTTTGGAGCAGGCTGGCGCAGGGAAGTGAATTGGCGCAGGGTGGCGCAATTGGCGCAGCGCTTCCACCCCTGAAGTATACAGTCGCCGACCGATTATTCGGACTTTGCAGGGACCGAAAAAAACGTCCGAAGAATAGAGCAGTCCGAAAAATCAGAAGACTGAAAAACTTTCCTTCATTACTTGCAAGCGGGATTTAAAAAGCCGTAAATAGTGCCTTGCTTCAGGTTACGCCTCCGCTTGCCTTCGGCAACTTTCTGTTAGCTTGAGAATCGCTGTCACCTTTTCTAGCGTTATGGTCGAGTACTTTTTGCGCTTCTTAAAGACACATCGCGGCGGCAGAAAAGCAGACGGGGCCATGACATCCAAGCCAGCGTAGTACGAAAGAGATGAGAGGCGCAAATCCACAAGCGCAAAATGGCAACTGGCAACGCGAAAGTTGGGCGGAGGCACGAAGGGATGGAAGGAAACAAAGCAAAATCATAAAACTGATGATGATGATGATGATGTTCAGCCAAATAGGAAAAAAAGGGGGATAGCATAACGTCACCTAGCGGTAGAACTCGGGAGTACTCAAGTACCACTGCCAAACCAAGCCAATCCATTTGCAGCCAACATAGAACTCAAAATGGCCGCTTCTCGGTAGTGTTTCCCGCTGATCACTCGCGACGATTTTGTCCGAATAATCAAACTTTCGGACTTCAAACTGTCCAAAATATTGGTCGTGAATATGCACTATTTCTATGGGGTAAGTGACGGTTCCTCCTTTAGGTCCGAAATATCGAACAAGTCCGAATTATCGGAGTCCAAAAAAACGGTCGGCGACTGTAGTGGGTAGACCTCAAAACGGCTTGCTTTGAGGTCTGCTAACCATCCTTCAATCGGAGCTCGGTGTTCCGAAGTCGCCACAAGCCCCGCAAAAGCAGAACACTAGCTTGCGCGTAATCTCACCTGCCACACAGTCGTGCATGCTGTCCCCGTCGAGAACTCGAGACTCCTCCGTCCACCGCACCAGAGCCGTCGGAATGTTGGCCAAAGTCCCCGTGCCGCCGCTCGACACGAAAGTCGCTTGATCCTGTTGAGAAGAGGGACAGCCTCCGGTCAGCACGTGGCTGAGAAACTGCGTCGCATCACGGACACAATGCGAAACACTCGGCCCAGGGACTCAACGGCGTACAACTGGGATTCAGTGTTTTAGGCATTCGTTTTAAAGCGACGGCTTTGGGGAGGTCGTGTCGCAGAAAGGCCGGCGTCGGATAGCGAAATCCTGATTGGTCGATAGGGTCACGACGTCGAAGCCACATGACCTTGCAGGTGAATGTGAAATGACCCACGACGCTCACGTGACGTCACGCGTGAAATGAGTGATCAAAACATGACGTGTAAGGCGGATTAAAGGTCGCCACACGTCTAAGATGATTTCATTTTATAAAGTAATTCATTTGCCCTTGGGGGGGAAACTACCCAGGAAACAAAATTTCACGCAAAAGAAGTTGGTTTTGGAAAATGCTATTTCTACATCCACCAACATTTGGAGAGTATTCCTAGTTTTACTCATTGCCACTGCATAGTTATTTTTTTATAAATTATGTTCAGTACACCCATGCTAAAGGAAGGGGCTCGAGCACTTTGAAAGCGTTTTTCTCTGTTCCCACTTTTTGGCATAAATTTCACTTTAGGAAACACAATCCTAATGGGACAAAAAGAAACGCTCACTCATTGTTTTTCTTAACTGGAATTTAATGGACAATGCAACTGTGGAATTGTTCTTTACTTTGAGAGTGTCTTTTATAAAATATGCTAAGATAATGTCGATGTCATAAAAGGCAAAAACAGTTTACATTTTTCAGCGTCATCTCAGCACAAAATAAATTATTTTTCTGAAATTTTGATTTCAAAGTTGCACTTTCCAGGCCTTCTTCTGCGTATTTAGTAAAAAAAAAAAAAAAAAAAACAAGATGTTGGGTGTTACATTTGTTTTTGAACTATAGTTATTCAAGACAATGTCAGAGTGTTCCTAATAAAATGGACCATAACATATTTCACGATTAATGTACAGAGATGAAACTTTGCTCTCTATTCTGCCGTGCAACTGCCAGTATATATGGCAAATTTCATTCCTATCAAAGCAAAGGTTCAAAGGCTGACCCTTTTGGGTAGTGTCCTCCCTTGAAGAAAATATCCGAAGAAGTTTAGGCGGACACGAGTTCCCGCGTGTCGGTATTCACAAGAAACACGAAAGCCTACATAGACCGCAAGACAGAGTCTTCGAGTGTAGCGTCGCAGCTGTCCAGAACCAGCTTTGCCTTCGTCGTCGGTCAAGACCTGGACGGACTAGGCATCGCCGAGGTCAAAAACCGAGGGCCCTTTTGCACAACGACGGGCGGATTACTGCACCTGTATCTCGAAGAGGTCCTCGTCCGTGGCGAGAATCCTAAAGTCGCTGTTGGCAAACACCACCCGCGTCTGGGCGGTCGACGACGCCACCGGGTTGAAGGTGGATGTCAACTGCAGGATGTCCTGGGCAGTGTTCGGGCCCAGCAGCCTGCCAGACACAAAAAGAAACATCCACGTTTTAGTATTTCTGCCTCTACCACAGTTTGTGAATGCTTGTCGCAACTATTCCCTTATCCCAATCGGAATCTACGCGGCACACCTTGGGAGCCGAGTTCGATCGAAACTCGGCTCCTAAGGTGTGCCTGCGTCGCAGACTCAAAACGGCAAGCTTTTGCGAGATGTCCTTTTGCCTTTCAGGATGGCCAATGTTCGGTCAATGGGCAAGCCCAGGTCGGATTTGTTTGATTTCGGCAAGCTTAGGACGGGTAGGGTGAAGCTAGATTTGCGGAGCATAAATGAGCCTTACGTAGGCACGACCTTACCTCGCCAACTGCCCGTCCGAGTCGGCATTTCCCTATGCAAGTGCCCATTCGGCATAGAGTATGTAACAGCTTAAAAGGTACTTGGCTCAAAGAACACCCTGCTTAGTGTAAGTCCGAGCTAGTCTATGCCTAACGGACACAACGGCTGGCTCGGACATTTGCGTTGGAATGCAACCAAGCGAGTGACGACCGTTTTTAACTGCTTACGACCAGGCAATTGAGATTCTTGTAATATGTTGTAGCAAAACGCAAAAGGTCATAATTTGGGTTCCACATTTTCAGGATTAATTTTTTTTATATTTCGGAGGTAAATTTTTCTTTTTAGAGTTAACATTTTCCCCTTAAATTAGATGTTCTCCAATATAAAAGTTTGGTGACAAAAAAAAAAAAATTAAGGTTTATCGGGGGCTTGCATTGAAAAAAGGATATGGGTTTCGCAACCTCTGGGGAACATACGTAATGAAGACGGTCACACTCAAACATAAATGTGTGAACCAGGCCTAAGTCACATTGTACTGGGCCCGTTGCAAAGGCCCCGAGGCACCCACCTCTGCAGGATGGCGGGCGGGTTGGGGTGTCGGTTGGCGTACACGTGCCAGGTGCCGGAGCCGCCGGGTCCCGCCCCGTGGGCGGTGCCTTGCGCCCGGTAGCCCCTGGGCCGCCGGTGCAGCCGGGATGAAGGGCCGCCTCCCTGGGGGTCGCCGTGGCGCACCAGCAGCGGGTGGGTGCTCGCCACCGTGCCCGGCGGAGGAGGGATCGAGGGGCCTGCACGCGCAGACTCCACGCATTAGTAGAGCGCTCCCCCTGCCAGGTTCGCCTCGTATGAAACAAAGCTTGAAATGACCACTGGTCTTGCTGCACCACTTTACGCAGACAGTGCCAATGCTTCCTTTTTTTTGAAGGCCTACTCATTACAAACAGTTTGTCCTAAAACATCTAGTCATATGTATGGCATGTCGCAGATGAATCGGGACAAACCATCTTGTGTCAGCACGAGGTCGCGTTCTCATACATTTAGCCAGAGATCGTCCTAGAAACAGAAGCGGTCAAACGTGCAACAGCGTAAGGGTCAGATCTCCTATGGCGCCACAGTCCCACTCGAGCGGCACCACCAGGCAATGAAACAGCCCAGAAAGTCCCAACCCCAGCAATACCACCGTGGCAGCTAGACAGAGAGGTTACACGAGCTCCGAGGTGCTCGAACGGCTCACCCAGCGTGCAGAACACCGACCCATTCCAAGCACCGTGCAATAAATCAAGCCTTACTCCCAAATCTTTGATGCTACTCCAAAGCTTTAGCATTCCCGCAACCTTTCCCAAATTCACCCTCGGTCGTTGGAAGGAGCTCTATCAGCCTAGGAACCAAAGCTACATCGAATATAAGGAACTGAAACCATTTTTCTTTCCCGTTGACCTCTTGATCGCGCCATGAACTCGAAAGACAAGGACTTACTGCTTGTCTCGGCGCCGTTGTTGCTCTCGTCCGGAACAATGGGCAACTGGTACGTTCGAATGCCTTCAGAGCCCCCAAACATGATCGAAGTCCCTGCGAGGAAAACCCCGAGTTCATCAAAGCTTCGACGCACCTTCAACAAACGGTTGCAACTCGATCGCAACTACAAACGCCTAGACCCCAAAAACGGTAGGCAGTGTAGCTGGCACCGAAAAGCACGGCGCCACACGCAGCACTGCGCCATCTTTCAACCAGCCGTCCCCTTGTGTCCCGCATTAGCTCGGCGGCAGTGTCGCACGCTCTACGCGCAATGCCGCGGCGAGACTGCGGTGCCTCCCATCCACCTGTCTTCAAACCAAGAACCGTTACGCGTGGACTAATTGTCGCCTCTGACCCGCCATAAGATTCAATTCTATCCGTCGGCACCTTGCACTCAAAGTTTCGATACGAATCACAGCAAGAGAGGCAGAAGAGACTTTCCCTTAATTAATATAACTCCTAACTAATCGGGTGTGGTACACAAAGCTGAACTTGAGATCGGCACTTTCAGGGGAAAATAGGGACAATTCCCCAAGTCATGCTGGAAATAGGGACAATTCCTCGTTTCACACTTTGAACATTCACACCCGAAATACGATCAACTCCCATTTCACAACCGAACAAAGTATATAGAGAGTTCTTTGTATTTCAGGTGTGAAATAGAGGACTTTCCCTGTTCGAGGTGCGGAATCGGAAATTGCCCCAATTCCAGTATAAAATTGGGAATCGCTCCCATTTACGGCACAATTCCCCTTCCCTCTCTCAAAATAGGGGAAATTATTATTTGCAGTCACGGCAGATTTATTATTCCAAGTTTGAGCATCCAAAAAAGTCTACGCCACTCCTTTTGGCATCACCTCGAGTCGGAGCTCCGCCGGAGTTGCGCATGTACCTCGTGGGTATGTTACGGGACGCCCCCTGCACCCTTTCCCACCAAAACAAGGCTCGGCTAGAAAAGAGGCCCGCTCACCGGACGACGGGAAGACCTCCTCAAAGTGGAAGAAGAGGTTGTCGTCCCGGTCCTGCATGCGGAACAGGGCCTCCTCCAGATCCTGGTACTCCTGCAAATTAAGAACCCCGATGCCAGAATGCACGCACCCCACGAAGGGCACAAAGATGCCGCCAGCACCACGGAGGGTGCCATGCCCCCCGACCGCCCCACCTCGCGGTGAATCCACCCGCCTGTGCGATCGGGAAAAAGAAAGACAACTGTAAAGCACCTTCTCGTGTTGGCTCGGATCGGCTTAGAGACAAGCAAAGTCCAGATTACCCACCACCTTCCACATAGCCTTGAGAAGCACTGTGCACTTACAAGTCGAAATACAGGTTCTTGCAAGACTATGCAGTCATTGAGCAAACTGAGACTTAACTTTGGAACGATACAAAACACCGTCCGTGCAGTTTGGCTCAGATCAGCTTAGAAGCAAGCCAATCACGACTATTTAAAAGCATCTACAAAAACTTCAAGCACCGTGCATACTATCGAAGTCTGAATAATCCAAGTCCTCGGAAGGGCGCCCCAATCAAGAGACCCCTCTAAACGCTAACCAAACTGCCATCATTGCTCCGTCGTTGTGCAAAAACGAAGGCACCAGTAGCATTCCACTCGTCACAGTGCCAAAGGTGCCTCAGTCTTTGAGAGAACCACAGTCCTCACCTCCTCGTCTTCGTCGTCGTCCTCTTCCGCCTCGTCAACGTCGTCCTCGTTTTCTTCGTCCTGCTCTCCCTCGTCTTCCTCGCTCCTGCCGGAGTCGGAGTTGCTCTCGGAGTCAGTCGTTTCTTGGTGGGCCTCCTCCACTGTGAGGCAGGGGACAACGTAAAACTTGACCCTTCCCTTTCTCAACAATTCATCTGTAGAGCTGAGTATTACAGTATGCCGCAATGATTTGAGCTCCAATATTTCGTAATTCTGGTTAATTCGAACAAAATTTCAAAATTTTGGGTTGTCCCACTAAGTTTTTAATGCACACAGGTATTTATAAGCCACTTATTGTATTTTCCGGACTATAAGTCGCACCCATGTATAAGTCACAGTTCCAAATATTGAGCAGTTTTCGTTGGGGGTGTGCGAATATTCAAAACTTCGAGTACTTTGCGTAGTATGAATAGCGCAAACTCGCTTACTAGTGTGAACTTGCGGTTGAGTTACCTGTTTTGTTTTTGGACTGTGCAGTATGGTTTTAAGCTTGGCAAACCCAAAAAGCCAACCCAAGTGCCTTTTTTTGGTGTGTGAAGCACTGGAAAGTTATTTGCACGCGGTATCGCGATCTGTCCTTTGCTTGCCAGAATGTCTGGATTGCAGAGTTGGCGAAGTGGCCGTGGCACAAATGTTGCGATAGATTTGATCAACGACTACGATTTGCAATGGCACTTGCATCGTCGTGAGCACAAATGCGACGGACCACATTCACTACAATCCTTCCTACAGTCACTACAGCAGCCAAGGTGCTATGGATTCGGATATGGATTTACAGCCGACTTCAGCTATCGGCGATATCTGGCTCGTGTTATTTTCCGCTTGATTTTCCGGTTCATCAGTTTGAAAGTATTCTTTTTGTTATTTATTTCTACTCATTTTCACACTTAAAAGTAAGACTTGCTCCCTCTGCCAAAAAAAAACAAACAATGTATTCTTAATTTATTGCTTCTTTGAGGCGCCTTCTATCGGCACACGGAAAGAGATGCCGCAAAGTCCGTGCAGCTGCGTGGCGAGGTCTCCAACTCAGCAGTGGCCAGCCGATGCACATGACATTTGTCTTATTGCAATTAAAATAACCTTTTCATAAATGTTTGTTGGAAAAAAAATTGCAGTTGTTTTGATTGAGCATTCTTCTTTAATTCACATCAAATAAAAATATTAGTTTTCAAAAATGTTCTTATTCGAAACTACTATTCATATTCGAAAATATTCTATTCGATTCGTAAGCTTTATTATTCATTTCGATTCGCTTCGGAAGATTTTGATATTTGCACACCTCTAGTTTCCGCAGGAAAATTGGTATATAAGTTGCACCTTTGTACAAGTCTCACCTCTTTGCATGCTTCACGCAATGAGTTTTTTCGTTTTACACGGATCAGTATCACAAAATCGGAGTTCCGCACAATCGGCTAGTTCACACACACCATTTGATGCGCAACAACTTCCGACGTTTCCACTCGCGAGAAATGCCCATAGCACGGCACTGCCTGGCGAAGGCTATCGAGTGTTTCGCAGCAAAAGGACCTAAGCACGCAGAAGGAGAAAGTAGTCGGCTTTATTAGAGTGCACACATGCCGAGCGAACGGACGTTTACGTGCCATACGCTCGTGAATCAAGCTTGGGACCACTAGAACGAGCCTAGGCCAAGTTGCAGAGACGACGCAAGCAGTGTAGAAGAGTGCGGCGACAGGAGCGCCTCTTGGAAGGGGCAACACCACCTATGGCTACATACTTATGGGACTCTATGAAAGATGGCACATAAAAAAATAATGTCTCACCATGGATTAAAAAAAAAAAGCATATAAGTCGCATTGTTGTATAAAATGCATCAAGAAAAATGTTTGGAAAATACTGTGACCTATGTACCAAAAACTACTGTAATTCGAACGGCATTTTTTTGCAATTAATATTTTTGTTTACGCGGCCCGGTTGAGCGCGCATCTTTCTGAGCACTGGCGCTTCGCAGGCAAGCCACACCCGCGAAGCTCGTTTCCAAGCGTGTTTCTTCTCCGCGGTGCATCGCTGCTTGGTAAGAAGCGCGTTCAACGAGGCTAATAGTCCACAAAAATCTTTTTTGACGGATGAGCACACTTAATTTTGTTTTGAGGTGTCATGTGCTGCCTAAACAGTTCACGATAGATAACATTCTTGAGGAATGGCTAAACTTGTCTAATACAACTCACCAACGTGTCATGTGTGGAATATGGGCCGGCACAAACAAAATAATCAAATATCTGCTTTGTATGTGCCGCCATTCGCACAACGAATCGCATCCTCCTGCATCACATTTAGAAGGATTTCCGATAAATTCAAACGAAATCCTGGAGTTTAAATCAACGACGGTCTACTGTACACGGTACGGAGGCCCGCAGAAACGACAATTCACTCACTGTCGCGAGAGATCATGTCCCGAGCGATCATCTGCGAGTCGTGCTCCTCTTCCGTCTCCCTAAGCGCCAGCTCCGCACGAGCGGAGAGGGTGCCATCTGGAAACGGAAGAACGCCACAGCCTCTGCCTTACGCACCTCCAGAGCACGCCAGAGAGTAACAAATGCATTTGATCCCACGGACAAAAAATGGTATACAAAAAACGAGTTTCCGCACCATACTTTGGAGCCTGTGGCAGACTTGGCTCTTGGATTATGCGGATACAACGAACTGAGGGGGAGGAGACGAGAGCAATGGGGGAGTGTCGGAGCAACCCCCTCTGGTTGGAACGATTAGTGGGTACAGGTACTTTGCTGATCATTCCAACCAGAGCTCGGAGCACCGACGTGCCCTGCGCGTTCTCGTCGCCTCCTCTCCCTTACGTGATGCGCTCACCGGACGTGGTCACGTGGTTAACCGCACGCTTCCCGCACCTGGCATAACCGGGGTTTCTCTCTTCTTCGCGACTCTCCCATTTTGCACGGTGGTAGAGCGCCTGGCTTGGGATCGCAGGGTCGGGAGTTCGATTCCGTTAGGGTCGAGTTTAGAGTTTCGTGCTTTCCTCTCGATTAATTGCTATTCCTTCTCAATTACGCGTTTTTTTTAATGATTGTCCTCTGTGGTACGTGTGGCACGTTTCTTAGCGATTCCCGCAACGTCCCGTCGCATCTTCTTCGGAGACTTCAAACCCCAAACACGTTCCGCGATTAAAAAAAAAAGCTCTACAATGCAAAGTTATCCTGCAACAAGGGTAGTTATCCTGCAATAAGCGTAGGTCTTCAACAGATGGCTACGTGGGTTCCGCGAATAACCTCTTAGCACTCCACTAGCACTACTCGAGCAGACGCAGACGGAAACGCCACTACGCTACGCGACAGGCATCGCAACGAATGCCAGAAAATTTGTAAGTACATTACATAGTAGAGACGACAAAGACAACTGCACTCAACGGCGCTTGCCTCTGCTCTGCAATGAACGCAAGTACCCTTAGGCAGGGTCGGGAGTATGGCATTTCGCGTCCCTCATTGAGGGACGCGAAATGCCAAAATGTTGAAAGTGCAAATTCCATTAGGCTGAGAGAAAAAGAAAAAGAAGAATTGTAGTTGGTATTTTTTAATTTACTCGCAGCTAAGGACGAAATGCTACAAGGGCCAGTCCAGTTTGTAGGTCATTTACAATGAAGTAACTACAGACAAATCTTTTGTGTTGCGAGTAGAGCATCTCGGCAGTCTTCTAGGATTGCATGGAACACATCCTGAATATTGCCAGCAACAGAATAATGAGAAATAGAAAGAAAAAAGGAAAGCAATTTCAGTCAAGACAATTTGGGGCTCGTCCACTTACCGAGAACGGGAGTGTCGTCTTGGTTCCGGTCCAAAAGAGCATCCACAATACCCTCGAGGTCCACACTGTCAGCCTCATTCTAAAAAAGAAAAAGAGGTAGGGGTGTGCAAATAATTACAATTTTCTAATATAAATCGAACATGGAGAAAAAAAAATACTAACTTCGAATATGGAATATCTGTGCAATAATAAGAAATGTTGACAACCCTCCTCCTTTGCAATTTGGGCTGCTTCCTCTGTTGAACCATTATCAGTGTTTCTTTTATATTCTTCCATCAATAAGGGGCATTGTTTTAGGTGGTCTTGGAGCGTTGCGATGGTTCCCGTTGGTCTTTCAAGAACACTTCTGTATGTGGTTTTTCCCATTAGCGTTTGAAGAACACTTCTCTACGACACATTTGCCAACGGCGCGAGTTTTGTGCGGTACTGTCAGTGATGACTTTTTCCGGCTTTCGTTCCCTGCTCGCTCGGTGGCTCGTCAACTGTGGTCGAGGCCCATACCCAGAGAACATATTCAAACAAGGACAGTACCAGCATTAGCTAGAGCGGCTAGGCTTACAAATTGCCAAACAAAGCGCATGATGCAGTGGTAGCCACCTTGTCTGGCTTGAGTTGTCATATATGGCGATGCAACATTCTTATAGACTTTTTTTCTTTAATTTCCAAACATTTATAAATATTTTGAAAAAACATTCTCGAGATGAACTCAATATTTTGTCTATTTTTATTATGCAAAGAATACATAAAGCATATCGCTAAAAAAAACACTATGCAACTTGTTCGATAAAAGAAAAAAAATATATCAAAACTACCACTCTCTGGTGGGGCAGATGACAGAGTTTTGACCGAGTTTTACGCAAAACAGCAACAGAACCGACACAGAACGAATAGTGAATGCATCATGCATAGATTTCGGTGAATAGGCAATCTCCGAAATGCTTCGGAGCGTCCGGGGAAGACAAAAATATTCCTTATTCACCCGAATGTTCGGAGGCCCGTCCAAACATTCACCGCCTTTCGAGCATTCGGCTGCAGCCGAACATTCGGGAAATTCCAAACACCAGATTCTCGAATCGAACATGCGTCGAATAGCGAAAATATTCTATTTGCATTCGAAATTCTGAACGTTCGCACGCACCCTCACAATGAGACGACTCTCCCAAGCACGACGCCATGACCCACGCATTTCACGAAACGCCCGCACTGCAAAGTGCCGTCGCGTGCGCATCCACGCAAACGTACAGAGACGCAAAACACTCACGCATTCACGAGACATACAAACTCTGCCACACACGATCACGGCGGCCGGAATGAGTCTCCCGACCGGCACCTTCCGCGTCCCATCCCGTTCGTACACGAAGAGCGAGGCGGCAACGAGCGACGTCGCGCAAGACGGCCGTCGTGTCGGACGTCACAATCCCCCCAGTTTGTGCTTGAAGTCCCAGCAAAAAGAGTGAGCGAATGCGTGTCGCCGTCGTCCTGACCCCTGGCCGCGAAAGCTTCTGCGGATCGTCAGGCTGGAGGGTGAACTGCGACAAAACGCGCCCGCCACGTTCCCCGCCACTGCCGCAACAGCACGACGCTTCTCCGTCGTCGTCGGGCAGAAATGAAGGGACCACTTTCTGGGAAGCGGTCACACGTGAGGAAGCGTCCCAGGCATCGTACGCGCGACGAAGTGGATGGTCCAACTCACCAGGACAGCGCCGCCATCGCTGCAGACGACCACCGTTTCCTCGGGCACCGCATGAGCTGCGCCACAAGAAATGCGCCACCGTAACCACGATGGTCGGCCACCCAAATGGAATCGCAAACTCAAATAGCGGGCGTTTCGCTTGTTAGAGGAAATATCTTTACGGTGCAATCCCCTAACTACAACACCACGTATAACGACGCAAGGTCTAGCCTGTTTATAACAAAGTCGGCGGGAAATAAACCACTTCGCTATATTCACTATTTCATTAAAACCAAAATAAATATATAACAAGGCCTCGCACGACTGACTTGTCATATCGGTCGGAGAAAAACAGTCTTTAGACGTGTTCGAAGCATGGCAAGAAACTATGCCGTCCTGTGTGCAGCAACCACAGCATCTTTTGTATGACGCATAAGCAGTACGACTGGTTTAAATCACGTCGTAATGAACGTCTAGGACAGCACAGTTTACTTTTCGCTCGGTACCGTAACTGCGTGCACATGCTGCCGAGCGTACTTCCGGCTAGTCACGATGCCCGTTCCCGCGACCGAAGGGGGAAGCCCTGCTCACATTCGCTGTCGGTGTTGTCGTCCACCGTGGCGTCTCCGTAGGCATTGGTGGCGTCCGATGAGCTCATTTCTGCATTCTGGCTGCCAATTGCTGTTGCGGAAATAGAAAGGAAGCAAAACAACCGCGACAATTATTTTCCTCCCCCTTCGAAAAGCTCACCCGAGGTCCCATTTCGGTCCCGGCGAGAGCGAGGGCTTTCTTGGCTGCCAATAGACCATATGTGAAATGTAGAGCGCCATCTAGTAGCACGTTTCAAACTATGCCCGCCATCTTGGTAGCAGCAAGAAAACGAAACTGGTGACCCAAACAACAAAAGACCCTATGTAAACAAACGATCGCACTTCGTGCGAGAGATGCAATGCCAACGCGTCGCTGCGTTCCGCTGCGGATGCAACGATAAACCTTCGATTCGTGCGTGACTGGAATGCAAACGTAAACAGGGTTCACAATTTTTTCCTATTTTTATTCGTTACTTGAGACGCAGCTTTTGACGAAAACAATCTGTGACAACGTGAAGAAACGTGCGGACGTTATCGCGTGGCATGAAGTTATTTACAACTATTGAACTGGGTGCTAATCTTTTCACAAAGTTGTACCAAATTTGTTTCTGAACTTTTTTTTTTTTTCTTTTTTGATGCATGCTGTTGTGTTGGTTTGCATTTTTCTTGACGCGCAAGCAGCGCAGTGCATGCGGACGAGACCAAGGCTGTTATGCGAGGCAAAAAGACGAGTTTAAATAATCTACACCACCAACCATAACTGAAGATCCGTATGGTTAACAGTGAACAACAAAAGCTGAAAGCACCACAGAACCCTCATTTTAACGTCATATATTAAAAAAAAATTAATTACTTTGGAAAGCTAGAAAACAATCCGATTGCTTTGAAGCGATTTCTGTACATTTGATCTGGCGTTGGTAAACGAGGTTTGTAGAAAACCTCTTGAATATTTAAAGAGCGGTCATGTAGAATAGAAAACACAACAGATACAGACGTGTCTGTTTGTTCAACACTCGGAGAGAAGGGATTTTCCGGTCTTTTCTGTCGAGCGCCGCCACGTTCAACTTAGGTTCATCGCAGTGGCTAAAACTCTGCGACAGCGAAAGCTTCTGTTGCGGATGTTGACTGAAACAACATGAGCAGTGCCAACTTCATTTCACAATCTCCTTTTCTTTTTTTTTTCTTTTTTGTCACAGGCAAGGTAAAAATTTTGTTTAGTGCAAATAAGCTCGGGGAGTAGTTTTGAGAAACTGAATGCAGTTATTCTGCAAGGATCAAACAAATCTTCATTAATAGCACAACATCCGTCAACAGTGCTTGAGGTCAATGCTATCTGAAACCAATTGGAGCTCTTTGCAATGCCTGAAAAATATTGCCCAGGGTAGTTTTCTTAAATAAAAAAACTTCCGCCAAAAAAAAAAAAAAAAAAAAAAAAAAAAAAAAAAAAAAAACTAACTCTGAGCTGCACGTATCGTAAAAAGAATTGAAACTGTCCTCAGAGATGAAAGGCATGACGGCCTAGTCCTCCGTCCATGTTGGGTGATCAGAAGTCGGAAAACAATCAAGTTTCCGAATCGCACTTAGTGGTGGAGCGTCCATGCTCTGAAAATGCTAAGAAACCAAAACTCAAGATACTCGACGCTACCAAGATGGCCGCGTGCAGTGTTGCCAGACCAGAAAGCAGTTTCGCACATCGTCTAGTGGATGTGCCGTCCCAGCATTCGGCACGGCGAGCCTCATGAACCGATCGGAAATTTCTCGCCAGCTTCAGAGTCTATGATGGGGCACTAGATATTTTAGCGAGCACTTGTTGCCGACACGTGGACGGCGAGAGGTGTCGCAGCGTCCTATGTGCCCGTGCCGAGGGTTTCGTTATACACCCATGAATTTTTACTTCTGTACGGTGCTGTAACAATTTGAGATTTGCAGAGGAATTGGGACTGTCAATCGCTCTAACGTGAAAACAGTGGACGAACGCAATTTCAGCTTGTGTTCAAAATTATTTTGCCGCGGCACTCTGCTTAGAGCGGACTACCTTTTTCTTTCAGTTGTGTAAGCGGATGATACAAAGCTAGCTGTTTTCCTGCCTTATTTTCGTCTGCAAACTATGCTTCTCAGAAGACAAACCACAGTATTCACCTTAGTCAGCTCCTGTACTCCTCACCTCAATGTGACTACAACGACTTCACTCTCTCCATGAAAGTTAATTATACTCCGTTCACCCCTTAACCTGAAACTAGAAGCTCCGCTTTCAGCACGAGATTTCCGCCCTCGCTAACGCAAGTGCGAACGCGCAGGCACGCACAACTGAGGCACTGCAGAAGTCAGCGAACCCGCATCGAAGACGGAGCTTCTAGCCACAACTTAAAGGAGCTGTGCAACAACTTCAGGGCTTTGCTTAAATAATTGTGGAAGTTGATGCCTGACACTTCTGCAGTGAACTCCAGAAAACAGATTTTGCCTGGATACCCTAGTTTTTACTTTAAAAAATGAAAAAGATCCAGGTTTTTGCCACCTCTCAACTCGTGCATCGTCTTCCGGGTCACGTGCACAGTGACGTCACTAGAGTAGGCGCGGAGTTCCGGAAAAGTTCTCTCTTTAGAGCCATCAGCGAGCAGCGAGAACTCATCCGCTCCCGACCGCGTGACCACCCGTCCTTGCCCGTCCGGCGCTGTCCCTCCCCCCTCCGGCTTCTGGCGGCTGTTCGCGGTTTTGTGGACCTAGGATAGATGGCGCCACTAAAACTCCGTATAATAAAAGTTTTGTCGATGATACCAGGGTGTTGACGCATTTATATATATGTTGGAACGACAAGATTTATAAAAAAAGTTACCTTTTATCGAGCAGGTATTCGCACAACTTGCTATCTTTCTTACAACGACCCAAGTGACGTCACGCCGCTTGTTTCTCATGGCCGCCGCTCGTGGCTGCAGGTCGGGAAATATTCCAAGTTTTGCCTCGCTATTACGCGGCGGAATTGCAACATTGCGATGAAAGGAGGTGTGTTTTCTACCATTTGTGACACAGTGAACAATATCAAAAGCAGAAAATGCCAATTCTTTCAACGTTAAAATCGTTGCACAGCTCCTTTAAGGGTGAACGGAGTCTAGGCCTCGCTCTCTTACGTCTACCGAAATGAGACCTGCAGAGACACGGACTAAAGACTCACGCTCGAGCTCAGGCGGTCCACCGTTCTCCCTGCCGTCCCTAGGGTCCTCCTCATCCTCGTGCCCTTCCTCGTGGGAAGCCAGCTGCAGCGGGGTGCGGGCAGACCCGCCCCCCAGACCCGCCACCCCCTGGGACCCGGCCCCCTGGCCCGACCCTTTCCGGCCGGCGCCCCGGGGCGTGCCAGGCGCCCCCTGGGCGGGCAGGTTGACGATGCGCGACAGCGTCTCGAGGGGCTTCAGGGCAGAGTTGACCGTGGCCGCCATGTGGGGCGACGACAGGTCCAGGCTGTGGGGGATGCGTGCCAGGTCCGTCACCAGGCCCCGCCGCAGCAGCACCCGCACCATGTTGTTCATGCTGGAGGGGACGAAGAAGCGGCCACATTGGGACACCGGATCGCTGCCAACCGAGGTTTGGCCCTTTAATCGACGTTATTACTGTCACTGACACAACGAGAATGGCAGGGCATCTCTTTCGAATGCCCAATTCCGAGCACCTGCAAGCTCAAGACCCACGAGATGGTGAAGTGTTACTAAAGGAACCTTATGCTGGAGGTGACACAACTAAAGGACCTCCCCGAAGTTCTTATACTGTCGGTAACTAAGGACTAATGCAGTTGTCCCTTCCAGAAGAGGTCTCTTCACTAAGCCCCACTCTAGATGACAAGGCTGTAATGCCGTATTCTTTGAATCACGCACCCACTGGATGACGAGGCTGCGATGCTGGACCCTCTTGCGTCACCTATTGGAAGCCAGCGTGGGACACGTATTGATTGAGAGTGCTGCGTCAGCATTTGGCTGGGATTCAGGCCCCCAATTGAACCCGAGCCCCAGCTGAACACTGACGCAGTACTCGTTTCCTATTTGTTCCCCATGCTAGCCCGATGGGTGACAAAAAAACCCAGCACTACAACCCTGTTTGCAGGTGAAGTGTTGCCTTTGCACTTCACCTGAAAAAGAAAAGCGATCATCACTGTTGTCAACCAGCTTCTGTCACGCCTTTGAAGATGGCAAACTGCTATAGAAATATTTTGGTCATCGTTCGCGATACGATTTTTATCAAACAGTTTTCCCAGAATCAACAGATTTGTGCTGCATTTCTGTAGGTGGCCAAAAGAGTGTCCTTGCACACCACCCCTAGTTTTAAGAAAATCCATGCATCTGTGTCCTTTGCGCAGAGCTACCGCACTCTGGCTTTTGCAAGAATTCCCGTTAGCAGACCAAGAATCCCAATGTGCCAGCACTGCCACACCTGCACGACAACTGGACACTGCTTCAGATACTCTCCGTCTCACGGCGTCCCCCAATCTCCACGGCTCCGAACCCCGCACAACCCACCTGGCATGCAGCTGTCGGAAGGAAGAGGTGGCCTGGGCAGGAGGGCACGACTCTATCATGGTGCCCACCAGACCCGTCAAAGCCTGGATGCGGGCATGCTTCTCTGTGCCTTCTGGCAGCGCCAGCGCTCGGTGCAGGGCCCCTTTGACCTGTGTGCGAGAAAAAAAAAAATGATGGCCATTGGGTCAGATGTTTTAAAGGCACGCTCACACGTACGGTGCAGCAATAATACGGCGCGAATTCGGCGTCCTTAGCAAAGATGCAACAATTGCTAAAATTGCTAAATTCACACGTCATCATCGGCACGAGTTGTGGGTGAGGCAACTTGTCAGCCGTGAAAAAGTTTTGACAGTGCGAAAGAATCTGCCGAACACTCGCCGTCAGCGTACGCTTGGAGTGGTATTCACACGAGGGAGTAGTCCCGGTGATTCCTTCATGCTTGCGAGATGCTGCGATGTTAGCTTCGTAACTGAGGGAGAGAGGGAGGGATGCTTTGGCAGTACAAACAGTCCCAGTTTGGCGGCGGATCGGTTTGTTCCCACACCGAGTGTGTTACATGGCTGGCACCTAACCAAAACCGGTTAGGTTATGGTTAGGTGCCTCACCGATTGGGCACCGGTCTGCTCTGCTCTGTGAAACGAGAGAGCAAGAGAGAGCACGAGAGTAAAGGAGACAGAAAAGCGGAGGAAAAAAAGAAAGCAGACTCCTTTGCTGCAACGGAATGCGGCAGTTTCGAGCGTTTTGCCCTCTTCTGCTGCAAGCTGCCACGTTTCAATTGTTTCCTTTTCACAAGCTCCATCTACTGCATCTCGCACTCCAACAGGCTCTGAGGAGGTCTCGTTTACACCGCAACCACAGAAGGTGGCACCCGCAAGAAGAAACCCCGAAAAATACTTGCCTGCTTAATTTGCTGGACACGGGACTGCTTCGCACCATCCAATCTCCACCCGTGTGCAAGGTGTTCCACACTAACACATCGCATTCTGCATTAGCACTGCCTCTGCCACGCCAGTAAAGGGGCGACTTTTTTTTGGCGATAGTCCACCGTTCAACACCTTTACGTCGAGCGCAGAGACTGCTAAATTCGCCTGCGGCGGTGCCAAGAGTGGAAACCGCTAAATTGGACCCAAAACACTGATTCCTCCACCCTCGTCGTCATGAACAACTAGATGCCGCCGACAGCCGCATTAATTTGGCACCACGCATGAATCGCTAAATTAATTTTAATTTTAATTTTGATTTAAACGCGTGAACCGGTCCTCACGGTAGAAGTTCAACAGCTAGGTGGTGAGGCCGTCCCGCGAACCGAAACTACGTGCACCGCATTTAGTTTTTGAAACTGCGAGCCGGGACAAAGGCCAAGCGTGGCCAAAGAAGCGTCCCTCACCTCATTGACCAGGGCGGTCTGGGTGTCCGGGGAGTGATTGGCAGAGGCCAGGGCGGCCACCAGCACCCTGGCCAGGGCGGGGCTGTCCTTGTCGCCGGCCTTCTGGCACTGGGGTAGCAGGTGGTCCAGTATGAAGCCCAGGGCACTCATCTCCTGAGGATGAGAAAGGGGCACTTTAAGAGCCATCCATTCCTACAGTCTGCCCACTGTACTTTTAGGGAATCACTTTTGCACTTTCACGCATAAAATGGGTTACGAATTCTACAGGCTCGGTCGTGCCGACCAGGAAGCGCAAAATGTCGTGTCCCTAGTTTTTGTCGGCACGATCAACTAGCACAAAGCACACTATGCGTGTGGTTTCGACAAGTTCTTTCAACAGTTTTATTATCTTTCCTTTTTCCTAGAGTCTAAATTTATTGCTTCACTTTTGCTATTTCATTTTTGTCTTATTTTATATTCCATCATTCGTTTTATCTTTTTATTATTTTTTTTACCCTAAAATGTCACCAAAGCACACAGATTAACGTTTCCCAAACTTGGGAATTCTGCAAATTATACGTCAAGCGCCCGATTTGACTGGACAAGCACCCATGTCTACATTAATCCAGTTTTCAGTGAAAGGGGGGTGAGGGCTGCCTTAGTATTTTACGGTATGCATTCTTATTTCTTTATTATTTTCCCCCGCTGCTCTTGCTGGCACATCTTAATTCATATAAGAATTGTTTATCCCTCCAGACCAGCTGCGCTAACACGTTACTAGCTAAGTGGCTATATCCAACTGCCACCATGCCGACCCAGGTCTGATCCCTGCCGTGGCTCCTACGTTGTAGACTTGACATAAAACCTGAGACACTCGTTCCAATGCTCGTTTGTGACAATTTTCTTATAAGGAAACGCCCCATGTAGGATATGTTTGGGAATTCTCTCCATCAGACACTTCTCCCTCACCTCCGGCACCAGCTCCGTCTGCCCCGCCGCATACACGTGGTCCGCCACCATCCGCGCACACGGCGCGTACGACCGCACCAGCTCCGCCAGGAGCCGACAAACGGCAGACTTGGGCAGCAGGGGCTGGCTCTTGTCCTCCTTGGGGCCCGGCGTGCCGCCCCGAGACCCGGTCGACCCCGGGCCGGACCTGTCCTTGGCGGCGGCGCCCCCGTCCTCGACCCCGGCAGGGTCCAGGGTGGGCACGGGGTCCTCGTCCTGGGCCAGCAGGTCGTTGGCGCTGCCCTCCCGCACCAGGTCGGCTCCGGGGACGCCCCCGTTGCCGCCTGCGCCGGCAGCGCCGTTGGCAGACGGGCTGGCACCCCCGGCGTCCGACAAGGACCCCGCCACGGCGTCCATGGCACCGGCTGCACGTTCGGAAGGCGCAGTCGAACGAAAGTCTTGGAAATGCGCCAACGCTCTTCGATGCTCGTATAATTTGCCATCGTTGCGGCGTCCTTGTCGTTTCTGCAAGTCCTTCCGAGCACAATTCTAAGGGTTTTCGCTTTCGTTCTCAGTTCCACTCTCATGCCCGATCCGTACTCGATCCACAACGAGCACCCCGGCGCGTTGTAACTGAAAGTCGCGTTCTTCGGACTCGCTGCAAACTTTCTGCGATCTAGCCACACGGTGTACAAGTTGGTTGGCTTGGAAGGTGAACAACCCAATTCTCCGGGGAGGTTCCCACCAACAGTTGTCGCCGTAAAATGCTGATCCACCTACCCTATAGGCGTACACCACAAACAAGCCGGTGTTTGCCCACACCCGGCCTGGGCACTGTGCATCTTGGTAAAAAATTGCAATACAGTCACCAACTGATTTTTCGGACTTCGCAGGGATTGGAAAAATGACGATATAATAGAACAGTCCAAAATATCAGCAAATTAAAAATCTTGCCTCTATTACGTCGAAGCAAGCTTAAAAAAGCCGTCAATAGTGCCTTGCTTCAGGTTACCCCTGCGAGCCTTGCTTCAAATTACGCCTCCACTTGTGTTTGGCCACTTTCTATCAGGTTGAAAATTCACTGCCTTCTTTTCTAGCGTTATGGTGTACTACTTTTGGAGCTTCTAAGCGACACTTTGCGGTGGCGTAAGAGATGGGGCCACGACATCCAAGCCGGCGTAGTCCGAAAGCACGATTCACCGAGACAAGACGAGAGGTGCAAGTCCACGACTGCAGAATGGTGAATGAACAAAGCAAAGTGGTGATAATAATAATGACACGCAGCTAGAGAAAAAAAAAAGCCGTAACACAGCGTCACTTAGCAGTAGGACTTGGCAGTACTCAAGCGGCACTGCCAAACCAAGCCAATCCCTGTGCAGAAAACATTGAATCTAAAATGGCGGCATCTCAATAATGTATCCCGCTGATCGCTTACAGAAATTTTGTCCAAAATATCGCAACTTTTCGACTTCAAGCTGTCTGAAACATTGGCCGTAAATATGCACTATTTCTATAGGGTAGGTCACTGTTACTCCTTTCCAAAATATTGAACAAGTCCGAATTATCGGCCGGCGACTATTTTTGGTTGTTCTGAAGTTGCACATTTGGGGTCAAATACAGTCTAAAGTCCACTTGAAGGTAGAACGGGGCATGGATCGGAACAAGCTCTTCGAAACCATTCAGGCCGCGGATCGCCGAGCCAGTCCGGCTGAAACCCGCCGGCGCTCCGGAGTCACTCACCGTCCTGCGGCGGCGGGGTGGGCGGGAGCGGGGTGGGCAGCACGTTGAGGAGGTCGCTCATCACCTGGGCCACCACTCCTCCCACCGGGGGAGGAGAGGACGGCGCCTTGGCCGCCACGTACTTCAGGATCTGGACTGCGTTGGCACTGGTGTAACGGCTGTCGTCCTCCTCTGCGAGAAACGGGGGGGCTCGAGATCGTGCGACAGCCAAGGAGGTAACAACTGAACTCCTCAAACATTAAAGCGTGTGGGACATGTGGTGTGGTGCTGATCGTGCGGAAGAGAAAAGACTTCCAACACGTGGAAGTTACTTCTTTTCCAGAGGCAACGCTGCGCACAGAAACCTCACGTTCGTGCGACGGAGCAGTCCTCGAGCTCGTGAGCGGCGAAGATAAGTGAGCGACGAGAGCAGTTTGGCTCGAAGCAATGCGTGGATATGTGGCTCGGCCAACCTATAACTAGACTCGAGCACGAGCAGTCTAAAGTCAGTGACAGCGTAACAATGCAGTACGAAGCCCGCCTCAGGCACAAGCTTTCTGTCCTCAACTCGCACACTAAGGGCCCTCCTATACTGCACAGCGAAAGTAAGCAAGACCAAGAAACTGGGACAAACCCATCTGCTGCGATTGATTGGCAGCGCGTCGCCGACCAATCACAGCAGACTGCGTTTATCGGATGCCTTGGTCCCGCCTGGTCCCGCCGTGTGGCATAGGGCCACAAGTCAAAGACCAACACACAGGAACGAGTGCATTCTGGAGGCAGACCTACTGAATTCTGGGCCCGTCACGGACTATAAAAACACCTTTCCAGAAGCAGCCCACTATTTGCGGGGTTACCGACTTTTGAGCTAAACTTGTTTTCGCCGCAAGCAGTCCCAACCCTCGCGCTTGCAATCCCGGAGGCAGACCGTACACAACAAAAAAAGGTCCCAACCAACCTCTCTTGGACATGGGCAGGAGCGATATGCGCAGCACGCTGGTGGCCACCTCCCGGAACAGGTCGGCGTCCCGGCACGCGGCGGGCCCCAGCACCCTGAGCACGTAGTGCAGCTCCTTGGAGCTCATGGGGCTGTTGCCGCCCGCCGTCATGGTGCGCGCCACCTTGTCCATGGCATGGGCCAGCGTGGGAGGCTCCTCCACCACGTGGCGCACCAGCAGCGAGGCCAACGAGGCGAAGCCCGAGAAGGCCGACGCCTGCGTCAGGCCCAGCAGCAGCCGGGGCCCTCCCAGGCTGGCAAAGGCCTGGGCCGCCTCGTGGCAGCGGGTCAGGCGAAGGGACAGGCGCAGCACGCCGTGAAGGGTGTCCGGCTCCACGGGGAGGCCCAGGAGGCCCACGCACGACCTGCGGGAGCGGACGGGTTGGAGACGTTGCGGGCGGGCTTGAAACGCGACAGAACCCAAAAGTCTGGGCTGCAGAACCTGCGGCCATGACTTTTCGTACCTCCATTACATTCCAACATCACAGAAACGTGCTGCCTGCCGCGATCCTGGAGGTGGGGCCATGGCAGAAATGAGCGTAGCATATGCCTGTTCTGCCGTAGGCCACTCTCCAGCTCGACAGTCCACCAGACGATGTGACGACAGGCGCATTCACTCGTACTAGTAGTTGCCAGAACTTCTACGTCCGACTGTCAGAATGGCAACGGTTGACTGTCACTGACTGCAACATGCGACACCCAACAGCGTGACACGACAACTCTTGCGACTTAATTTGTTGCCGTTTCGGGACCCCTTTCAATGTGCAGGCGGCATAGGACACTACACAGACGGTTAAACGAGTACCGAGAAGAGCAATGGTGGTGCCAGGAACACATTCCAACTGGCCTTTCTAGTGCCCCGCACGAGCCAGGCATCAAAGCACCCTCCAAACTGGCAACAAAAAAATGCTGCGAGAGCCACGGTGCGGAAGTACAGATCGCCGCAATCGCAGAGGCTGGTTACAAAAGCTCCGCCGAAGAACAGGAGCGGAAACGCGCATCACCGTCTTCACGGCATCCCAACACACAGACTGAGGGGCTTCCGCGGAGCTTCTGCAGAGCAGTCGACTACAGAACGTGGCAGCACGAAACGAGCGTCAGCCACACCCACCTCCCTCACCACGGCACCAACAGAGCCATAATATCGCAACGCCACCAGTTGCAAATCGAGGCGACAATGAACGCGCGAGAAATGCACCAACGAGACACTCATACCGGGCACCACAACGCAACACCAACTTCTCCGGGACAACCAACACAAAACACCAACCTGATGAGCGTCGAACACTGCTGCGGCGTCAGACCTCGCACCACCACAGGCACAACCGCCGTCGTCGTCGTTGCTGCCGCGCTCGCCGCCGAATCCGCAGACGGGGCAGCAGCCGCTGCAGCAGCCGACACGGAAGTCAAAGCCGGAGCCGACGCAGTAGACGCCACGGTTGCGACCCTAGCTGCAGCCGCCGCCGCGGCCGCTGCCACCGCCGCCACCATGGCGTTGGCCACCACCTCCTCGCTGGCGGCTACGGTGGACGCCGTCGCGTTGTTGACGCCGGTCGACGTGGCGGGTGGCGGCGGCGTGGAGCTCTTGCCATCCCAGGCGAGCATGACGGGGCGCCAGTTGCCGGTCTCCTCGTTGATCTGCACCATGGTGGAGAACTGGACCGTGTACTTGCGACGCCCCGCCGTGAAGTGGACGCTGGGCTCCACGGCGCAGTAGGCCTCGTCGATCGCCTTGTTGTTCTGCGGCTGGTACGTGCTCCAGCGGCCCGTGCGGTCGTCGAACCACTTCCACTGGCGCTTGGGCAGCTGGGCGTACACGTTCCGGGTCACGACAACTCGCCCAACACCAACGACGGGACGCCTAACTCCCAAAAACATTTCTTTAGACTGTATCACAACACGCAAAAGTGCATTAAGTAGCTTCTTGTAACCATACTACCATCCAGCATACGGGTTCTCAAGCTGGGTCCTTAAGACAACACTCCCATCGGCACAAAGATAAAAAGGACGCGAAAGAGAAGAGGCCTCACCTGAAGCAAAGGAGCCCGACGCTTGGATGCCACAGAGGCCTTTTCGTACAGGTCCACGAGGAGCACCAGCGAAACGAGCCACCTGCAGGGAACGGACAACGCGGGGTGTGGGTCGTCAACAACAAATCCTTGTACGCCCAAGTTCAACTACAACTTCAAAGAAACCACGAAGCAATTTTGCCCTCGTTAGCCTTCTTTAGGGTGGCACCCGAGATTCGGCATTAAAACTTTAATATCTAAGGCACGGGTTCTAAAGCTCCAGGTGTTCCCCGGAGTACCCTCTCCATGCTCCCAGGTTTTCTCAACCGTCCTTACCACAAGGTATGCGTTATTCTGGTTTTTAAGCACCGTTCCAGCAGACCCCAGCCATCCATAGACACATAGCTACGAGCCGGACGCTCCACTCCATGGCATACGTGCATTGTTGTTTACAAGGTCTGTAGTCTCCTGCATTGCTTTACTGCACCAATGCCGAGACCAGATGGGGATTCCTCGAGATAGAAAAGTTTGAGGATCCCCAACCTAAGGAGCGTTGGCCATAGCCCACACAGACAAGAGAAAGGGAGAGTGGTTTCTCACTTGGGGGTGGCCGGAGGCTCTTTGGGCGGCACCGGAAGCACCAGCACCCGCTGCGCGGCGTCCACCAGCTGCACCAGGGGGTCGACAAGGTCGTGCTCTTCCAGCAGGCTGGCACAAGGTAGCCGCATCTCCTGAAAGGGGGCAACGAAGAGGCACGCTCGTACCTGCAGACTCACACCCTCGCGGCCGTCTCCGCGTGGCCTCTGGTAAAGAGTGCTGCAGCAACCGCGCATTGCAGAAAGGACACGCACCTCGAAGAGCAGGGTGAAGAGGTGTATGCGGACGGCGGCCATGTTAGCCTCCGGCAGGTTGGACAGTTGGGAGGCCCGCTCCGCCTGGGGCACCTCCTCGCGCCCAGCCACCTCCAGCAAGGCAGTCACCGTCGTGCGCACCTGCAGGGAAAGGCGCGGGGCCGTCGGTGAAACCGGCCTCTCCTAAACGGTCGCCAGAGTTTCCTCCACATTTCTCGGTTTCCCCGACCACCATATTGAGATCACCCCCAACGTGCACGAAACCTCCGCACTCATTACAGTCACTCCTTTTTCCCCTCGTTCTTTTAACTTTTCCGTACACTTTTGTCCACGGCATCTCGGAGACATCGGTACTACCCGAAACTGTCCCACTTTCCTTCTCTCACTGCCCAGATCCTCCTCGCCCGTCTCGGGCACGCACCGAGATTTCCGCGACCATTTCCCCGAGACCGCCCCGCTTTCCCTCATATTCCGAGATTTAAATAGGCTCTCCCCCAAAAAAAAGCCCTGGGCGAGCTCTGGCTTCCCCCAGAATTTCCCTAGGTTTCCCCCACCTCCTGGAGCAGGCAGGCCAGCATCTGGTCCCTCCAGGCGCTGCCATTGCGCGCCACCACGGCCCCAAGCAGGTCGCAGACCCGGTACACCGTGTCCGGCAGGGAGTCCAGCAGACGCAGGCAGCCCGGCAGCATGTTCTCCGTGAAGGCATCCATCACCCCGGGGTCCGGGGGCTCTTCCTCCACCTGCCCCTTCTCTTCCTCCTCCTCTTCCACTGTCCGGCTCTGCAAGAGAGTGGATGCCCAAAGTCAACCCGCGCACGCAGTGAAGCGGCAACAAAAAAATATTTAGCAGTTCCGCGTAACTTCAAAGTACGTTCACAGCGACGTATCACGGGGGTCATGACGGCAAGCCTTCATTGGCTTCCTTCTCCCGAGCATGCACCTCATTGTTGTACTTGCAATGAACGGTGAGTCGCGTTGCAGCCAGCGCTCTTTTCAGCGTCTTGCAACAAGTGTGACGCAAGCACGCAGGGAGGGTGAGACGCACATGCCTGCCTGCCACTTTGCACCACCTCTCGTCGAGCTTGGCGCGTTTGCCGCTTGGGGCAGCTCGGGGAACCCCTAACGACAACATAACGCGCAGGACCGTCTTCTAGGCGGCATTGGATGGACGGATACGGCCGAATCCTGTTAATCAGGCGGCAGCTTGCATCTCCGCGCCCAAGTTTTTAATTTTGACAATTAACTCCAATTTAATTTATAAGTAATTAAGAATGACAAAGAATTTTCTATTGTGGCGTTGCGGCAACCGTGGCCATCTAGCGAGCATTACTTGAGACTCATACGCACATCTCTGTTCCAGAAGTGGCGTATATGAAGAGGATTTTCAGAGCTAGGGTGCCTTCGTGTGCACTTTGCTTAGGGTGACAACCTCTGACCTTTTTTCTTGTTAAACGCTAATGTTTCTTTTTGATGTGGAGCGCATGAAAGAGAGTTTCTCGGCACGAGCTCTTGGCATGCCCGGCGGTATTCTGACAGTGCTACGACAACGTTTCATTATCGGCCATATTTTGTTTTTAATTTTTCCCCAGCGTTTGTTGTTGTTGGCGTTGGATACTACAAAGAATGCATAACCCTAAACAGAAGGACATTGAGGCAGCTTAGTCAAAGCTGTGGCATAGCTCAGTGGCAACACGCCCGCAACGAACCCAGAATCGAATCCCGCAGGAGGCGGGTGATCTTTATCAAAGATTTGGCAATGTCGACGGTGGACAGCCCGCACCCTATTGCAACATCTAATACCGTATTTACTCGCATAATGAACGCACTCGCGTAATGAACGCACCCTTCAAGTCGGCTCTAAAAATTTTGACTTTTTTTTTCACTCGCGTAATAAACGCACCACCAACTTGGACGTCAAAATTTTGACCGCCTCCCCCCACGCGCGGAATGAACACACTTTTCTATCCTGGTGCAGCGAGGTCGCGAATGCATGGGCAGCGTGGGCGAACAAAAACGCCTTGCAAAAGGCGTTAAAAAAATTCGCAAAGATCCAACGAAAGCAAGAAAAAAAAACATGCAAGAGTAGCTTTTTCTTTTTTTTTTTTTTTTGCACAGCGCAGTTTGGTTATTGGAGGCGAAAAAAAAATACCCAAGGAACTAAAAAAAAATATTAAGTTTTCTTTTTTTTTTTTTTTTTTTTTGCACAGCTTAGTTTGGTTACGGGGTCGGGCGCCGCGCGCAAAGAAATAAGAAGTTACTTCGATTTTTCAGGATAAAAGGTCCCGTTCATTATGCGAGTAAATACGGACGCCAAAATTTTACTTTGCATAATGAACGCCCCCCTCAACTTTGCATTGATTTTTCGGAAAAAAGTGTGTTCATTCTGCGAGTAAATACGGTATGTTAACTACAGTCGCCGACCAATTTTTTGGACATGTTTGATTATTCGGATGTTTTCACCAAACCGTCACTCACCCCATGAAGTTAATGTATAACATTGACCGAAATTTCGGAGCTTATTGCTCGATTTTTCGGACATAATTTGCACGATTTCCTCAGTTTACAGTCATGAAACAGCCGCCGCAATAGCATTGCGAGCTTGGTCGCCGCCATTTTGGTTGTTTTGATTTTGCCCTGTAGCCTCGATACCACGTCCTAAGCAATAAACATGCTGGGTTGAAATTAGATTGGGGTTTCTCAGTTCCGCTATAGCCAACATGGCTGCCATCTGCACATACTTATAGATCTTCCAGTTCTCGTGGTCCGCGTTTTTCGAGTGTGACCGTGAGAAGAGCGGCCGTCTGCTGTTCTTGTGGTCTTTGAGCGTGAAGGTTTTCTGCGGCTTAGTATTGAAGCAAGCTTGGTGGACTAAACATTGTCTCCAAATAGTGCCAAATGGCACCTACTTTAACTTCGCTATTTGAGCCAACAAAGGCGCCGACAAAGCGAGGCACCATGATTAAACGGATCAACAAACAAGTGAAAAGTGAACTTTATAAAGCAGAAGTTGCACGAAAACTTAAAATTTACGTCAAGCAAGTGGAAAGTGGCCAATATGCCGCGGAATATGCGTGGAAATTTGGTATTTTGGCCGAAATCGATTTTTCAAACCACTTGATTATTCGGATAATTTCGGCATCCCTTCAGAGTCTGAAAAATCAGTCTGTGACTGTACCATAAAATTACAAGCAAGCGCCCCCGCCCATGCAAGAGCTCATGCAAGAGCACGAGTTTATGCTCTTGCACAAACTCGTGCTCGTGTCAAGGTGTTTCATCAAGTCGAGCTCCGAGTGTGCGCAGGCGGTCCTTCCGGGATCGCCATCTCTGGGCGTGTTTCTTCTTAGTCTCTTCGATAGCTCTCTGTAGGTTGTCCATCTGGTGTTGAAGGCGTCTCATGTCCTATTTGTATATCTTCAGTTCCTCGTCATGTTATGTGCCTACTTCAAACTTAGTTCCCAGCATCAATATCTTCACTATACCAGTCTTCAGTATGAAAGAGAAGAGGTTGTACTGTATATCCTTTTTAACCTAGCTCTCGTAATCCCCCCCCAAAAAAGAAACGCTTGTCTTACACAATCTGACGCATACAACGCACCTCAGAGCTCTTGGCAGCCCAAACAGACTCGTGCAAATGTCTGAAACGTGTTAGAGGGCGTCGACAAAGTCCAATCGGTCAGTGGAAAAGGAAGGCAAGGGAAACGAAGAAGGGAAGGAGAATCGGGGAAAAAAGGAAAACTGGAGGTCAAGAGGAAATCCACAAGACATAAGGGAAAAGAAAGGCATCCTCACCTGCCCGGCCACTATGTTCTCTCCCAGGGACATAGCGATGGCCCTCATCACTTGGTCCTCTTCAGACATCTCAAGATCTGACCCTGGCATGTCCTGCGGACGTAGCGCGCACAACATTAGCCGGACACATCCGGACGACCCGCTGCTCGACAAGGCCCTCACCTTAAATGCTACCCCGAGCAAAATGCAAGTGCAAAAGACTCCAGATTACGAGACAATGCTGCAACTTTTGATGTCCGAGCAACTCGAATGCTATGCAAACATTGCATCGGAAGCCACGCAACTAGTATACCCTCTGTGGCAATAAAGATGCTTATGCTTTTGTCCGTGTCAGATTTCAAGAAAAGAGACAGTAAAGGAACAAGTGGAAACTATTGACTTGAAAGGGGACGGAGTTGACGATGAGGGGAGATTGAAAAGACATGAAATTCAGAAGGTTCACATGCAAAACCACAGAAGACTACAATAAATGCCCAGACGAAATATTAATTAAGTGCACCAAAGAGGTGTCCGTTGCAATCGTGCCACATCAGACTGCAGCCACAACAGCTAGATTTGATTTTGCTCCCAAACTGGCACATCACCTCAGCCCCAAAAAAAGGAAATAATCAGTATGTCACTAGTTCATTTCCAAGATTTTTTTAATGCTAACTGGGGAAACATCCGAGTAGCGAAGACCTGCACCAATCACCATCTGCCCAGTAAAAATTTACTTCTACAAATTTTAAGTGGTGCTTATATTGAGTGACCAATGTTCACCATGACCTCCAAGCATGGCTAGTTTCTCTGTCCTGGACCTAGGCACCCTGCCCTTTTAGCTGTCTCCCCAATTTTTGGAAACACCAACTCTTGTCAACTTTGCTAACTTTGTGGACCCCAACTCCCCCTTTATACAGTAAAAGTTGGCCCAAAGAAAAGCCAAAAGTGCTTACAAGAGTCTCGAAGGACGAAGAAGCGGTGCATGCAAGCAACTCACCGCACGTGCCGGAGTCCCGACCGCAGCCGTCAGAGGGGAGGAGCTGGCGAGTGGAGCGGCCGGCACCAGGGGGGTTGGGTGACTCAGCAAATAGTCTGTCGCTTGTTCTAAGGAAGCAGAGTGGGCAAGAGCTTCTGTGGCCAACTCCCTGCAGAAGCCCATGTCCATCAGCTGCAAAGAGCCGGAAAGGACGCAATGATTCGAGACATGCCCTTGTCACCGACGAACCGTCCCATTACAGCTAAATAAAAGACTAAGCATTTTTTGCTCGGTAAAGGTATGCTATGCATTGCCAAGTGCCCATACTCTGCCAAAAGGTAGCAGCAGAAGCATGGATAACGCACTTGTTTCGAAACCGATTACACTGAAAGAGGAGCATGTCTGATGGTAGAGGCATGCCTGTTTTCAGCTACATGTTTCAGATGGCGCAACAGGATGAAACGGACTGCCCTCGTGCCTGCTCATTACCACTTGTCGTCGACAACGGGGACATTGGAGCGACGCAGCAGACTACAGATGCAACCCAACTGCTTGTGCTGCCTGACAGTGACTTCTTGCAGAGCCTAATCAGTTTCCAACTTTTTATCCTTTCAATCAGATAACCCTTCTGGCTATGTCTGAACTTAACACAATGTGTAGCTTACTTTCCAAATGCGAGAAGTACCATTCGTTTTTCTTGCCCGACAACCCGAAGGTGCTATGGGCCTGTCCCACAATGCGGGATTTGCACTCACTTGCTGCAGGTGGTCCTGATTGATGTCCTCGTGCGAGGCCGGCACCAGTGTTGCCCTCGAACCCCTAGAGCTCCCGTGGAGCAGGGTACCCTCGGTGGCCCCCGTAGATGTAGAGCCAACAGCTCCGGACGATGTCGAAGCGGCCGCCGCCGCAACTTCCTCTTCCTTGGCCAGTTTTTCCTAGCGATGCGAAATGTCCGATCAAAAGAGACGCCTCAAAACATGCACGTCACAAGAACCGCTCCCTATACTATACTACCCTAATATCCTAATCATCACCCACCCCACTTTTTGGGCTAATATCGATTTCCAAGAAAAACACGGTGTCATCGCCCACCCGTACAAATACCACAAAGCGGACTCCGCGACCCGCGAACATTCATCCTACCCGAAAGACGCGGCCACGGACCTTACAGTTGGAGGATATCCGGGACAAAGTAGAACAAAGGAGGGAAAGACACTCCTCTTTGTTTACGCATTACGCATAGGTAGTGCTGAGTACGGGTTACGTTTCGACTTCATTATTACTGCTTTATGGTCGGTGAAATGCAGAGCCAGTGGTTCTTCTAGCGGATCAGCTTGGATCCACTAGAAGCTGTGGGAACACATCTCCACCGCTTAAGTCAACGGTCCATGTCAGAAAGAGAATTTGTGGTATGGAACGTGGTTATATACGCATTTGAGCAATTGACCGCACCGCCCTCTCGTCTATAAACGTTGAGCAAATGCATGCAAAGTTTAACGGGATTATATACGCAATTGACCGCAGCGCCCTCTCCTGTATAGACGTTGAGCGGCTCCATGCAACTTTTCATCCATGACATCCCCAGCTCTTAAGTTACTACCACATCTCAGAGCCCCCTAATCGTCCCGCAGTCGTGGCCAAGTGGTTAAGGCGATGGACTAGAAATCAATTGAGGTCTCCCCGCACAGGTTCGAATCCTGTCGACCGCGCTAACATTTTTTTTTTTTTTTCCTACACTAGCACGTGAGCTCACGATCACGAGCACAAGCACAAGCAAGATCGATGTGAGCACGGACGCCGGACGGACAAAACTAGACCCTAAGAAGCTTCGCCCCTAAAAAGAGGCTTTTTTTTTTCTCTTTTTTTTTTATGAGTTTTAGATGGCAGAGGGGTGGGCAATGACTCGGGATATTACAATATAATGTATTGCGCTAAAAAAATTTTTTTTTGGGAAAGCTTCATTCTGCAACATCCAAGTTCCATCCACACACTTGACAATGCCCTCATCATTTGGCATCCAACATCGCCAGTTCGACTGGACCGAGACAAGTAATGCGCAAAAACAACAAACGTGCACATCAAGTATAGGGAACTGCTTCAAACAATCCTCCTACTCCCTAACTTCCCAAACAGGCAAAATTGAGCAATTAAAATGTGCGCCCTCTACCTCAAACGACCGAGATTTCAGTCGCAGATTAATGATTCCCGGGTGGTCCAAATCCGTGCCCTTCGCAGGTTCGACCCGTGCCACCAACACCCGAAGTTCCCTCTTTGCCCAGAGGACAGCGCTGCCCATCCCGAAACTGCCTACCACACAAGGCACACCCCTCCCATATATAAAAAAAAAAAAAAAATAAAGCCAGAGCCAAATTTTTCTGAATTACTAAAAGAGTCCAAGGACCGGATGCGACAGCAGCGTCAGCAGTTGGCTGGTACTCTTGTCCCAGCCGAATGTGCCTTGAGCACGCTCAAGACTCATCCGCAGACAATTTTATCACCGTGTCTGCATCAAGCACCGCATCACTTGTACGGTGTATGAGCAGCGCGGCCACGGCCTGAGGCTTCCCAACTAAGAAGAAGACGTTCCCAGAACCCTGCCCAGCACCTCACCTTGATGAGCGCCTCTCCCCTGAGCAGGTGGCAGAGGATGGCCAGCATCGACTCTGACATGCGGTCCCCGTACACCTTTAGGGGCCGGCGGTCCCACAGCTGCATGATGGCGTCGAAGGCCCGCTTGTGCGTGTGGATCAGGTAAAGCACGGGGTTGAACGTGGGACCCGACGGGGCAGCGGCCGAGGCGGCGGCCTGGGCGGCTGCCTGGGCGGCTGCAGTGGCTGCGGCGGCCGCGCTGGGCTTGGAGGGCAGGGTGTGGGGCGACTCGAGGACCATCTTGGGGTTGACCATTTTCTCGAGGAGCATGAGCCAGGCGTCCAGGAACTCCCCCGTGCCCTCTGGCAGTTCGGGGCTCTCCAGGCCCTCCCCGACGGGCACCTTGCCCCCGCAGCTCAGGGCCCAGCGGAAGGTCCTGCGAAAGCGGTGAGAGGGTCTAGACTTCCGCCAAATTTTCGCCCCTGAGCAACTCTCTTCCCTAGACACCACTCTTTGATGGGGAACTGTTTTCCCTGGGCAACTCTTTTCCTGAAGTATTTCCTGCGACAACGGGGTCATCACTTTCCCCAAATTTTGTCCCTGAGCAACTCTCCCTTAGACACCACTATTTGAAGACAACTGGTTTCTCTGAGCAACTCTTTTCCTGAAGTATTACCCCTAGGCACGACACTCTTCCCTGGAGAACCATTTTCCCCGGGAAACTTTTCGAACCAACGGTTCCCCTGACTTCGTGGGTTCCCCAAGCTAAGTGTTCTTGTTTGCTCTGAGCTGACCATCAATGCATAACTATAAGCCACCCTAGTTTGTGCACTGTTGTTTACAAGGACTGGAGGCTTTTGCACCGCTTTATTGCACCAACGACGAGACTGGGTCCCCTGACCACCTTCGAGGCATAGGGCTCCCTGAAATCAATGAGCTTGAGGAACCTTGCCCGAGCAATTATTTTCTCCAAGTAACCTTTTTCATGACAAATTCTTTTCCCTCTGTGAACATAAGATGGGAGAACAGACGTCACAATCAGTGGACTATTTAACTTAAATCCGTTAACTTTCTAATTGACAATATCACAAACTTAAATTTGTTAACTTTCTAATTGACAATATCAATGGTCACGTATTTGCAGTACTGATGACAATTACTATTAGAGGCCAGACCAATTTAAAGAATTCAAGAAAAGGCAGCTGGCACGTTTTTCCCGCCAGATTTTAAAACCCAGCAGAAAATGCGCCACAAGCCCCATTCACAATCACGCGTTTCCCTCGTTAACCCTCCCAACACTCTGCCCGGGTAAAAGCACCTTTGGAAGGTGGCCACGTCCAATCTTTGCAATGTGTACCTACCTTGTCAATGGGCACTACAGCATGGACGGATGGATGCATGGTGGTTGTTCCCCTTGAATGGGGCACCAACTTGCGCCATCTAGCCAAATCCACTTTTTCTTTATCTCCAGATTACGTAATGTTTAATTCAATTTAATCACATTTAACCCTTCTCCATCCCTCGATTTTAGCCACCGTTGCCCCAACCTTCTCTGCAGTGCCTGGTCAAAGTCCGGAAAGGGATGCCCTCTGGGGAGACTCACTCGAAGAAGGCGTCCTGGCCGCCCGACGACAGGAACTTGTGCAGCATCAGGTGGTAAGGGTACTTGCGCTCATCAAACAGCATCGGAGAGGTGAACCCCACCGAGCAGATGTAGAAGGTCAGCCTGGGCACGTCCGGACAACACCTCGGCATCAATCCAAATGCTTTCCCAAAAGACGAAGTCGTCAAACACGCACTAAGAAACCCCGAGGACTAAATCCAAGTTGTTGCGCAGGCATAAGGAGCAGCAACGTACGTGTTAAAACGGGCCCCTACAACGTTTGTGGTCATGCTTACCGTGCGCAAATTCAAGCTTATTTTATTACTACAGACTGAAGACACCTTATGCGGCTTATGCGAACAATGCCGATAAACATCCGGCGGTGTTTATCGGCATTTGTAAAATCGGTTGCAACCGAGAAACACCGATGAAGGTCTGTCGGTGTCAGAATAACGAAATCGGTTAAAACCGAAAAGCACAAATCTTTGGAAATTCTTGTTCTAGCTCGGACCGGTTTTGTAGAAACCCTCCCCACTAGACTGGAACTCTCACGGCTTTTGTGAAGTTCCTTCACCAATAATCTTTGTTTATCGCATCCATCCAAAACATAACCGAAATATACAAATATTTAAAAAAACTGGAACAAAAAACATTCACCAATTTCTCTTACAAATAAACATCAGAAAATCTACTGCCTACTTACCATAAAATACCATGGAAGCGCCCACTTTCTTCAAGCACCCACTATTAACATTTTCCAAACTTGGGAATTCTGCAAATCGTACGTTAAGCACCCCATTTGACCAGACAAGCGCCCATGTCTAGATTATCCCAGTTTTCAGTGAAAGTTGGGTGGGCGTTCCTCCAGTATTTTACGGTATACTACACATGTGCACCCTACCTGACCAAAGGCTTTCTCCTTGGTAGCCAGCTTTGTTATCTACCAAACAAAATCGGTTCACCCGTTTCAACTTCAAGAAAAAGTGCCCGTTGCCAGTACTACGCAAAACAAGCTTGGACCACCACCAAACTCCTGCCAATAAGGAATGATTCTAGACACAACGTCACAAGTCACTGCGATGCAACTAGAACAAGGATCAAAGGTCAAGTACAACATCACGTCTCGCTGAGCCAGGAAAATGAATTCTTTGTTTAAAACAAAGACACTCAAGACCGCTTACGTGTAGGGATGCGAAAGCATTCCTACAAGTAGCGCGCCACGTCTTCCTTTTTCACGCGGCGCTCCAGCCGTGACATCACACGCCCCCACTGCGCAGGCGCAGCGAACCCCGCCGGCTTCACGACGGCTTCCATGACAAATCATCTGCGTTGCTGTGCTTTTCTTTGTGATTTATTTCTGATGCGCATCCGCGTTTTAAAGTCAAAGTTTGGGCCTTAAAAAAAAAAAAGAAAAAATCAAATTATTTGCAAGGTTTGCTTTGTTTGGAAGCTGGACCCACCTGAACTTGGGAAGTGGGGAGGTGAGGGGTGGCTCCCAGGAGAGGCCACTGGCGAGGAGGCGGGTCAGGGCAGAGGCTACGGCCCTCGCAGATGGGGAGGGCGCCGTGGGAGACGGAGGAACCTGCTGACCCCGGCGCTGACGCATAGGTGATCCCACGCACAGCTGCAGAGAGAGAAGGAGAGTGTGAGGGAAGACACAGAACACAGACCATCAGATGAAACTCAAATCACAACCAGGCACAGGCCCATCGAGCGAAACCAAGGTTTGTAGAGAAGCAACAGCTATAAGGGTGCAAAGTTTCGACACTGAGAGTATAATGAGACAGCTCGCGATTTGACTTTATTCGCAACATACCTGTATAGTTCAAAGTTCAATTAGTTGGAATGTAAAAAGGTAGAAATATTTGAAAATTAGAATACAAATAGAATAACTTGCGATTTGATTTCATTTGCAGTGACTGCACACACACCGTTCAAAGTTTTCCGGCAGTTTAGTTCTACAGTCAAATGCCTCCGGCAAATTTTTTCGTAGTATGTGGTAGTTGAGCATGAAAAATCAATCGTGCGAAGCCGAGTTTATATTTGCACGACATTCGAGGGGTTTTAGGAAAAAGTATGTAGCACTGAATAATAATAATAGACAATATAGTATGAGTGACATCAGAAACAAGGTTTGACATGTTGACTATTGACAATCAAAAAAACTTTCAGCCTTTCCACTCTGGTGAAGAAGGAAGACCAGCAAAGCTGTGCTATGGTGGGACGACCTCAAGGTCGACTTTTTGAACGACCTCAAGGTCGACTTCTCGGCCGACCTCAAGGACGACGACTAGAGGACGACGCCTAGGACGACCTCAGGGACGACGTCTAGGACAACCTCAGGGACGACATCTACGACGACGTCTAGGACGACCTCAGGGACGACGTCTAGGACGACCTCAGGGACAATTTCAAGGACAACCTCGAGGACCTCGACAGAGTGTCTAGCAAATTATTATATTGAAATTCCCTGACTTTTCCAGGTTTTCCATGACAATTTCAGGTGAAATTCCCTGACCGCTGTAGAGGCGGTTAAATATATAACACCATTACAACACAAGGCGTTGAGCACTGTGAGCATCATTTTGCACAGGCTTAATCCAACCTGCATATTGGGTTCGCCCAGTCCGGATTAAACGAGCACTTTTTGGCCGCCAACATCATGAGTGAAGAGGCCACTTCCGAAAACACGACGCCCAACCACACAAGTCAATAACCGAATGGCAGCATAGCCCATAGCCATGGCCGCCAGATGTACACTTTCTGATACTTTCGGCTTAATGCTTGGATTGGATTGGGGTCTGCGGCTTTAAGCTCTAACTAGATCAAGCCTAGTGTCGTGCCCTCAATCGAATCCAATCCAAGGCTTAAACTGGATTTGTCGGCTGTTCCCTTTGCATAGAGCAGCACACTCTACATCGGGTGAGCAGAGCCCGCGCTCCACTCGAAGCAGAATTTATTGCCTATTTTTCTAACCCCCAAATCATCAAGTCTTTGCTCAGGGCACTCCAGCTCATTTTCCCAGACTGGGCTCGCATTTTGACAATATCCCTGACAATTCCCCGATTTTTCCCGGCAATTAAAATTCCCCTGACAATTCCCGGTTTTCCCGGTCGCTAGACACCCCGCTCGAGGACGACCTCGGAGACGACTTCTAAGACGACCTCAAGGACGTCGTCCTTGAGGAGAGGACGACTTCTAGGACAACGCCTAGAGAAGCTCAGCCTTTCCACTCTGGTGAAAACTAGAGTGGAAAGGCTGGAAAGGTTGCCGCCGTCGCTTATAGATGGCGGTAGCTGTCAGAGTTCTGTGTCGACATTTATTTGGTGACGGACACGAAACTGGCGAAACTGGCCCTTAACAGCTCTGCTGTGAAAATCGTGAGCCATTCCACTCAGTGAAAGTGGATGACCAGAGAAGCTGTATAGCACATGACACAGACCCGCTCCGAGGAACTGAAGGAAACCAGACACGCAACAGGACCGCCACCCGGCGGAAAATACACGCACGAGGGGACTGCCACCTCGGGAGAGCGGAGGGAAAGGAAACTACCGTAATATCCCGAGTCATCGCCCATCCCCGAGCCATCGCCCACCCCATTTTTTGGGCCAATATCTATTTCCGAAAAAACACCGAGTCATCGCCCACCCCTTCAAATACCCCAGCGCGGACTCGGCGATCCGCGAACACTCATCCTACCCGAATGACGCGGCCGCAGACCTTACAGTTGGAGGACGTCCGTGACAAAGTAAAACGAAGGAGGGAAAGACACTTCTTCTTGTTTACGCATTTCCTCCGCGAGCGACCCCGAAGTGGTCGTGTATCCGTGCGAAAAGAAAGCGATGGAGATAACAAAATAAGAGTTTGTTAATGTATCCGCGGAGTGTTAGGTCAAAGTCTGTCTCCGCCGAAGTAAGGTCACCGCGAACCCGTTCCTTCTTCCCGCCCGTCGCGACCGCGGTTGTGCAATATTTTAGGCAAAGCCAACGCGTAAATAAAGCTTTGCTGGAACGCCCTACACAGACGTTTTCGGAGCGTCCCAATAGCCCGCCGTGCACGGACGCACGTATGTACGCACCAAACAAGAAAGTTGCGCAAGAGCTTGCAATTGACAAGGCGCCCGACTTGGCCCGACGACAAAGTATTTTCCCAGCTTTCCCAGCATTGCTCTTTGTCGCTTCTTTGGTCCGCTCGCTCGCTCGTTGCGCCTAGTCGGTTTTTCTATTTTCTTGTACTTTTCTTCTTTTTTTTTTTTTACTAACTAGGAGAACATAGTGGTGACATTCTTTCACGGAACAAACGTTCGCGCTATATGCAGATCGGCGGTGTTTCTAGCGCGTATGCAAGCAGCGAACTTCGCTATAGTAAAATATTCTTTCGTGAGCATTTCTTTTTTTATAAAACAATGAAACTAAATCGAGTTTTGAGTTTGATGTTTCCCTTGTGCATCAGCGCTAGATACGCAGAGAAAAATGGGCAATTTTTTCCGCTTTTTTTCAAGTGTTTGTGCTCACCCACCGAGACGTGGCCCACCCCACTTTTTTAATGAATTTCAGGCGGTAGGGGGGTGGGCGGTGACTCGGGATATTACGGTAGTCACGCAAGCGCTCGGAACGACGACAAAGAGGGACGGAGCAAGCGTAGACATGGCCGACGTAGGTCGCACAGCAGCAAATCTTTGAGAAACCTTTATTATCTACACGAGAGTCTACTGATCTTGAAAATGATGTCTATTGACAACTAATCTACTGAAAAGACCTATTGCTAAATTACCCAAGCATCAACAAGAATGCAGAGAATAGTGTTCCATGTGCCGCACGTGCCGGCGTGTGCAGCAGTAACTGTTCGAAAGCAAAAGCCTAAAACAAATGGCATCTTGCATGCGCGTTCGTCAACACTTGATTTCGGTTATTTACATTGAATCTTTTATACGGGAAGGCATGCGCGTGGGGCAGGGTTGCGAGCGAAGAGCTTTTAGTCACTGCACATGAAAAATCCACAGAACCCTAGCTATAAACAGCTTCGCCGTAAAAGTCTGCAACCTCTCTTGGTCATTCCCGACAACCTTCTTGCACTCGTATTCGCTCATACTTCTTGCCGGGACTTGAAAGCACCAACCAACAGGATCGCAACATTTGACAACACAACGTTCTGGCAACACCCATTGTTGCCTATTCGGGACCACTTTTGACGCATGGGCGGGACGAGACGCTAAACACGCCAGTCGAAGACGCGTTGCGGCGCCCGCAACGCGACCATATGTCGGCAGCCTCGCTCTCACATGCATTCCACGGTTCGGCGGTTGCCCGATCTCACCTTGACCAGGAGGCCGAACAGCTCGGCGAGGGCACGCCCCAGTCTCGAGGCTCCCGTCAGCAGGGGCTTGATCTGCTTCACCGCCGCCTGGGAGCGAGCCTTGGCACCCTTGGCATCCGTCGACGAAGAGCAGGACGCCGCGCCGGAGACTCCGTCCACGCCGTCCACCTCCATCCCGTTGGACAGGGGCCCGTCGTCCGCCGGGACAGACGTGCCACCCGCTTCGCTCCCCAGGAGGTTCTGCGCGGGCGTCGCCACACCATTTGCAGTCGGACACATCGTCGCATCAAAGTCAAATTTGAGGGTCTCGTGTGTCAAACTAGCCAAGGGCATCTGGCACGCACCGGCGGAGGACCGGGGATTAATTTCGACCGCCCAAGGATCTCTTAACTTGAAACCAGAAGCCCGGTTCCCCGCAATGAGCCCCCCCGTGGAATTGCGGACATCTTGGTCAGGATTTGAAAGCATCACCCGCGAATCCTTGCAGGCCGACACTTTGCCTCGAAGCAGTTGAGGCGGCATAGCGTCGCATAGTTTACCCCCCAGACACGAGCTGCTGGTAAAAGTTCTTCCAAGCTGTCGTCGCACCGTTTAGTATTCGTCACGAGGTAGCAGTGAAGTTTCTGCCAGGGTATGATTATACCAATTACCAGTGAACACAAGCGAGGTTGAGACTGGTAGGAAGAAACTCTGAACCCTAGACGAGTCCAGAGTTATTTTCTATTTGACACGTACAGAGTACGACGTAGTCGGCTCGAAAGAGGTACTGGCTTACTTTTCAGTTTATTGCTCTCCACGCCTGCAACGCCACGTTCAAAATTACTACCGCAGTGCGTTTTTTTGTTAGTACGGGGATGCCCATCCAGCCGAAAATTATGACGTTCAACACTAACCCATACGAGCACTAAACTGCGAAAAAAGCGCCAATGCCGCGTTCGCTACCAGAACATCTCATATCTTAGAAAAATTCAGTTTTTCCGTATCAATCGAAAAATTAAACAACCTGTTGATCTGCAACGACAAGCAAAATGTAATGGTGCAACCTGTCGAAAGGCCCAGACGAATATTTAGTTTCTAAACCTTCGTAAAAACCCTCAACCATGCCGTCGAATTACTCGAGACTATAACCGCTATGGAACCTGTGAAACACAATGGCGGCAAAAGTATTGACACTTCAGGGAGACCCCGGTGTGCGACATTTCAGGAACTCACCTGCAGGGTCCCCTGCAGCCTCTGCAGCTGGTGCCTGCCGAAGGGGCAACCGGGTGGCAGGGCGGAGTCGTTGCAGAGAGCCAGCAGCACCGTGCTCTCCCAGACCAGGGAGGTGTAGAGGCGGGAGAGGCCCCGCAGCACACTAAGGCCCAGCTCGGAGCCCCAGTGGCTCATGGAGATGGAGCGGATCTCGCTCTGGGGGGAGGAGTCGCAAGAGCACGGGTTGGTCGGAGCAGTCGCAAGCACGACCTAGGGGAACGCAAAATTCTAAAACTCACCTGTCCGGTCCTGCAGACGTGCACAAACATGATGATGTAGGCGTGGGTGGCAGCCATGGCGTGGAGCAGGGGAGACTGCCCGCTACCTTCTCCGGCCTCCGCCGTCGCAGCGGGGAGCGCGGGAGCGGCTGTCGTCGCCGCCGCCCCGCCGGAAGAGGGGGACCCCGCCGGGGGTGCCGTCGCGGAGGGGGCTGGCGCCGCAGCCGCCGAAGTGGGGGGAGCGGGAGGCAGGGAGCCCAGCAGCTCCTCGAGCAGCACGGAGCCCCCCGGCGAGTCCAGCGGCCTGTGGAGGGGCTCCAAGGTGCTCAGCACGCCCCCCAGGTGGGTCAGGCCCTGCTGGAGCACCTGGGCCTCGTGGGCCAGGTTCTGCGGCGGGACGTCTCGTTTCGGTTGGCGTTTCGAGCGAGCGAGAAGGGCGATCACAAAGACCTGAGGATTCTTACTAGAGCCAGGATTGAAGGAATAAACGTGCGAGACAAGGACAGCACAACCACATCTTTCTTGAAAGATGTGGTTCTGACATTTATTCTTTCTTCAATCCTGACCCGCACCAATACGCTCTTCGTCTATCAACACTGATTCTATCGAGGGGAAGAGAAAGCGACCAACGGCGACGTCTGCATTATGAATGCATTTGCGGGGTGAAAGAAGAGATGGGAAGAGCATCAGTCAACGAGTCACACTGATCGGCCCTCCTCACTACGAAAAAGAGGAATTGTCGGAGGAAAGGCCGAGTATGATAAAGAGGAAAAAGAGAAAATACAATTGCCAAGTCCAGATTTAAATGCTCGATTTACATAGATCACGGATAATGACAATATACCCGGAATGTTTTTGCAAGCTGCGTCGCATATGCAGCCCGCAGGCCGTGTGTTTGAGACCGCTGGTATAAATAATAGTAAATGGGGAAAGTAAACACAACAAGTAGAACAAGGAAAAGCACAGAGACAGTGCTGTGTTCTTGTTCTTGTTTGTTCTATTTACTATTATTTATACACAATGTGACGGAAAGAATGAAGACAAAATATACAGCATCAAAAAAGGAAGAGTGACAAAGTGCAACCGAAGCCTTTGAAGAGCATAGCAAGAACCAAATAAAATAAAAGGAAGCGAGAGCAATGGTAACAAGATCAAGGCATAAAAGACAAAACGAAGAGAGACACTGACCAGGATGGACTTGCAGACGGAGGCGACGGCCTGGCAGGCGGGGGACACGGGGAAGTCCACCGGCAGGTTGGGCAGCCCCAGGATACTCATGAGGGGCACCAGGCCCTTCTGCTGCACAAACTCCCGGCAGTGGTCGTCCGTCGAGTTGTTGCTCAGGATGGCGTCCACAAAACGCATCTGCACACCGTCCCATTCGACATCAATCGGAAAGGTTCCAGTTGCCACAAAGGGTCGCTGGCCATTCACTGCATACCAGAAGTTGTACGTGGGGCTGACTGTTGTCATTTACAAAGAGAGGATGAGTTATTTTTCTTTTGGCCAGGTTATTTTTTTAGGTGATGGGTCGTCCCACTTTTGTTTGTGGGGCTGACGGTTGTTTTCAAGACGGGGGTGAGTTCCCTATGTAAGAGGCTGTTTCTGTGAATAAATTTTGCAGCTGCATTTTGAGACTTTGTTGCGTTTGTCTTTTTCTTTTCCCTTGTTTCGGGTTACTTTTAAGCATGAACATTCACCACCTAGCCTGCACCACAACCCTTATTTATGACAGCTGGTCAACTGCGCGGCAGCTGCCATTTTAGAAACATAATTTATAATGCTCGTTTTAAACGTTTCATTGACGTCGAATGCCAAGGCGAAGTAAAATTAAGTTTCTTGACGCTGAACATAGAGGTGAAGTGAAGAAAAGAAAGCATTTTGTGCCTACACCCCTTAAAGGAACAATGAAGACGATTTTATTTAATTTTTTTAAATGGCGTTTTAATGCTTCTTGGGAACATAGCATGCCGCCCAATTTTTTGTAGACATTTATGACGCGTATTTATGTGCCTACGAAAGAAGTAAAGAAACCGAAACTGAACCATCTTCAGTCTCGTTTCTGGGCCTCCGAAAGCGGAGGTGACGTAGGGAGTGACGTCAAGTGTGAATAGTCGATATCGGTAGTATTTAGGAGATCGAGACTCTGATTACCGCGGGTGGCTTATAGCAGCGCGATGGCGCGGTCGTTGCGCCGACTCTGTCAACGTGGACGAATGCCGCTCTCGCGAGCGAGTTCGAGCTTCCGTTGAGTGACCGAACACCAACGGAACGGGAGTATGTGTGTGGCGGCCTCTGCCATCACCCGACGGAGACCACCCAGCCGGCAACGAGCGGCCCGCATGCCGAAGGACGGACGCGGGGGAGATGCCGAAGGGAAAGCGGCAGCGATCCCACCGTTCCGGGATCCGGTTTTTCCGCGGACTTCCTCTTTTCGTCGTCAAAGAACACGAACAGCAACCCACACGTGAAAACTAGCGTCGCCCAAACGAATACTGGTCTTCAGTCAACCGTTAGAACAGCCATCTACACCTACCATTTTCAAAAATCTTTCGAGTACCGTGTTCTTTTTTAATTTTATTTGTTTGCCCATAGTTGCTCGTTGCCGGTTTCGCATCCAGCGTAGCAAAGAAAAAAAACAATGATGCTGCTTTATTTACGGTTTAGTAATCATTTCCGATACGATTTATACTTTTGATGGTTATTCAAGCGGAAAGTAGAACAGTATTTCTAAAAATCGCGAACCAAAACGTGACCGAGGGCACGTTTCTCGTTTCGACCAATCGCTGACGCGTCTCTTGTGACGTCGCGCTCCTTGGCCCCGCATCGGTCACGTGAGCTCCGCTTCTCCTGGCTTCTCCCGCAACTCTTGGGGCGTCGCCCCAGTCGATCCCGGTACGATTGTTACCGCGACTGTTGAATTGATTTGCGCGGCACACAAGCGCCGGTTTCGGCTGAAATTTGGGCAACATGGTCTGAGACGTGCCTGGAACCCAGTTCAATCGCCAAAAAGATCTCCGAAATTGCCTTCATTGTCCCTTTAAGCACCAAATTTTTTTTTTTCCAAAAGTAACCCAAAAGTGCCATTCTTTTTTTATTTTGAATTGTTATTCCTTTAGTGTTACAGATAAAATTTGAAAAGTTCATTACGCAAAAATCAGCGGAGGCAAAAAAAATATTTGCCAACTAAAACGAGTGCTGCCATCTATGATCAGCGCCACAAAACTACTCGGACGAGCCTAGCTTGTCCGTGGAATTGAGGGCTACCGAAAAAACCACTGGACGAGCTGAGCTCATCCACAGCATCTTTAGCCAGAAAGTGGCCGACGAGCTTTGCTCGTCCAAGGCGGGGTTAAAGGGATACAAGCGGTTCAGCGTTTGAGTAGAAACACCAAAATGATCTTCATTTGGCATCCAGGATCACGAACATAGAGATTATTTTTCAATTCGGTGCACAGAGGCTGCAGAAAATCATTTTCAAAGTACCGCCGAAGCCCCTCCATCCCAGAGAGTTTCGTCATAAAAGCAGTTTTTGGAATCTTTGCTCTCGTGTATCTTCAGCATCTACCAAAGCTATGCACGCGCACTCTTGCAGTTTTCAAAAAGGTCAGAAAAAAAGTGTCAAGTCTAGTGTCAGTGCGGAGGAATGTACCTGCAAAGCTAGCAATTCCACGCACTGCTCACACGAATGACACACGGCGAGGCTGAAAGATCCTTTTATGACTTAACAATCGGTCAAAGGTTTTTCGTGTTTTCTCGCATTTGGTTACATCTTTGGGGAAGAAGAACGTGAAATTCAGATTCACGGGATGAAAATACTCTAAAATACACTTCTAACACTTTTTTTTTTCAAGAACATTTTCAGCTTTTCTTAAGGGGGGGGGACACTACGTTGAATTGCACTTTTTTTCAAAAAAAATTCATATTCAGAACTGCAGAGTTTCGGCATGTACGGATAACAAGGAACACCCTCACAAAGCCTTGTCAATGTGCACAGACAAACAATGTCAAAAATAAGTATCCTTTATATGTTGGTGAGGTGTGCTGCACTGCGTAGCACTCTCATCCACAAGTGAAAATGGCTGAAAGCAATGTCAGTATATCAGAAGAAGTTTGAGGAAGACATCACGACTGGAAAGAATTTGACATTTAAGATGCAAAAATTAATTTTTAAAACGTCATCTTGAAACTTCAAGTGCATTTATCTCAGCTTCACTTTTGGCAGCAAATCCCACCTTAATAAAGCTATTGTTTCAGTATGAAACTACCGAGAGACTTAATATTTGCGGATTATATGCCGAAATTTTATCGAGCCGGTTACTATGAACTTAAATTTTGCATTTTCAAGTTCCTTTATTAAAAACTTTCATAAATTTTTTTTATTAAACAATGCATATTTGTTTTTATTTCTTTTTATAGCAACCGGCAACAAGTATTCCAGTATGCATTCCACCAGAAAAACATGTGGTGATCAACACCATTTCTCAATGATAGATCATTGAGCAGATTCCCTACAAAGCTACGTTCTAGGGTATGGTTCACAGGGCTGAAACTTTGCATGCCCTCCTTCTATATGGCTACAAACACCACCTGCAAATTTCATGCCGATTGAGTGAGCAGTTCAAAAGTAAACATGCCCAGGAAGTGTCCCCCTTTAAACATGTTGAGAACCCCCCATTCATACGGCGGTCAAACCCACCACGTTGAGGATGTAGTCCACGAGGGGCACGGGGGTTCGCGCCTCCGCAGTGGCCGACCCTGCCAGCCCCCCCTTGCCCTCCTCGGCCGCCTTGGGTGTGGAGGGCACAGTGGAGGCGGGGTCCACGTCTTCTTCCTCCTCCTCCTCGTCCGAAGAGCCCGCATCGTTGGCCAGGGCAGAGCCCCGCCCCGCCCCAGAGCCCGGTCCGGAGATCCCGCCCCCATGGACGCCGGAGGAGGGGCCGGCCCCTCCCCCGGCCCCACCCACTGCCTCGCTCTTGGCCGCGGGTCTGGAGCACACGTAGGCCGGGTTGCGCCCCACCGAGCAGAGCTCTTCCAGCAGCTGTCGCAACGGGAGACAGGAAAAGAGTCGGGCAATGCAAAATTAGAAGAAAGGAAGACCATTACAAAGTCTACCATAACGCTCCAAGACCTGTAGCGGGACTCGAGCCATTATATTTTCAATAGTAATAAAGTGAAATCAAGTTTTGGCCCAACGTTGGCACAAATTCCTCCCATTCGGGCAAAATGCAGCAGGACGCAGCAGGGCAAGCCCTTTGGTGCAAGCGGCGCGCCAATCGCATCACCGACTTCCTCTAAAACAACGGTGGGACAGAAAGCGGGACCAGGTGACCGCCTCCCCTTCACCACCCGACCCCTCTCTCCACGCGGGCGAGGGTGGGAGCGAGACTGTGCGGTACAACATGGACGCACGCCAGCTTAGGTTGCAAAACGGAGCGTAGCCTCCCCACCTTGATGATGGCGGCCGTGGCGTCCACCCGGAGGCTGGGCTGGTGGCGCATCAGCTCGTCCATGGCGTTGCCCAGGTTGGAGGCTGTGTCCCCCATGGGGTCGGAGGACCTCCGGCGCCGCATGGCACCCAGGTAGTCCGGGGACAGCAGCACCTTGAAGAGCCGCTCGAAGGGCCGGCAGGCCACAAACGCCTGCAGGCCCCTGGCGTTCAGGCAGAGGGCGCTGAACACGTTGGGCAGCGACGCCAACACCTCCCGCGTGGCGGGGACCTGCAACGGCGGTGCCCGCACCCGGCGTAAGGCCCTTCCACTCTGGACGGACCCGTGGCACCGCGATGGACCCTTCACGGCACAGATGAGAAAAGTTTCACACGCAACTATGCAGCCAGAATTACGAGAAAAGTCGCCTTTTTCTCCGCATTGGCTGTGCGTGAAAGCTCGAGGCTCTGAAGAGCCGTCGAAGGTGGGACAGCTGGGAGACCTCCCGGTTGTTCTCATCTGCAGTTACTATAGCACGAAAGAGACACACAATTTCACCCCGAGCCGGAGGCACGCTTTTGCATCGACTCGTTGCTGCAGTGATGCAAAAGCTGCCGTCACTCGACTAGTGTGCGGCGTTGCGACAAACCTGTCAGAGGGTAGCTCGACAAAATCTATGGCGAGCCTTTGAACGATGCGAGGTGAAATACATGACCGCGCTCGAATTCGTGGTTCCGGTGAACGACGGCAGCAAGTTGTGGCGAACAGAGGTTGCCGCAGTCAAATGTATGGCTTTGTCACGGAGACTGCCGACAAAGCTGGGAAGCAAAGCATGGTGGTCTGCCATCTGATGCAACCTCATTTGTTTTATACAATTGATAAGTTCCTCTCTGAAACGAACATCGAACGAAGCGTTGGCACTCGCATAATCGAAGCTAATGAACGAAGCAATCTCGTCGACAGATCATTCCTATAGAATTATTTGAGGATGCATGTCGCAAGGAGTGGTTTATTCAGTCTGAAAAACCAGATGTCCTTACGGGAAACTTCATTACCTCTTTGACGAGGAGGGCATGCAGCACGACATCTGTAAGCCCGTTGTCTTGCAGAGAGGACAGCAGGGACGGTTCTTGGAAGACGTACACTGTCACTACGTCAGTGGCTGCACACAAAAACGCAAAAGACGAAGACAGCAAGTGAATGACCCGTCAATGAAAAAAAAGAAAATTGCGGTGGCTTAGCTTGGCTACGCCAGGATATACGTAGTATGAGCTTATGCGCACAAAATGAGAGGCGTTATCAAGCGGCTTTGGTGCAGCGTCAGACTTGGCTACTGCGCAACGGAGGCGCACAGCTGGGCACGCGGCGGCGCCAGTGCGTCTGCCGCGGCTATGACGTCACTCTTCCGGAATGCGCAGACCGGCGAGGCGCGCGCAGCAGCGGCGGCAGCTTTGGCGCGCCAGCTGTGCGCCATGTGACGTCACTGCTCCTCGCGCCTGCGCAGCACGGCTCTTTGACAGCCACGCGAAACTGCTCAACCTCGGCCAGTGTAGCTCGCGCTACAAAAATTATGCAGACATTTCTCCAAACGTCTGCAATTCAACTATCCCCATGTGCAAGTCTAAGCATCAAGTTCCTGTAGGCTACAGCAAAAACTGAGCTCACCAGTCAAATCAACTGCTAGGGTAGCTTCACATGGCCCCAGCAAAATCACCTTCTAAAGCAACATTGCAAGCTCACTAGACATAAGAGGAAAATAAAGTAGCATACAATGACTCAGCTCATTGCTGCACCAATGCATCTGCCTATCCCTGGAAGTCACCATGCAGGTACCAGAAGGCCCCCTATGGATTAAGTTGGTCGTTGATTCACCAAACATGTATCTGCGCTTGGGCACCCTTCGTAACCGGCAGCAACACATAGAAGCCGTAACACTCAAAAATTTCAAACAGCTGTCAAACCCAAACAATTATTTTCTCTTTTATAAAAATAATACAAGAGCCAAGGGATAAAAAGTAGGGGTGTGCGAATATTGAAATTTTTGAGTACAAATCGAAAATGAGTATTTACAAAAATTTATTTGAATATTGAATATGTCTTGAATATGAATGTGCCACCCAATAAATTTAAAAAAAAAGTATTGAAGCACTTCTTTTATTATTTTTAAAACCAAAAATGATAACAAATTCAAGTACATAAATGGAACTACCTGACTAGGCAGCATATAAACAATGCCTTTTGTAAGACTACCCTCCCAGAGGCGATGGTCGCGCACCCATACAAGCGCAAGAAGCACGGCACTTAAAACGTTTTATATGAAAGCAAAGATTACCTATGTGGAGAGTGAAGAACCATCGTCGGACTCTGACAACAGCAACTAGTCCATGGTATTTATTTTTGAGTCGGCGTGCGTTTCATAATATCTGTTCTATGAGGTGGGGTATGTGTTCAACAATATGATCTGGCAGGCTAGTTGGTTGTCCATTATGAGGATATGTACGTGAAACAACGAGGAAGGAAAGACTATGCAGACAGGACGAGTGCTCATCCTGACTCCCACGTCCTTTCCTTGTCTTGCGCCATGTATCCTCAATGTGTGTTCAACCTTCATTATTTTACCCGCACACTAGAATCGGCAGCAATTTACTTTTGGAATATCTGGGAGCTAAATCTGCCCGAGTCACATTTGGGTGCTCATTAGAATTATGCAAACATGATAATTCTATGCATAACGTGAACGGCAAAGGTTTACTGTCGAGACCGGTTATAACGAAGTCAACGAGAATCGGAGATCACTTCGCTCTATCCGCTATTACGTTATAACCGACTTCGGTTATAACGAAGTGCAAAAGGGAATGGGAAATCGTGATCGCTTCGCTGTAGCCGCTATTTCGTTATACCCGGGTTCGTTATAACCGGTCTCGACAGTATAGAAAAATGGCTACAATAGACACAATTTTAGGCGACTCAACACAGCGTTTAAGAATGCTTCGAATGTTCATGGCATGTCCCAAGCGCAGGTTATTCGCCAATTGCCCGCATATTCGTACACTGCCCAAATATTCGGGCGTAACCGAATACTTTGAAATTTTCGACTATGCAATTCTTAAATCAAATGCGAATCGAATAAAAAAATATTCTATTCGAATATCTTGTACAGATTTTAAGGGGAGACGCGGGTCTTAAAATGGTCAAAAAACGCGAAATTTCACGTTTTTCAAAATTCACATATTTGGATTAATTGTAGTCTAAGGTACCTGCCTGCAAAGTTTCAATGTCGAATTCAATGTCTAAGCATGAAAAAAATGATATTTACGATGTCCCCGCAGAGCTCTAACACAGCGAGTTCAATGAAAACAAGTGAAACTTCGCGCCCCGCACGTTTCGCGATCGCTCGTCGGATCGCGGCCATCTTGGTCTTGTTGGAAAGCCGCTTATTTTCCCCACGTCCCCATGCCATTCGTTATCGCGACAATATCGGGAAACGTCCGCATTCCGCGGGTTTCGAAGGCCCCAATTGCGATCGCTCATTGGCCGGCTAGCAAGGTGCCCGTACGTCAAAGCACGCGCGGCGCCTTGCGCCCCTGCTATTGGCCTAAACGCGCCCCTCCGCTCTTTTTCTCCTTTCCTCCTTTCCGTTCCCGCGCTGGCGAGAGGTGCGTCGTCTGCTCCTGGGCCCGTCTCCGCCCGTCTCCTTAGGCCTGTCTGCTTTGTTTCTTCCGTGGTCGAGCGCACGTTTTAGTTCCCGTTTGCGCGCTTGCGTTGAACATTGTTGGTTCGTTTTCCTACGAAGTCGCGCATGTTTTGTTTTGTTTCACTTCGAGTCCTCGAGATGCCGGACGACGCTCGGTTGAAATCGAGCACGCGGCAAGCGTTCGGAAGGAAGAGGAAGCGACCATGGAACAAGAAGCCGAAGCTGTCTGCTGCAAGTGCGCCACCGCGATCGGCACCGCCGGATGCCTTGGATCTTCCGGAAACATCAGCCGGAGACATCGCGACTCCATGCAGCAGCGGCGGTTTGTCGAGCTTTGCGAGCGCGGTTCGTGTCGACACCGCATACTACTCCACGGCCGAGCAGGCGCAACGAGTCGCACGATCGGACGAATGCAGGCGTGCGCTATCGGAAAAGTCGGCGACCCAGCGCAAATTCGACCTTCTCGGCGTCACCACAGGAGGCCAGACGCGCGACGCTGGGACACAGTTCAATGTAGTGGACATGAAAGCTCTCAACGACCTCTTCGCGCAGGCGAAGTGCGGAAGCTGCGGAAACTGGAAAAGCTGGGGACTACAGTCCTGGACAGCTGTGAGGGGGCTCCCCTTTCAAGTGCTACATGAACAAAGGCCCTTTTCAGGGCCAAACAAAATCTGCTTTCGGAACGTGCAACCCTTGGTGCCTCCTCCCGTTGTCCCTTATAGAGTCTACTCATTCTTTTATAACTTTATTTTACTTTCAGACATTATTTCTCAGTTTTATATTATTTTTTAAAGGTTCTTGTGAACGGATTGCAGAATTTTTCATCTCAATTTGTTCAGATAGAACTATGCTTCATATTGCTGAACATTATTGCATGGGATCCCTTACTCAATTTTATGCAATGAGTGTCAAAACTTCAACTGCAATTTTCTCAGCTTCGCATTTTTCGTCTACATGCCTAGCCTTACGGTTGTTTTCATGAGACTATTCTTCAAGGATTTCTATAAACTTTATACCCTTGAATTCAGAAAGAAGTGAACTGCAGGGTGATGCTATTTTTGTATGACAGTATGGGCCCGAAATTTTATTATTAGTGATAATGTGACCTCGTTAGGCTTTGTAAATAGTGTACTTGACCTAATTAGACTAGTTTTATACAATGATCTATCTTTACAAAAATATAAATAGCATCATCTTGCATGGCAGGTCTTTAGCTACAAATCCATATCACTTTTGTAAAAAAATTAGTATTAGAAAGTTCCTTAATGAGTCTTAAGAAATGACCTAATTAGGCTTCATTATTTTCTTTGTAACTCAAAAAGTAATTGAGATATTGCAGAACTAATTGAATATTTGAAAAGAGGAAGCCAAAACACATATACACACTGATTTTCATTATAATCCATTCATAAACAAAAAAGTCGATTTTAGAACCAGTGTCTTGCCTTAAAGCGACAGCTTTAGGGGCGACACTTCCCAGAGATTTCAACTCCGTGAATTGTCATCGCCGTGCAAGCGAAAAAAGGGAAAACCCTTCTTTCCCTTCTCAGCACGAGGAGAAGAGACCGAACAGGGCAGCCCTGGCGTCCCGTTAAGAACGGCGCGACAAAGGGAGACCCTTCCTGTCGTCCGGTTCAAACACTTGGTTTCCAAGTTATTACTTGCATTCCACAAAGTCCCACTTTGTCAGTATCCAGTTGCTACGCGTAATGTTAGATGGTTTTAGGAAATTCCACCACGCTTACCCGTTTATTTTACGGATCCCCGAGCACATGTGGCGATCGTCGGTAGCATCTACGACGCCAGCCACGACGGCTACGAGAATTAACTTCGTCGTACCTCCGTCCTCAGGTACGTGACGGTACTATTTGCATTGCACGACCGTGTTACAGCTACCGCTATTGTTTCTTCCCACACTGTGGGCGACATATCTGTCACCTTCGTTATTTGTAAACTCTCAAATTATAAATAAGAAATCATGAGCCATTCCACTCTGCGAAGGTGGATGATCAGCGAAATGTTTAGCAGACGACACAGACCCACCCCAAGAAGCCGGAGAAAACTAGACACGCGTGACGGGACCACCACCCGGCGGAGAGTAGACATTTTTGCCAGGCCGCACAATTTGTTGTCACCGCACACGAAAAATCCCCAGAACCCCACCCATAAACAGCTTCACTGTAAAAAGGAATTACTAAAAACTGAAGGGACTCACCAAGGAGGAAGAGGGAAGGACCGTAGTACTCCGAATTGCTGATGATGTGCTTTAACGACCGGGGAAGGGATCCGTCCATCACTGCAAAGTCAAGGCCAAACACGGAACGTGAGCTGCACCGCTCACCACATTTACAGGAACCCAAGACCTAAACCTAGCCACAAACACTTTTCCCGAAAATACTTCGCCACTTTCGGCTAAAAAACAAGCTGTCGGATTTCCCGTAATGCCGCCAAAACACACACACACATTTTGGTTTCTGACAAGCGGAACTTCCAATAATTGGAACGTGTCCAGGTTCTTGGAACTCCAACTTTGATCTTATCACAAAAATCTCAGAGCAATGGAAGTTGAGGCATAACAGGGGCCGAGTTCCAAAATTTACTCGATCCGACTCCGGAGTAAAGGTTCCGTATCGTGGCATTTCAAAACTTACTCGCGCTTAGTCTTTGACATCAGAACACTCGCTCCAGAAGCAGGTTGTTTACTCCGGAGTAATTACTCGCGCTACCCTCCTCAATCAGTGAGTAATGTCCGATCAAATCGAGTAAATACGTCACGTGATCTATTAGTCGTCTGCTTTCTGCACTGACAGCCATCAAAGCTTGTATGCTCAGTCGGATTTGGTGGCAGACGTACGAAATTACAAAGAATGAGGTGCAGCCATTTATGCGTGGTTATTGCAATTTGCTGCAACGCAGGAATTGATTGTGCACCACATCCAGACCGTGCACCTTCCCCGGAAGGTATACATGTCATTATCAGACTGCGAGCATAGCCACGATCATCTCCGCATCCTCACCCTCGGCGTTGGATGGAACTCCGAATTCTTACCTTCAAACCCGAAGATGTTCAAACTCAGTAAATGTAGAAGCTTTTCTTTTTTTTCCTCCAGAGTGTGTGTAATGACGATAACGCTTATAAAGCAGTGAAGGCTTCAAAGACTTCATGTATATGATCAGTCAAGATACCCACCTTATTTCCCTCCCTAAGAATTTGCCTATAGCAATTTGGAAGTTCTCTCCGACTTTGTTATCCTAATTGCGTCAAAGCGAACGCAAGTTACATATCACTGTTGAGAAAGCCCTCTGCGCTGTATCACTACACAGTGTAGAAGCAATTTCTGCAAAACATAATTGGCGCAAATTACGACGCGTGGAACTTGTGCGTTTAGGGCACCTGGGCTAGACTTACAGCGATCGTACTGATTAATAAGAACATATCTTTGACGTCAAACTGAAAGGAGCAAGTAATTTTGATTTCAATGTACAGCCCAAAATGAAGGTGAGCAAAAGGAGCTGGTGGAGCCGCCTCAAAAAACACCGCGTCGTCACTGTAAAAAAAAAAAAAAAACCTTCAAAGCATTTAATATTTTTGTCTCTTCAAGTGCTTTCTCCATGATCAAGAAAGATTGTCTGCTATTTTCCACCATCGCTGCTACATTTTCTTTTTGCCATAGCCCAAGACGAAGCCTATCCGCATAGTATCCAGGCCATTACCCGGCCGTTACAACATTGAATCGCGAATCGTTTACTCGCGATGTCACGTGGCATTACCCGCCGACGTAGGAGACGGGTCACTCGGGTAAGATCTGGAACATAGCCAGAGTCTCCAACCATTGAGTACAACCTCATTAGTATAGAAATCTTGTATATGTAGTACATTCCGATGCGATTTCTCTCTCCGTCTCCAAGTGTTTTAGGTCAGAGAGGGACGACTCACAATGCCTGATGCTGTCGGCAAAGGATGGATCCTGGATGGCTTTCTTCAGGAAGTTCAGCATCGACTTGAGCAGGGCGGCACGCTGGGGAAAACACTGCACTCCTGCGAGACGCAAACATACAAACAAAGTCGGCGTTACGAAGCCAACGCTTGGCACCCGAAAGCTGCCGAAGGGTTGCACGGCATCGACGTACCCCTCCTGCGTGGCTCTGGCTCTTCGTCCGGTTCGTTGGGCAGAGCAGACAGCGAGAGGGCGGATCCCTCCACGGCGTCCACGCCAATGTCTCCGCGGGCAGACGTGGAACTGAAAGGTTGGGGACAGAAGTTTGAATGCGTGGTGCGGTCGTGACATTATGCCACACCCTCACACTGTTACAGTCACAACGACCCTACGTCGACGTCCTGGTGAGCCATGCGGGCAAGATGGTAGAAACGTAGCAATTCGGTCGTAGCGGAGACGGAAAACAAATGCGCAAGCATCCAGAAAACAACTCTTGTTCCGAGGCCGTAATCTCAGGTTCCCAATTTCACGTTGGTGCAGCTAATGCCCTCGTGATGTTTTCACAACGATGTCGCCATGCCTTCCATCAGTATTGCTTTCTTTCTTTCTCGTTCATGCAAACGAGACTTTTCTCACCGTTTATGTGAGTCGCACCAGTATCGAACATATCGCCAATTCCACCCGAGCACCGAATGAATCGCCACCTAGCCCTCCAGGAATTCAAGTCGGGAGAAGACAAAGACAATGCCAAAGCAAGAGCAGAGCAGAAACCCTCATTGAAGACAATGAAAATTTAAAACACAAAGGCTACAACCAAACAAGCCAAGACAAAGACAGACAGGCAAGCTCCACAGCCATGCAGAAACAAGGTGGACGAGGCAGAAGTGCCCGACTAACGTAAATGCAAGACGAGAGACCAAGAAAGGAAACAAGTCATGCACAATAAAACAAAATGCAAAAACAAAAAGGCACACTCTTCCTATAAAGCTAGCCACAAATTTCGAAATAAGAGCGTCCCCTTTAACACGCAGACAGGAAACCAGAGACTCACGCCACAGACTCCCGGGGTGACTGGGACCCCTGCGGTGGCGGGTCCACGTCCATGGGGGTGGGGTCCAGCGGACCCCCTTCGTCCGTCGAGGCCACCGAGGATTCCCGGTGCCTGGGCCTGATCGCAAACGGCTGCTCCTTGCGGCAGTGCTCCACCTCCAGCTGAGCGTGCACACAGGCAGCTTAGAAGCAACTCTAAAGCAAACTCGCTCTAAGCAACTCCAGGGCCCGTTTTCTCAAATGCGGACCGTGGGTTAAAGTTAACTATTGTCCCTAGAAGAGGGAATTCTAGGTCGCATGACTGGGAGACCAGGAGCGCCGAGGGAGGAGCAGTACCTACAAGCAAAATGGCCGCAACGTCGCTTAATGAGGGCTAATAGTTCTGCTTGGTTCTGCTGAACATTCATTTCGATCCGGCTGTTATATTAATGACTCACCATCAACCTATTAGCAAGTCAAGCAAAGCGGTAGTTCAGAGGAACTACTAAACTAACCGACGGCAGCATTCCACGAACGCATCACTCTTCAGCAGTCCGGGATCCAGGACATATGACGGTACATAAGCCTTGCAAGTGTTTTTATGGCGAGTAAAAAAAAATGTTTTGCGAACAAGTGCTGGTATATGTTTATACTAGCACGTTTAATTCATTACAATATGCACGCCAACTCGTGAGCAGTGATTAGTTTGCGAAGCAAAGGGGTTATCCTTGATAAAGTCTTCGTTCCGGGTGAACAGCTCGGACATTGTACTGTTTTTTTGTTTGCAGTGCGCCAGCAGTATGCCGACAGCATCGAGGTTTGAACATATCCCCGGTGGCCAGCAATTCAACGGTGACGAGAAGCTCAGCTCCTCGTCACCAGTGGATCGGTTGGGCAAAAGGAAAAGGGGGCAAACAGTTGAGATCACCAGGAATCGAAGAAACCTGCGTCGCAAGGAACAAAAACGAGACTACGGCACCAGCGTTGCCAGACTGGAAAGCACACGGGAAAGTTATGCGTTGTTCATGGCGAAACATATTGAAGGAAATGTTTCTTACATTTTCGAATATTCGTCGGCAAACTCTAGCATAGTAACTAAAATTCCTTCGTACCATCTGAAGCAAATAAATTGGTCTTCAAGTACAGCATTACTATATTTTGACTTAAAATACCATACTATATCGATAACAACCAGCGGAATAAGAGGATAAACAAAACGACTGGCTTGTTCCACCGATAGATGGCGCACCTTACTGCCCAATCGAAATTAATTATTTTGTTCTATATCCAGCCGTTCATTACAGTACCTAGGTACTTTTTCCTTCCTAGGCACCGTGGTTCACCAAAAAAAATGGGTTTACCATCGCTTCGAGAAAACCGGCCTAGAAGCAATGTTAAAGGCAACTCTAAATGAAACCAACTTCAAAAGCAAAAAACCTCAGACACCTCTAAAAGAGTCTAAAAGTAGCTTTAAGAGCAACTCCACCTTAGGGGCCACTAAAAGTAACTCCATTTTAGAAGCATCCCTACAAGCAACCTCATACTCATTCAAAGTAATGGGTGCCAACAGGTGTCACAGACGTAGCACCCACCTCTAGCCTGCGAATGAAACTGTTGAGCCCTCCATGAGCCTGGAAGGTCTGCATGTCCAGTCCGGTGATGAGATCTATGACCCGTACTGCCCGGGTCACAAACTGCAAGCGAGGAAGAACGGTCACAGTCAAGCTTTCAACAAACCCGGTAGAGCTCCCGAAAAAATTTAGGCATCAATATCTCTTCAGCTAAGAGCAAGGTAATGTTTTAACGGCAAATATATGCTTCTAACAGTAGGATTCGACTGCAACTCAATGCGAGAACCTGTTTTAACTTTGTGAACGCACCGTGACGTGTTCCGGCTCTGTTCCGTGCCAGCCGATGACCTTCAGTAAGGACTCCACCATGCCGCAAGACACAAGGGCTTCCCCACCTGCACGGCACAAAACAAAATAACCCACATCAAAAAGCAGCCGTGAAACTTGGAGTGGATTTCTAAAGGATCTGAAAATAGGGTGGATTTCTAAAGGATGTTGGCACCCAAGATGCCAAGATCCTTTAGAAATCCACTCTATTCCATTGACAACTCTGCACCGTCGCCAGCAGGGTTTTCCCCAGGAATTTTTTTGTGGTGAACATGACCAACGTGCAAACGGCACGATCTGGCGTGCCGACAACGCACTTTGCGTAGACTCACTGACTTTGCGGCCCTGTGAGTGGCGCCACGCCACGGTGATAAAACAGAAACCAAAATGCCTTGGGAAAAAAAAGTGAGGAAGGGAAGGCGAGGGGTGAGCAAAGATAAAGCAAGCCATGACACGAGCAAGCATTGAGCACTGAAAGTCCTCTCTGCTTTCTGCCACTCACTGCCTGCAGAGAGTACTGCAGCGCAGTGCACGTTCGTTGCATCCGTTTATTTTGTTTCTGCTCGGCCGAGCACCCTCCTCCCCCCACCCCCCTCTCCCCGCACTGGCAGCAGCTCTCTGCGGCTCCCTCCCCTTGTTTGAAAGAGTGGCGGCAGTGGGCGACGCCGTAAGACACGACAACCTGGCGGTGTGCAGGTCTGCCGAGTACGACGGTCTGCAGCCATCCACGCAGGCAAAATCGCATCGTCATCATGCGGCATAATCGAGTGGTGGGCGGTCAGAGCAATGGGCGGTCGGTTAGTTGGAGTGTTGAGCGGCAAGGCGACTGCTGCCCACCGTGGGGAGAACCCTGGTTGTTAGTAAGGTAAACTTCCTAAATCAAACAGACAAGCCACCTCTACACTATCAAACAGCTGGGGTAAAAATTATTGTACATTCTCAGCTTTGCGAATGGAGTTCTTTGGCCTGAGGCCCCGATGTTACAATTTTGGAGACTAGACGAAAAACTTTGTCACATGTTATCGCACTACCAGGCAGATTTGCTAGAACGTTAGGCAGATGAGTGAATAAGCACGGAGCACCACGTACCGCTCTCGTAGCTGGCCAGGTGGTACAGGAACGAGAAAAGTGCTGTCGCAAACGGTAGCGGAAACGGGTCACCACTCGCTTCTGAAAGGAGACAAGAAAACAAGCAATGAGGTCAAAGAAATGCTTCCCCTCAAACAATCGCCGTTTAGACCAAGAACCAAACTCACGGTCTCTGATATTCCCAACAGCAGGGTCAACTGAGAGAAAGAGAGAGAAGAAAAAAAAAAAAGGTAAACAAGAATAAACCACGTCATTCCAGATCACCGGTGCTACCTCGCACATTTCCCATTTCCGAGAAGAGCAAGCTTCAAGCCCTTCCCGTCCCTGCCTGCACAGCCGTCCCACCCACCTGTGAGCGACTGGATGCAGCTTCGCACAAGAACCGGCAGGAAACCGTGGTAAGACGCCGCTCCCGTGGCGTCCACAATTGCTCCAAGCCTGCGGCGGAAATAGCGAGAAGGTATCAGAAAAACAAAATCTCACTTTGCCTGCTCGAACTCGCACAGTGTGTGCTCCCTAGTGCAGCGACGCAGTCTTATTCCCTAGAGCAGGCGTGCTACCCAAAGTCTACAAAGAATAGGCATCATTTTTTGTGCATCCCTTTAGATGCCGTAAACAAGTCGCAGACAGCGAGACACCCTTTCTGGCAAAACCGACACGTAAAAACTGCCTCGAGAAACAACTTTCCAGTGTGTGCAAAACCGATAATCGTCGGAAAAAAACAGTTACCTCTCACCCTGCCTCGAGACAGAGCATGTTCTTGGGACTAACCTGAAGCATGTCTTCAAGTCTAGACTAGACAAGCAAACACACAAGGTCACCGCATCATTCCACCGAGCAAGCAATCCAACACTGCTAAACAAACACAAGCTACGACGACAAAGAAACAGAGCCACAACGCCGACTCACTTTGGATTCCTGTCAAGGTGGATGATGGATGTAAGGGTCCTCAGGGAAGCAGCCTTGATCTCCTGCACAAAAAATACATTTTTAAAAATTTATAGTGAATTAGTAGATATAGGTAGGATTCTGCGTTTTCAAGGTTTATTCCTCGTTAAATTTGGAGGGCGTTTTTCGGAGTTTATTTTTCGCTGCAAATTCTGGGTTTATAGAAGTTCATTTTTGTTAGCTTCCCAACTCCCGGAAATTTAAGTTTATTTTGGTGTTCTTACAATTTAAAAATTAAAAAACGAAATAAAAAGAGTTTGGGTACCATGAGCCATTGTAGTGAAGAAACCTTGAAGCACCAAAAGGCAAACCCCTTGTGTAAGTAATTTGAGAATTTGAAGGTAACTGAAGTGTCATCTCCTCAGGACCACTGACCCTGTGCTCTTATAAAGCTTATTTGCAAAAAACAGTTTTTTGCTTTTTATTTCGTCGTCGTGACCACAAAATTTAAAGTTTTCCGAATAAATCCGAATCGACAGAATATTTATGGGCGAGTGTTCTTCGAATTTACTTGAAAACATGGGACCCTAGATGTAGGTGAGGATATGATGCATTCCTTAGAAGCCTTCCAGCACAAAAGACTAAGCAACATCACTCACAATCAGACTGGGATCCTTGAGTTCGAGCACGTCTACCAGCTCTTCGATGAGGCCGTTGTAGAGCAAACTGTTGATGTTGTCCTGGATGGCACTGCAGTAGACTGCACAGAGGAGCAAAAGGTAAAGATCCGGTCGCAGCAAGCAAACCACTGGTAAGACGAGGTCATTCCTTGCCGCAGGCATGACCATAAGCTCGAACGCATGCAAAGTAGACCCACCGTGTTTGCCACATGCTCCCCACAATTCTGTGGTGCTTTTTCAAAGCTTAGGAGCGAGAGCATGTGTCCTTTCGATGCCTGAAGAAAACCATGCACGCCGAATCTCGGCTTTTTAGAACAATTTCGGAGCCAGAATGCAACACCACGACCTGTTCTGTTCCACTCAAGAGTACAAGTGCAGCAAAAGCCTGCTAACTCACAACTGTTGTTTTAATATTCATCAACATATGAATATTAAAATGGAGCATACGAACACATTCCGACTATGGACAACACTTTAAAAAATGGTTGTAGAAACTAGCGATGGGCCGAACTATTGCCGAATGGAAAATTCGGCGCCAAATCTTGGGATTCTGCAAAAAAAACAATTTTTGCAGAACTTTTCTAAATATTCCGCAAAGATTCGGCAAAAATACATTGTTGCCGGACCTAAACGTTTGTTTTTTCACGCGAAAAGAGATTTTAGAATTTCTTTTAATGCATATTGACACAGTTATTACTAAATAAGGTGATATTCCACAAGATAAATGTATCGGTGTCACTTTTGCATGTTTAGTGGCAATTTTAAGGTGACCTTTTGCAGAAGTGGTGACAAGGTTGGGTACTAGCGGCGCAGTCACGGTACGCGAGTTTTGGTTTTGAGGGTTCATCAGTGCAAGCCTGCAAGTGTCTACATTGTTGAAATAAGGGCAATAACACTGTTATTTCTCTGCAAGTCACCGTTTCGTGCGCAAAAATGAATGCAACTGCCAGTGATGGAAGTGCAATTTGACCTTTTGGAGCAGGCCTTGTAGCAGGCAAAATGTTGTTTTGGAGCAGTTAGTGGCCCTTTTGGAGCAGGGTCCGGCATATGTTGGCACATTACTTGAAAATGAAATAATGCTGCATTGCTATAGAAAGCCCATCTCTATTATTGGAACACAGCGCCTGTCGCCTTTTTAAGACTATAAAATTCAACAAAGTAAACGCAAAAAAAAACATTTTTTTTTATATAAAGTTTATCTGCTCGTCAGATAAAAAAAATACAATTAAATATGTCACACTGAGTTCTGATGGTACAGGATATTAAGTTTTATCAGCATGCACTTCTTTTAAGGTATCTGCAGCAGCATCTAACGACCCTCACAGTTGTGGAATGTTTTAGTTCAGATTAGAGTTGTCTTTCGGGCAGCAGCTTCAAAGATTGCGGTATCTGATATTCGCTTCAAAAATTCCAATTCATTTTCGATGTGCTGGCGAAGTCACGATCGGATCACGGCGAGTTAACCCGTTGAGCGCGCTCCTTGGCATGCAACGACGCGCTGCAGAGAAGCGACACCCGCAAAGCAGACACCGCAGACGCGCGAGACGCGCAGTGCTTTGTGCTCCGAAAAGGACGGTGAGGCTTTACCAGCACTACATGCAGAGTTTGGTGCAACTCATCTATACTTTGTTTCAGCTTCGGTGCGAGTGCAGCCGAAGCTACAAGCGCGCGCATGGAGCCCGTAACGGTGCCGACACTGCACGAGCCCACGCGCGAGTCAGGAATGCACAGAGCATTGGGCTCGCGCTAGCTTTGACTTCGCTGGTAGCTAGCGCACGGGAACAGGGCGGGCCAACATTAAAAACATCCACAAGCTCGACCATTTTTTTTTTTTTTTTTTTAAATAGGCTGTTTAGTGGGATGGTTCTCCGCATTGTCTCTGCGGCTTTGGTCTCAGATGTTGCTAACGTTGCTCCTTTCAATGATGATGATGATGATAATGCGCCCTCGCAGTTTCGGTTTGCGTAACAGTTGCGTCGCGGAGAATACCGCGGTACCACCACGCGCTCTGATAAGACTTCAATTTTTATTTTTTATTGCTACATCTCATCTCGGCGCAGGCATGGCGCAATTCTTCGGTAAAATGACGATTTGGCGCTACATGTAGCAGGATTGCGTCCTTGGCGCAATTTGGCGCAGTTGGCGCAGCACTTCCATCACTGAACTGCTGCTGAGCCTTCATTAGAAGAGATAACAATATTATTGCAAGTATGCACGTTTTTCAATTTGACTCACTTCATAAACGTGCGACCCATATTTGCAACGTCTCGTTTTTAACTTTTAGAATAGCGGTTTATGATGTTAGGAGACACCGGACGTTTAGGAAGATGGAAAGAGTTAGGAATGGCGGATGCGCAATGTCGAGCATGATAGTTCTGTGTTTAGTTTTATGCGGATGGATGAAAACCGCGAAATAATGCTCATTGAAAACCAATATTATTTTGTTTTGGCACAAACTACTTGCGAGCCGAAAACAAGGCTGCTATAATGGCGAGGAGTGCTTGAAAGTACTTGTCAGTGAATGTTGCAACTACTTCGTTGCACCACTGGAAAGATCAAATGAATTTCACATTAACCCGAATGTACCACATCATTTGTCACTTGCACCCAGTCTGGTCTATCGTCTGTTCTTGAGGCCGAAAATATTGAAGAGAACCACACTCACAAAGGCTGACAAACACACGTTACTATGTCACCCACACCGCACCTCGCCGTAACTGCTGGTAGCATTACACTGTACATTGGTAACCGCACAGCACTCATTTGCAATCCATAGCCCCATCGCATTCTCGCGCGTGCGCAGACGCTTGCCAAATGTACAGTTCGGCGTGTGCCGAACTTTGCCAAACTTTGGCAGATTCGGTACATCACTAGTAGAAACGAAAAAAAGATGAAAAAAAGTCCCTGCAGTCCGTGTTTGCAGGGCGCCCTCGCAACGCACCGAAGTCATACCCACCCAGAATAGAGAGTGCTTGGAGGCGCGCCTGGACACACTGGAGACGTTTCGTGTAGCTCGAGAAGCTGTGAGCCAGCCGCACGTGCGTCAGGAGCAGCATCTGCCGTACGGGAATCGAGCGTCGCCACAATTACTCTCGCCGCCGGGCCGAACACGAGAACAAAACGAACGAGGTTGAATGCAGGGACGACAGTGGGCCACCATCATCCGACCCTAAAAGCCACAGTTAGGGCTATTTCAAGTGTCGATTGTGTTCGGAGGTCTCGACACGTTTGAGACGACGGATGATCTTTGTCGCGAGTCGGACCTCCGGCATCGGTTGCGTCGGCCCAAAGGAAGCGTGCACGACATTCGAGTATTGCAAAACAATTGAGCAGCCCTGTGTTAATGCACAGTACGGTCACAGCGATAGCTGCAACCAGCGACATCATTAAAGGGGGTTGCCTGCAGGCAACTGCAGGCAACTGGGCAACGAGAGGGCAGGGGCTGTTGTGGCAGGCCACCGACCCGGGTGCCGCCGACGCTAGTGATGCCACTGACTGCAACGAGTTGGGTAAAGTAATTGGGCGTCGGCATCGTGCACCGTGGGGTGCGTGAACGAAACCGTTTGGAACAAAATAGACATCTAACAATTTCGTTCCAAACGCCTTTGTTTCTTTCTGTGTTCCGGAGCGTGTGAAAGCACGTCTCACGGCACGAGCTCGTGGCATTGACAGCGCAACAACAACATTTTGTAATTGGCTTCTTTTTTTCTCTTGGAGAGTGCATGCAGTGTGTGTAGTCTACTGGCAAAGCCTCCACTTCGCACGCAGCAGACCTAGGTTTTAATCTTGCGGGTAATCTTTGTTAAGGGGGGAGACTACTCGGAAAAAAAAAAACATTTGTGTAAAAAAAGTTGATTTTGAAAAATATCATATTTACATCCACCAACATCTATCCCCCAAATCTTTTATGCGTTTGCACTGCATAGTTTTTTTTTCGTTATTATTATTATTTTTGGTTCACGAATGCTACAAAAAGGTAGAGGTTCGAGCACTTGTTTTTCTCAGTTTCACTTTTTGGCATAAAGTTCACTTTAATAGAACTTTTTTCAGTATGAAACTAATGGGACTTAATATTTGTGGCTCATATGCCGAAATTTTATGGAGTCTGTTACTACGAACTTAGACTTTGCATTTTCAAGTTCTTTCAATCTGAAAAATTTTCATTTTTAAAAAACTTAACGAGAAAAAGGGTTTCTTTTTCCATGAACTTTTTTTACCTGAAAATTGTAATTTTCTGAAATATCTCTCTAGTAGCCGGCAACAGTTATTCTAGTATGCATTCCACCACAAAAATGTATGGTTATCAACATCATTTCTCAATAATAGATTCATTGATCAAATTCCATGCAAAGGTTTGCTTTATTTCATTCTGGGGATATAGTACTTCAAGGAATTGGTTTACAGGGCCAAATACTTTGTATACCCTCCTTCTATATGGCTACAAACATCACCCGCAAATATCACGCAGATTGAGTGAGCAGTTCAAAAGTGGACATTCCCAGGTAGTGTCCCCCCTTAAGAATCTGGGAACATCAACGACGGATGGCCTGCATTGCCAACTACAGTATTAACTATAACATCGGCAACAGGCATGATTTCCAGTGGCGGGAACAACCCATAAAAGTTATCGCTGTAAAACAACAACCTTGTGTTGGAGGCCAAACAACTCAAAGATGTTCCCAGCTTTTCTAAACCTGCAGCCGACCTTAACGGCGCTTCCAACCTCCATTACCATTCCACGCAAAGGCTAGCTTCCCAGACATTCAACACCCGCTCGCTGCTCAACATCTTTGCACCAGGCATTCACGACTGTCACAAAGAGACAAGTGGCACTTACATGCTTGGCGGCAGGCACGGCGTGAGTCTCCAGCAGCTCTTCCATGATCTGGGACGGGTTCTTGTTTGTGATCTGCGCAAACAGTCAAAGCAATGTCCTTGAAAACACCAATCAAGCTAAAAACAGACTCAAATCTGCTTTGGCACTGTTAAGAAATAAAAGAATGCCCGCAAGATGCCAACATGAAGGCACACCCATTATATTGCCAGTTTTTTTTTTTTTTTTTTTTTTGCAAGAAATACCACTGACAATATTGGACATTCTTGACCTTGCGAAGAAATGGCCGTTAAATCTAAACGTCTCTGCAAGTCAATCCCCACCGAACGCACAAAAGACAATACACTTTCATGTAGTCGTCAAAGTCTCGGCAAATGGCGCGACGATTGCTCTTCTGCATGTCATGAACAGATCGACAACGAAATGGTTCCACTACTAGCCGAGCAGACGTGCCCGATTGAACCAATATTGCACGTTTTGTGGGGCAATAGTTACAGGGGCGAAACTGCATCCGACGAATTCAAGAAGGCAGTAGGGTTAGAAAACGCGTCTGGAACGGTCCCATTCATGCGACGTTCAAGTGTATCTGCTCCTCGGATGTCTTGCGCTCTTTTTTACCCTCGAGGTTTGCCCGCATGCTTTTGTGTCCTCCCCGAACATGATCGATGAGGCACTCGCTTGGCCATCTTGTCGCGTGTTCACCCGGTTGCCCTTTCATTGGCGTGCTCCTCTTTGCGTTTCGATGCGCCTAAAAGCGTTTTCTGGAACGCTCTCTCTCCAAACTGCTGCTCAGGTCTCGAAACGTTTAAGAAGAGCAGACGGGAGAAGCCCTCACCTTGTCCACGTTCTCCATGTGAATGACTGACACGGTGTTGACCGGAAGTTTCTTGCCGCTGCCGTTGGTGTCCGCTGAATCCATGTAGAACTCAAAGTGAAGCGTCGTGGCACTTGCTGGAAACTTCTGCATGTGAAGAAAAAAAACACATACAGCACCGGCAGCAAATCCAACTCGTCCAACATCCAATCCAATCTAACATCAAAAGTCAACGGCAGAGTGCGGAATCACACGCAGCACCGATGTGAGGTAAACATCGGCAAGCAAATTACTTGTACACTCCGTGACACTGTAAGTGCAAACGAGCCACCGCTGGTTTTCTGTTTTTAAGGACTGCCATAAAAAAAACTACTATAGTCATGGAAAGTGCTCAGTTGGGCTACTAATTTAAGCGGTAAATTTTGATACCTGTCTCTTTTGCATTTTGATAAAATGCAAAAAAGCGCCAGTCGTGTTCGTGCTAGCAGCGCCGTGCAGTGCAGTTCCACTTGCCTTTTAAGTTTTCACAGTTTCGGGTTTTCTACGAGAAAAACTGCTTCCACCAGTGCACCCATTCTTTTTTGCAGACGCCAAATTCCTTCACGATCTTAATGACAAGTTAAAGGGTACAGTCGTGCCAAGAAGAGATATCTTGCTGCCAGAGCTCTAAACGATGAACTCAAAATATAGGAAGTTATTAGGGATCCGAGATTAGTGGGCCTCAAACCATGTTACCACAAACGTCGGCATTTTTAAGCTCCAAGAGAAACCCGAAACACAGATGGCATTGGGCCTTGTATCTTATCTATGATCAGACACTTCACACTTCAAGCTCGCTTCTGGACACACAGAACATAGGAGTAAATAGGATAAGATGCCACATATGCGAGTGGAGCCAGCACACCTCGAACGAACGAACGAACGCCGTTAAAATCCAAGCAAAGCTTGATTCTATCAGTTTTGGGGACAGCCTCGCTTTCCTAGCATGACTGCCAGCATTTTTAAACTCGTCCAGAGGAAGAAACAAAATATTGTACAACCTTGATCATGCCGACAAAACCAGGAAGCATAGTATGTGTCCCACACAAACTACACTCCGTGTGTGGCTTGCGTTAGTTTTGTCCTCGTGCAACACCGAGCAAACGAACGCATCGCACAGGGGCTACCTCATACGGCTCTTGCACGACGCGCGACGTCACCGAGGCGAGTGGTCACATGGTACGAAGTCGCTCTCGCCAACACTTTTTGCCGTGAGCACAATCCTTCCAGAGTAGCCGTGTTACGCAGCTCAGTGGCTCTATCCGACTACTACCGCACCGACCCCGGTTGAGCCCTGCTGGGGAGCCTCCAACGTCAACTTTACATAGGCCTCTGCAAGCTTTCAATATAACCTTCACATTGTGCAATGCACCAAGTGTTTAGCCCTTTCCCAATCCTCGTTCGTTACAATTTTCTCGTAGAAAACGACCAGTAAAACGCGTTCCGCATTAAAACAAAAAACGGCAGCAAAAGGAAGTTTCAATGGACATTTTATTTGACACATTTTTTAGGAAATTACACAAAACATATGAAGCAAAACTGCATGCCAGCGTGACACGATGGAACCGACTTGCAAAGAGGTAAATGTAAACAAACAGGTAGAAATAGCTTTCCGTCCATACCTGTGGAACAAAGACCCGTAAGCACGTTTTTGTTCCACAAATATTGTACAGTCTAAATTGGTTATAACAGACCACGATAGTGACCAATATTTCAGTCTGTTGAATCAATGGTGCAGACAGGAAAACTAACCGAACTTCGGGATGCAGTATTATGCTATATCCAAATGTCTGTCGTAACGAGTTTATACTGCATGAAGAGGATTGTCAAAGCTAGGGTGCGTTGATCTGCGCTTTGCTCAGGGCGACGACGTTCGACAGTTTTGTTTCGAACGCTTTCGTTTCTTTTCTGTTCCAGAGTGCGCGAAAGCTTTTCTCCCGGCACGAGCGGTATCGACAGTGCTACGGCGGCATTCTGTTACCGGCTCTTTCGTATTCTTCCCGAGAGTGCACGCTGTCAGCGTCGAATACCACAAAGAATGCGTCGCCCTAAATAGAAGGATGTCGAGGCACCCCGGTCGAAGCTGTGGCGTAGCTCGGAGGCGACGCGCCCGCTTCCCACGCGGCGAACCCAGGATTAAATCCCGCGGGAGGCGGGCAATCTTTTTTTGAAGGACCTGGCAAGATTGACGACAGGCAGCCTGTATCCCACTAGAACCACTACGACAACTACAATGGACATTATTTCCTGCGGAGAAAAAAACCCACGAGAGCTGTTGCTCCAAAATCCGTAAGGGACACACTTACGTTCATCGGAAGGTCTCGGCAGCACTCGGCCAGTCCAAAGCCGTTTTCCTTGCCTCCCCAGTTCTGCAAGACAGAGAAAAGAGAAATTCACTAAAAGAAACGAAAATGCAGAAACTGCTGTGACCCCATGAAATGGACGCTTATTTCCTCCATCTCAATAAGTGCTGCAATCTCCCTCCAGCTACGGGTTGTTTTGTACGACATGGCTCCATCACCTTCGCACCGAAGTTGTTCTCTAAGCATCATAATCACAGTGTTTTGTTGTTGTTTTTCAATTGTGCAGTTTCACTCACCTCGGCCAGGTAAGTCAGCCTCGTCAAAAGCGCCTGACGCCTCTCTGGATTTAGCCTTGTGATGAAGTTGGAACGTTTGCTACGGAAACAAAAATAGAAGCCTCATGTTAGCCACAACTTTTCGCTAAGAAATCTATGATATGCAAATGAAGCTATTAAGCACCATTTTGACTGCTTGAACACAAAGTGGGGGATGTGGGAGTTTGGGCTATCTAGTTTTTATAACTCAAATATAAATATTTCGGGAAGAGTTATTACCTCAAAATATGAGATGCATATCTGTCCTATGTCAATTTTTTAAAACATTGTTTAGATAGCTCGATTCCCCAGTAAATTTCAGTTCAGAAACATCTTAACTGTGGTATCAGAATAATTTTACCTTCGAACAAACTATTCCTTCGTATGAAATTTGCAGCAAAAAGTGGAACAGAGAAAAATGCATTCAAACAATGAACTCCTTTACTTTGGTACTGCCTCACAATGTGTTCAAAATATTTTATAGCAACGTAACAATTTGGCGTATGGTAATCACATTTAATGTAAGGGTGTATAATTAATTTCTAAAATTGAAAACCTCAAAAGTAAAAAAAAATTTATTTAGGCCCACATTTCCCCTTGCTAAAGAGTTTCCCGGCTATATGTTACATTTTAGGGCAATCTTTTTTTTTTTTTTTATCTCTGCTCTTGATTATGAGCACATTACAGTCTAAGCTCATTATAACAGAAATGGTTACAACAGACATTTGGATATAACATATAGATCTGTGAAGTTTGGTTGGTTTTCATCTACATACCATTGACTCAACTTCATATCTGCATAACATACTCCTTTTACAGCAGACCAAAATCTTGGTCACAATCAAGGTCTGTTATAACGAGCTTAGACTGTATAAGCTACAGTACAGAAGTCCATTGATCATTATTATATATATGGAGATGCCTTCACCAGCTTTGTGAGATACCTCAACTACCATTTACGGAGGTTCACTGTAATCTGCATGCACTTTGCAGTGAATGCATCAATTTGCCGACCGGCCAAATCAGACGACGGGAGTTTGAGCATGTGACCTTATTCGGCATTGTAAGTTCCTCAACAAGTGCTCCATTATTAGCGCACCATACGGTGCCAATGAATCTCGTGATTGGACAGATTTATTTTTGGCTTGTTGGCCCAAATTTTACATCATACATTTTTAACGTCTACTAAATTTCTCTCCTCTATATTGACCCTCTCCAGTCTTCCCATTTGGTAGGTGGGAAACTACATCATTCTATAAACTAGATCACAAGAAGATATCTTTACTCAAACCTGCTTCGAGCATGCCATACCTCAAGCAAGCAACAAACAATTACTCAAAAAAAAAAAAAAAAAAGCAGAGTGCATTGGATATTTGTTGCCTCACCTGAAGACGTAGAGAAGGTTTAGCACACCGAGCACAACCAGCATGTCGCTTGATGACAGCAGGGCTGTCAAGTGCTGCACGGAAGGGAAGCTCAAGATCAAGTTGTGCAACTCCGTACCACACAAGTCTGGTTTGCCACACAGCCTCGCCGAACTGAAGGCTTTGGGAACAAGGTCCCGCATCCGCTAACAAGTGCGGCAATTACCTTCAAAGTCAAGTCACAAAGGAGACTGCACACAGGCTGGGTAAGTACGACGTTAATCAGCAAACACAAGACAGCTTGTCTAATAATATATTTCCTCCACGTGAAGAAGGACAAGTTGAGCAACTAATGATAAAAATGGTGACAGCCAGTGCAGCACTCCTAAGGGGAGAAGGAGGGCTCATGACCTACCTCCATGGAGTTGTAGAGGTGCCTGGAAAAGCTGTGCTCTATCAGCAGTGCTGTGAACTGCAGGATCAGCAGCAGGAGCTCTTTTTCCTGCACAGGCCACAGACAGAAGACCTTTTACATTTCGTGGAGTGGCACAGTTTGCAAGAGCCCTGACACATGTCTAGCTTCAGTATCCAACTTCCTTAGTTCTCGCCGCTTTACGCGTAATCGCGCCTTCGTAAAACACTTCTCAAGTTTCCTTAAAGATCTATAGCCCTTTGAAATCATGATACATTGACAGTTGGTTCCAAGTTTATAAGCCAAAACACCTGCTTTTTCAGGATTGGAAGCCAAGCTTATGAACAGGTCAAAACTCACAACGGCACCAATCTGCAGTTTCTAAGAGAATTCTCCGTGAGAAACTAATGGAATTTTTCCCAGTTTTCAACCCAGTTTCTCAACTACATGTTCCCTCAGAAGCAAAAATGCTTAGACCACGAGATCCTACTTTTTTGACAAGATGGCGGGCGTGCTACAAATCTTACAGAAGTAGTAGATTGGAGTTACTCTAGGAGGTCCTATAGCATGGCAATGCAGGCAGGGAAATTCTTAGCATGGGTACATTTTCTAATGCCAAGTTACGGAACTTCTAGTCTAGAGCAAGATCAAGCGAATTTCGCAACTCAAGCAGTGCCTCCACCATCTTTTCACCAAGGCTTTTCAACACCCCTCAATCTCGTGGTCTAGGTCTTCTGTTCCTTTTGAAAGCTAGGAGAGTCCTCTGAAATTTTACAACTGAATCACACCGCTCAGCAACATACAAGACTAAGAACTGCAAATTATAGCATGCTGCAGGTTAAGAATAGAAGGATGACAAACTCCTTCCATAAAGCCCTCCACTCTTTCCACTCAAGCAGAGCGAAACGGTGGAGAGGATTCGAGTGGAGGAGGAAACAACGAATCCTGACAAGCGGAGAGTTTGGGGAGAGGTTCTGCTCTTCATCCTCTTCTGCTGCAACAGACTATAGGTGGCGCAAGCTACTGCCCCTCACAAGGGGCATGGCTACTACCATCGATCCACCCAAGAAAAGAGTGCGGCAAAGGGCGCACCTGCTCGTGTCCGGGCGAGTCGCACGGGAGGCACCACTGTCCCTCGTGGCTGGTCCGACAGGCTGCTTCCAGCAGCGAGTCGAACAGGTCCAACACGTCAATCCAGTGGTACAGCTCGCACTGAAAATACGGCGGAGGAATTAGAAGAACCAATCAAACAACTCACGCGTGGACTCCACCCGAACAAAGGCTACAAAAGGGGACTGAAGATTCCGTAAATAGAGTTTACATAACAGCCGCACTCGAGAAGGCCACATCGGAAATTGGAGTTAGTTCGACCTCCTGACGCTGACCTCTCAGGACGCGACACTCTGACGAAAAACGAAACGCAAAAACATGTTTAATAGTTGAGTGCCAAATGAAAGAATAAGGTTAAAGAAAAGATTCAAAACAACCCCGACTCCAGTAGGAGTGGTTTGCAAGAATCATGCTTCTCGGTCCGACTTGCCCTTGGTGGGGTTGGCATCTCGCTTTGACTGAGTCTTGTCCCGTCGACAGTTTCACCTCAACACCGCCTCTCGCGATAGCGTCGCCCGCTTAGCTGATTGTGGTGATGGCGACGGACGACTGTGACAATTGTTCCAAAACAACCGATGAATGCACGTATGGTCGTGATGCAGCGCTCGGTTCTGTAAAGGCCCACGAGGTTAAATGTCAAAGCCAGTCCAACACACCAGATACGTGCGGTGTTGTATGTCGTCCGATTTCTACTCCGCACAAAGGAAGATGGCTTAAAAGTAGCGTGCATTTCAGTGCTTTGCCCTTTTCCGTTCCCCCAGGTTTTTGAGCCGACAGTGCCCAAGATTGCGCGCCATCGACAAGCCCAGGCTATTACCGCACTAAAGGGGTATCTGACATTTTGCTACACCACGGTCAGCCTTTTTGATCTTGAGGGATGCTCGCAATGATTTTAGTGTCGAAAGAATATGCAGTTTGTATTTTTAACACAAAAAGAGCAAGGCCATGAAAAGAAGAGGGAAAATGAGGACCTACCTTTCCCCAGTTCCAGCTCTTGATGGACTGGAGCTCCTGGAGCAGCTCATCCTGGGAGCAGCTCTTGAGCTTCTCCACCAGGAGCTTGCAGTCCAGTGGAACCTCCGACGAGCTCTTCTTTAGCCGCCCGCGCTCTATCTTCATCGTGGCGCTCTCCTCCGTGGCGTCCCGCCGCCCAGAGGGGTCTCGGGGGAAGAGGGGGTACTGGGGGTGCCCTCACACGGGGATCCAGCCCATGACCCTCGCACACCCTGCTGTCAGGCCAGAGGAGGGACCAACGAAAGACCAAGTTTCAGAACTGCCACCATCTCTCAGGTTGGCGAGTCTAATTTTCTCAGCATCTTAATGCAGCATCTTAATGTTGTAATAGCAAACAATTTAGCCAGGAAAACAGTCCATTGCAAACAAGAACAAAGTCCAATCCCGTGTGCAGTTATTGTCGTCGCAAGCACAGTTAATCGGTGCGACAAAGATACTGCGTCCCCGATTGGCTGCCGTCATCTAGACCGATCCCCGCAGTTAGTGTTGCAGCATGAGGATCTGGACATGTCTCAGGGTGCAGATTACAAAATGACCCTGCCTGAAATGGGCCTATCCGCTATTTCTCGCTCGAGTTGAAACGCGCTGGTGCAGCGTGCCAATAGCCTTCAAACACTTCCGGTCTTGAACTAGACGGCGAGTTTTGCAGTATCTGCGAGATCGAATCTATGCACCGCCTTCGGGAAATGGCTGCTTGTAGCACTGTTGGACATTACTCACTCGTGGTAAAAAAAATGACTAGTAAAAAAACTAGAAATTGCACGTCAAACGGAAGTGTGCCAGGGCTACACGAAAGATGGCGCCAATAGGCTTGTGGCCAAACAAAAAAAAGAGGGCAAACACTACCAAGCATCAACGTGATTGTCAATACAGCTAGAGCGCTCGCCAAAAGACACTACCACAAAACGCGAGGAACTTGGACGACAGAATGAACGCCAACTTCTTTGTGGTCATTGCGCAAACGGTTGACAACAAGAATTTGTGTTTTCCCGCAATCAAGTTACACCCCCAGGACCTGCCAAAGGTTGAGGCAAAACCCCGAAAGCTACGGACTCTCACACTTGTATTTGCTTACAACAGAGCTCTTGTGACCTCTGACAACTCGCACTTGATCGTAAGCAGTCATAAGTGTGTAAACCAGCCCTTATAGAGAGAAATAGTATGTTAGTTACAATATCTTCACAAAAAAAAAAAAAGAAAAGAAATTGAACGAAAGACGAGCATGTCTCTCTCAGAACTGTTTTTGATAGCCAGGTCATTATGTTGATCCTTCGTTTCGGTTATTCGTGCCATCTAGAACATAGGGGTCCGATTCTCAGCAGTCAGAAGCATGCAATGTGATTGCAAGAACTCTTGACCTTTTCAATTCTTCCCTAGCCCATTATATACTGCCAAAGTGGCAATGTTTTCCTGGCAACTTCGTTCATTGTTCTTTCAGGTTTTGCAAGAATTTTAGATAGTTCTTTTTGCCGGAAGGAGTGCTCATCCAATCCCAGTGATGGAAGTGGCATTTGACCTTCCGTAGCAGGTTTCGTAGCAGGTTAAATATTGGTTTGGCGCAGTCACGGGCGCTTTTTGCGCAGAAGCCAACGTCTGTTAGCACATCACATGAAAGCGGAAAAGTGATTGCATCGATTGCTAAATGAGGTCATTTTAGATATTGATTGTACCTCCCTCTCAAATACTGAGGGAAATTACTCGTTTTTCTAACAGTGGTGGAGGAACCGACAACTAGTAATTTAAAGCAGCTCTTGAAAGAAAAAAAATTGGGGTGTGGGCATGTTTATACAGCCTGAACTTAGTCCGCCTCAATGGGCAACTTGTCTCTCAGCTGTGGATGAGAAATTTAGCCAGTGCAGTGTAACCGCTAGCCTGGGATTTTTAACGTGCACCACACAGTAATGATACACGACCGCACGCCGGTACGATGCTCATCCAGATTGAAACGGGCAGACGTGGGGATTGAACCCAGGATCCCTGGGAGCAGTTCTTGTAGCAGGGAACAAGTTTTGGAGCAGGCATTTTCAAGACTTCATGTCAGAAAATTTTATCGATCTCTTCGAAAGTTAGGCTGTGAAAAAAACTGCAGTTGTTGGAGTGTTGGAAGACTATTTAAAGTGTCATACCTAAGGGGGACCTGGCCACTACAGATATTTATTTATTGAACAATCGTACGCCCCTAATTTTGCAATGTCTCAACATATTAGGATTACAGATGGCGTCTTCCCTGAATGTTTGACATAAAAAGATGTTTTTGGCTACTTTGTAGGGTTTGTATTATGGTGACGTAATTGTTGCGAGTTTGACATCAAATGAATACTTTTTGAGTTGAATGTGTCTCATGCTGCCCTCACTCATTCAACCTGCCACTGTTCACAAAGCAGCTAAGCAGAGAACATAGCTACTCTAACCGATCACAACAAGTAGAGCTAGATATTCATTGCGATCGATGTGAGCACCGTTCGCACAAAAACCTATAACTCTTCGCTATGCATGTGCAAATAATGGATAAAGTGTATAGTGGTTTTGCCCGAATGCTTTTCATTGAACATTGAATTGTTTCTGCACCTTTTTTCACGCCTTTCACCACTGCTACACCATGCTTAAACGAAAAGCCAGCTGAACTCGTGAACGTTGTTCCCAAGCTTTTAACAGCCCACTTACGAGCTCTGTTAAATTTAATCTAGCTATATTGATAGACTGTGGCCTCAGAAAGTCCAATTTCTACATTAAGGTGGGAAGTAAATGACAGATTTTTCATAAAATTAAACCTGTGAAGAAGCCCAGCCATACCTAAATGAGGGGATTGATAAATCTTATTACTATATAATTTCTTTTTTTCAATTTTGAAAATGAAAAAAATATAATGAACACAAGTTGTTAGAACATTGCTGCCTAATGAACACCCTTGCATAATAGCCACAGTTAAATTTTTGAAGATTTTACTGCAATGTAAATATCAACAATCACAATGTTCCCTTTTTTTTTTTTCTTTTTATTACTACATGCACGTCTGCCATACCTTTTTGAAAATGTGTTTTTCGCCTAAGTGCTCGACTGCACTGCAGCGAGACGAGTCGCGAGATTGCGGTGTCAGCTCCGCGGTTATTGCTTCTCCGCAGTGCACCGGTGCAAAGCGGGGAAGCTTTACTCGAGCAGAGTTGGTTTGAAAGTGAAAGTTGATGCAAGCACCGCAAGTACCACGATACGCTGTAACCGTAGCCACGGCACGGAGGCATGTGGCAGTCATGAAAATTACGTGATCTCGTCAGGAGTAGAAGACCCTGGTTCCATACCATTACAGTAGCTGCCGTCCCACTATTTTGCACAATTTCTTTGCGACTTTTAATGGAGACATTGACTGGAAGATGATGGTGACGGGGCTATGCGGTATACTAGGAATCTCCATACTTTGTCTCATTTTAAGTCAAAGTGCAGCCAATGCTACGAGCCAATAGGACCAATCAAGCAGCGACAAAAGTGTCACATCATGCCATTCATAACCTTCCTGTAGGTGTTCTTTCATCAGCAAAATCAATTAAGTGCAACAAATGCCCCGTGCCTTGCACTTCTAGTGTGCGTGTTTGCGGTTGTGTGTGCACGCATTTGAGCCTTTGACTGAACTCTGACCAAAGATGAAAAAGCTATATGGTGAGTAGAAAGGTGAAATACATATTTGTACCATTTTCCTCTCCTACTCAACTAAATACCAAAATCAATTAATAAAAAAGCTATTTTGCTTTTTTTGCTTGTTTATCTTGATGCAGGTGTGATACAATTCTTAGCAAATATGGCATTTTGGTGCAAGATGCAGCACACTTTCAATCATGGCACAATAAACCATTCGTTCAATCCCCCAAGTGCCCTGGCCCGCACTAGAGGAATCACGGCTCCCTAGTGGTCGGTATTTTCGACCAATTCCATGGTTACATTTCGAGTAATTCAAAGTAACCTTGAACAAGCGTCATATAGAGCCCAAGGACCTGCAATATCACTTAAAATTCCTCGTCTATGTCAGCGATCACTATACTCTGTTTCATCTTATGTTGTACCGTAGCTAAGGCTACAAGCGCGAGCTCATTGCTCTGGGGCATATCTCGGCGGCACAAGCTCTCGTGCATTAGGGGTGACTGCCAACGCTATGAGCTCGAGCTTCTAGCCTTCGCTGCGGTACAACATAAGGTGAAACAGAGTATAGGGAGCTGAAGGAACACCGTTCCCATGATTCCTCGGGTGCGAGCCAAGGCACTTCCATCACTGAAATTCTCATTCTATTTGTAACAAATTGTTTCGTAATCTTCACAGCAGGGGATTCACATACATACAACACATTGTTTCTGAAGAAATAAAAACTATTTGGTACAAACAAAAAAAAAGCCTAGATGTGATGGGACATGTAGAGCAAGTAAACATTCAACTTATACCTTGTAAAACATGACCTCGGGTAGAATGCACACCCGTTATATCCTCATGCACCATGTTAAGTTAGGAGAAGCTCCATCATTAAACTATAGGAACTTAAAAGTTAACAACAAAGGAAGAGTAGAAACTTTGTACAATTTTGTACAAAAGAAAAAAAAGGACCTTGCATAATTTTATTAGTTGACCTGCGAAAATATCTTACTAAAATGGAGTGATCCTTACAAAACCTTTCCTTGGAATTCTTGCATCAGAAGATCACTACAAATCATTTAGCTCCCCTGAAACTGAGTTTAAGTCGACCAGCTTCCGCCCATTAAGTAACTTCAAGTATAGGTCTCTCCGAAGTGATAAAATGAGTACACTGCTTAGGAAAGCGAACATAGTCTTTGGGCCATCCGAGTATGCATTCAAAACTCCAAGCATTTTCCAGATGCACATCCGAGCACCAATCTTTTACAATGACCTCAAATAACAAACTTTAGGCCCATTCACGCAGCTGCCTTTGACTGCGCTAAAACTGCTGCAACGAGCTGCTGCTATGGCGACCCTTACGCAGATGCAATGGAGGCGATGTGTTGCATGACGCAATGCAATCGACGCAACTGCGTGAAAGAGCCTTTAGGGTACGAATTTTGACACAAATAGTGTATTACCTCAAACTATCCCTCGCCAATACAACCTGCTCAGAATACAAGGAAAAAACATTTGACCAGAGGTTAACACCATCATACAAATCCCTACATAATGTAGATCGGTTTGTCCTTTTCCCATGAGTAGAGCAAATAGTCTGCTTCTTGCGTAGGAGTTGCAGTAACGTCAGAATGATATCCACTCTGATTGGCTGTGATTGGAAGGATAGCAGGTAGACCTTAATGCTATTTGCCTTGAGGTCACCCACTACTTTTTTTTTTTTTTTTTTTTATTATTATTATCGTAGGAGCCCCAGTGCGAGAAGCAGACAAACTTGCGCTCTGCGTTTGGGCACCTGCAAACACGAAAAGTTTTGCGTGCGTACGCATGACGCAGCAACTTCCGCGACCCGCCAGGTTTTGATTGTTGTGACCTCCACCCTACTTTACCCCCCCCCCCCTTTTTTTTTTTTTACAGTATGACGTAGAAGAAAACAATAAATCCCTAGAATGGTAACAATTACACCAGGCAACTTTTTTTTTTTCTTTGCGTGTAGTTGTTTGTGCATTGTTTGTTTTATGTTTCAAACTTCGAAGTCAAAACGAGAGTCCTCAGACGGCAAAATGTCAACCGGTCGGAACTCAGGAACAATGCAGACAAGTTTAGGCACCCCGCGACCATTTTGGGAGGAACGCAAGCGGCGAATGACCGACAACGCTACCGTTGCGACTGAGGTCTTTTGTTGTTTTCCTTTTTGACAAAACGGTCTGCTTACACACGATTGCAACAGCCTGACACGACCGAAAAGGGGCTCTCGCAGACGTTTGGACGGCGAAAAACGCATCCCCAACAGCGGTCGGTTTTGGAAGCGAGCGGGCAGACGCTAGGCAATCGCTGCTGTGATAAGAGCGTCATCGAACGGCCTTCCAAGCCTTTCAGATCACTAATCTCCCGAAAAGTAACTACGAGCGTGTATCACCCCAAAAGTTCATGCGCTTTTTTTTATATTTTTTTCCCGTCGAGCGAGCCCACAACCACACGACGCGCCACACCGCTGATGACTCGTTGTGATGGGGCACATCTCGATTAGTTGAGGTTTACCAGACGCTGCGTCGACAGTCTATAAGCAGGGTTTAATGCCGGAACATATGAGCTCCAACGCCGTTGGGGTCACGCGAGCCGAATCGGACGGCACAAAACCGAAAAAGTAGCGACAAGTGACGACCGATTTGCTGGCGACCTTAGGCCTAACGCCTTTCAACGAGACGCGAGAGCACGCGGTTCTGGTCAACTTCCGAGACGAAGCACAGGTGTTAGGCCCCATTTCGAGGCTGATACTGTTGCCTGCAAGGCACAATCGGTCGCTGTGTATGAAACGCAGTCGGCCGCGGGCCCCTAACAATGCGCTCTCCGGCGAGTACAGGCTCAGTGCCGTCGCCATTGCGAGTTGGGTGAGTGTTTACGCGGACCGCGGCTGACTTGCAGGAAAGCAAGGGGAGCTCGTTACCTTGTTGCAAAGAGAGCGTCGACGTTCCTCGCGAGTTTAGGTCCGTTGCGAGGAAATCAGTGGCCGTAGCTCATACCAGTAGCTCCGAATAACTGCAATGAGCACGCATTACCACCACCGATCAACGAATCGCACACAAATTTTTAGTCAACAGGGGGCTTTCGGGTATGGAAAGTCTCGAACCCAGAGCGATGTTGTGTTTTTGTGCGCTTGTGGCGCCCCTGCCAGAGACGACCTGTTCTAAAAAGATCAGCTTGGCCGCTGGCTTGGCGATTAGCCCTTGTCTCTGTTTTGTGTTGGTCTTCTTGAAGTGTGACAGGAATACATGAAAAACACAGTGTGACCATGACCTTCGCATAATTTATTTCGTTCAATGCTATTTGCCATCTCTCCGTGGTCTCACAAAGAAAAGCTATCGGTGCGCAGCGGTGTGATGCAAGCAAGCTAGCACTAACTAGACCCGAACCCCGCTCCGTGATTGCGGCCAGAGGACGGCCATCTTGCACGCAGAAAAATAGCTTTTTTGGAGCGTTACAGAGTCTGGCGGTAGCGTACTGAAGACACATTTTCTACTCGTTCGTCATCAGTCGGGGAAGAATCTTTCTTAAAACCATGTGTAAATAGTGAGACTTGCCGTTGAGAACACGTTGAAATTTTTACGAAAGCGCAGTGCCGCAGAAAAGAGGCACAACTCGTCGAAAAAAAAATTCGCCGGTCTCGCGTCGCGGCGTGATCAAATCTACCTTTGCATACCTGAAGTGCTGCAGCTCTGTGCCTTCGCACGCTTGGATACTGATCAAGAATCGACGTCGCAACAAAGTTTTGAAAGTGTGTCGAGCGTAGATCTCTTTGCATCATATATCGGCCACAAAGTCCTGGATCGTCCTGCAGCTCTGTACGGTTGTTATTATGCACTCTACGTTCCATTCCAGATCTACTCTAATGGATCACATGGGAGCACAAATTGGGCAAGGCTGTGGAGCAAGGAGGGGTCTCCAATGCCAAAAAACGCCCCCCCCCCCCCCGCCCCCTATTTTCGTCGCCACTGGATCAAGCTCGTTTCTGGACCGCGAGTGCCGCAAGTTACAAAAACCCTCAGAGTAAAGTAAAACGCCGCTCCAGAGGCCTTCACGCACATTGCTTCACGCCTTCACATATCTTTTCTGCGGCTACTGTTCTTGCTAAAAGAGCTGTGGTTGCGAAGTGTCGGACACTAGCCACAAGTGACAGGATTGAATTCCAAGCACAACAGAAACAGAGTCCCAGTCCTTTGCTTTTATGTCTCTGAACGCTCTAACGTCAGCTTTCGGGAGATTAATTAGTTTCACGTTCGGCAGTTTAACGTTCAGTGGGGCAACCATCTCTGACGCCGACTTCATCACCGACTTGGTGTGCCGTCGGGGGTTGTACAACGTTGTTTGGTGCTTGACATCGTACATTATAATAACTCTATGCTTGACATGACCCCCGATTCAATCGCAGGCACTCTTGCCATGTCAAGTTGCGGAAAAAGTACTCCTCGCTGACGTGTATTTGTGGCTCTGCAGCTCGTTGGTACTTGGTACCATTTTCGCGTGCTCTCAACGGCACGTTTCAACGTTTTATATTGGTCTAAGATACTTCTTCGACAAATGACGATGAACGTTCAGAAAACGGAAAACGTGTCTTCAGTGCGCTGCCGCCTGCCTCTGCAACGCTCCAAAAACGCGATTTCTCTACGTGCAAGATGTCCGCCCGGTGGCCTCACTCAGTTAACTTTGTGAAAATCTGCGCAGCTTTCATGCAGTCATGCAGCCGTGTCGAGCCTCGAGCCCGTTAAAAATTAATTACAAACATTTTAAATTTGGCTTTATTCATTCGGATTACAGCGAAAATATAAAAATAATCAACAAATAATAATGGCTTGCATCGGATCGCTATGTGTGTAGCTGTCAAGTATTTAGCCAACACTATCCAATAATTTGTGCGCTGGGGTTTCGCGTTTGCCGGAGTAGACCGCTTTGGCTTTGGACCTGACGACCTTCTTTAGCGTGTACGAGGAAGTTGTGGCGAGTGTCTGAAATGTTGAGTCTATCTCGAAGAGCCCTCTGGAATCCAAGCGTACGCAGGCAAGTGTCACTCAATGTCGGCTTCGTCAAATGCTGATAGAACCCGTCCACTCGCCGCGGGGACGTCTTTGCTCCACCGAAATGCAGAAGCGCGACCGATTCGCTGCCCTTAAGGCGTAATCTCTCACACAGGGCTAGCGCCGCACTCAGGCCTTTCTCGGCTGCCTCGCCCGCCGAGAAGTTCAACCAGGCCGTGAAGGATCTGAACAACGTTCCCGAGGAACCTTCCAACGACGTCAAACTTCAATTGTACGCTCTCTTCAAGCAGGTATGCAGATTTCGCTTCGTCGCAAATACCGATGTTAATTTATTTTTCAAAAGGTACCTGAGGGATGATGTTGCTGGGAGACTCACTACTGCTTGCCCCCAAATATATTATTAAAAAACATTAATGTTTCTTCTCGATTTCTTTGTTTTCTACCGCAGAATTAAAGATGTAGTCCAACGATTTTAATGTTAAAAGAATTTGCAGTTTGTATTTTAATTTTGTTAGGCGCAAGTGACAAGAAATGTGCCACCTTGCCCCGACAAAACTGCTATTTCGCTGCGTAATTGCTGAGGAAAAACCTAATTAATTGCCGATCTGCAGCTGCGTGAGGCGGGTAAGGGAACCACGGTGAAACGTCAACAAAACCTGTCCCCTTCCGCTGCTACACTTGCCATCAGCCCTGTGGCGAACAATCTTTTGTGTAGATCGCTCGCGGCGCATTTTTTCGGTCGCGCACCAGCCACCTAGCTGTGTTTGGAGATTTGTGTTTCTCTTTTACCCCCCTTATTCCCCTTCTTCTGGGATTATTTTTGTCATTCTTGTCCAGCTCGCTTGCACCTTAATTGCTTTACCATCATAACAACTTTGTTGTAGTACACTTCATACTTCATATCTATAGTCATCATCTGCAGAGTCTGTTCACATATACACAAAGTAACTTGTATTAGGGAGTGATGGGATGGGGTCGAGCAGAGAGGGAAGAGAAGGGGACGTTTGTGATTGGCTCTTAGAATCACGTGATATATAGGCGGAGAGAGCTGGGAGTGTTGGTACTGATTCACATTTAAGAAGACTAAGTGCACAAAAAGCGCAGACGACGAGGAAGGGGCGGTCATCATTTGGGCCCGTTCTCATTTCAACCTGCTCATTTAGACTTCCTCAAAAGAACCATTCTCAAAGCACCCTCCTTGGTTGGGCCCGCCACACTTAATTTCGTTCTCGTTACATCATTCGTGTTTCATCCTCTAAGAAAAAAAAATAAAATAAAATGGGGGCACTTTTAGGTGTCGATGTTATGGCTGGGTCACCACATATCCCCAAAGAAGCTTCTTCAAGTTTGCCCCTCCCCTCTCCCAACTCGCCTATACGCAAGCACTCACATACACATGCACATGTGAAAAGCGGTTTGGCTAATGGTTGCTGGAATACGTCCCTTCTGCTCTCGAAACATGTAGCGGAGGTGCGGACCCGCTTGTTGGGTTGCCCGGATCTGATAGCTGGCACCAGCCAATAAATCACCGAACTGCTGTTTTGTGTTAAAGGACAGGAGGGTGTACCCCTACTCCATACCCTATTTTTTTTATAAAGTGGATGGCGGTGCGTGCTACGACCCATCGGATCCAGTCCAGGGCTGAAAACGTGCCATGCGCCGTCCGGTTCTGGAGCGAACGGGACCAAATGCGAATAGGCCCAGATGCGCCAAAAAACCCGTTTGGATGTTTTGAGAAGGTTCAAACGAAGAGGTCTAAACGAGAATGGGGCGAAACGAGAAGGAGCAAAACACGAATGGGACGTTTCGAGATGCACCCACAAGAAAGACAAGTAGAACGGACGAGCGCTCGCTCTGAACTGGAAATTTATTTTCATGAACCGTGAAAAGGTAGCATCACACCCAGTCCACTCATACACGGCCTGAATCCCCTTATCTCTCATCAAGGAACAGAATACCCCTATTGTCAATCGCATAAAAAGTTGTGGAAAAGAAAAAAAAACTCAACTTTTTGCACGATTGACAACGGGTTCCTTCCACTCCTTGATAAGAGATAGGGGGATTTGGGCTGCGCATGAGCGAACTGGGTGTAATGCTTTCTGCTCACGGTTTGTAAAAATAAACTTTCAGTGACGAGTGAGTGCTTATCTATTGTGCTTGTCGTTCTTGTGTCCGTGTTTCTTGTGTGCTTAATTTTTAATTGCTTGATACATTACGTCTGGCTGTTACCCTGACCACCGGCTTCCTTTCGAGTGCCCTTTCTTATTGGGGACTTGTTTTGGAGCCGCTTATCGATCCATCACCTCTGTCTCATCTTTCTACGTATGATCGGATAGAGGGATTCCCAGATCGTGTGGACATTGAATGATCCCTTCTGTAGATGCAGTCATGTTTCACCGACGGCCATGCTGAGGACACGAATGCTTAGCTCTTGTAAGCATTTCCCAGCCAGTTCATTTTGTGAATTGGGTGAAATAGTTCATCAGTCTCAGATTGAAAAGGGTGTCGGGGCTTCTGTGTTGTGTCACCATGTTCCATTCATCGGGGCCACCTCTGCTGCTATTGCTGCCATAATTTTTCTGGATCAGCGTTTGTACAGACATGCCGCCAGTGCTGTTACTCAGTTTTGCCGGAGCACAGAAGTAGCGATCGTGCCTTCTATTGACTGTAGGCTACGGTTGGCAAGTGCAACGTCGCCAAGCCGGGAACCTTTGATTTTGTCGGCAAGGCCAAGTGGGACGCCTGGTACAAGCTTGGAGACATGTCGCAGGTTGGTTTTGTTGGCTCTGGTGATCGAAACACACTTTGGTTCTTTACTGACTTATCTCTTGTGTACATCGTCGTGAAAGCCAGCATGTAGTGCTTTAGAACGTACAGTTACTTTCAAAATTCTTCTACTTCTAAACTTAATTGATTGAACAAATGTATGATGCTGGTCAGGGATAGGGACCAGACATCCCTCACCGCTTGACAGTATGCACCCTTGCTTCCGTCTCGCCCAGAGACCTAGAAAAGGGAGATGATTGTGTCATGTAATATGGTTCTCTCGAATCAAGTAGTGTACAATGATTTTCAGTTCTCCTTATCCCTTTCTTTTGGTCGTGCCATAACCTCCGAGGCCGAGCTTGCAGGGTGGTTCCTGTCGGAAGCAATTATCCTTTTGCCTTGCCTTTACATTAGTATTAAAATAATTGTTAATTTACAAACATAAAGAGGTCAACCTGCTTTTCAAGCTGATTTGCTACTTTGCAAAAAAGAAAAAGAAAGGGCAGAAGGTTTCTAGACTATTCTTGAAAGAACAGAAGGGAGAAAAACTAAAAGAGAAGAGATGGGTGTAAAGAAGAAGAAAAAAAAGCACGCACCATTTGCACCAAAGTTCAGGGCATTTTGAGGAAATGAGTATTAGTCGGATAATTAATCGTTGCTTTTGCGACCTCATCTCCATTCTTCGAGTGACCTCGGGGGGACGTTTTCAGGACGACGCACAGAACGAATATGCGGCGATCGTGACAAAGCTGGCCGGAGAGAAGGCATCCGGTCCTGCACAGTCCCAAGAGCCAGCGACAGCTGCGTCTTCCGGCGTGGAAGGCCTTGTGACGACGTTTCAAGATGGCGCCTTCACTATCCGCTTTAACAGGCCGAGCAAGAGGAACTCAATTACACTCGAGGTACTCCCCTCACCGCATTTTAATCTCCGATCACTTTGAAAAGCTCTCTTAAGGCAACAGAAATCGTTGGTGAGGTTTTGCAGCAGATCCCGGGGCGTGTTTCACCCAGGGTCATGGCATCATGTCGCAGTCTCACGTGACATCATTAAGAAATTCTCCGCCAAATTTGGTGGGGAAATTTCTGCGACGTCACATGAAACTGTGATGTCGGGTGACATTGCGGCATTACTTTGCACCATGACGTCGCACGACTTCGTGGTTAGTGTGCAGTGTGATTTTGTGTAGTCTGTGTGTGGCACCTCTGCTGTTACTGCAGTTTGTTTGCATTACTCAACAAGGCACTTGGAATATTTTTTTTATATAATGCTTGAAATTGTTTTAGAGAAGCTTTTCATTAAGGAAGCAATCGACATTCGTGCAGTCAGTGGCACGATGCACAATAAAGTTCCTGTTACAATATTTGTGCCGATGGAGACAAAATTTGCCATGTCGATTGAATCGAGTGTACCGCAACTAATGTGGAGCGCAAGTTTGTCTGCTTCTTAAACAGGGGTTGCGAAGATGTCAGAATGCCGAGCTCTTATTGGTTGGTTGAAAAAATAGTGGGTAGACCTCAAGGGATCTTGCATTGAGGCCTACCCACTATCCTTCCAATCAATGCCAATCAGAACTCGGTGTCATTCTGACGTCACTGCAACCCTTGCGCAAGAAGCAGACGACTTGCTCTCCGAATAGGGACTGGAATACGCCAAAATGCACACAAGCAAATTATGTTTATTGAATGCTGTCAGTTGTGTAGGAATATACAAACAAGCTCGTCTTTAGTACTATGGTTGTCATGTCTCAAACAGAAAGAAATGGCCTTTGTCTTTTTTGAACATAATTGGGTAGTAATTTAAGTACAGTAATTGGATTGCTAAAATTAAATTATTGAGTAATAAAATATTAAGGTGGGTTAAGTGGTTCAACAAACTAAATATATGAAGCTTAAAGAAAAGACGAAGACACGAAGAAGTCAGGACAGTCCTGTCCTGTCTTCTTAAAGGATATAGTTAGTTTATTGGGTCATTCGTAATTGTAGTTAATTACTTTTGGCCAAAAGTCGTTGTAGGTGATACTCAATCACTTTTTAGCCTCAGTAATTGCAAAATATTTATACAATTAAGACTTACTTTTTTCTATGATTTTGTCAAGCTGAAGCTTCGTTGTATACGTCACTGATAGACAAAAATACACTGAGTGTCTATCTTATTGCCCTTCTGCCAACTCGTGAAGCTTTGTAAAACACCGACTGTGGACGCACAGTCGAGCAACTGTCAAGGCCACGTCGCCCGCAGGGGGGCACAGACAATGCAGGGAGGGTGACTCGCATTGTCAGGATTGAGAGAGAGAGAATCGATGTGACGTGATCGTGTTGTGTACAATGAATGGCTTATCACAACTCGTGTTGGCCGTTTCCAGAATAAGTGAGACTCTGAGCCTCTATTCGATGCTTACCGATGCTAATAATCACTGACTTTGAACTGCCGCGATATAAAGAAGACTGGCAATCTCGATGGTGTTGCAAAATAGTACAAAAGACTGACTCGTATCACACTCGGAGCTCGACTCTCATATTATGGTATACCATTAAAGGGGCCCTGCAAGGACTTTTTACTGCTTTTTAATTTGCACTGAACCTGAGCGCACTGAACGTAGTAACTTAGTGAAACTTTTCTTTTCGCGAAATTCGCTTTATTTTAAAAGTTATAGGCAATTTAGAATTACAAAAACAAGCAAAAAATAACCTCCTTCATGACGTCGTAGGTCCTGGCTTGAGTGGCCGTGAAGTAAAGGAGGAATAGTGAGCTCATCGAGAGCTCACGGCCGCCGCACTCTGCGTCGACGGCGCCAGAGGGCGCCACTAAAGCATGTTCTGGATAGGCTGTATGCAACGGGCAGCCAAAGCGGCTTTCATTGCGTTTGCTGCGCGATTAAACACTAATTCGGCATGACACTTCATTGGCCACAACAACAGCAAACACGGGGTAAAGATGAGTTCAGAATGGGAGCCACTTCGCGCTGCCATACCGCGAAACGGCCAAACCGCAAGACAAAGCCTCTCGCCGAAGGCCTTCGGAACGCTCGGAGCCGGTCGGATCCTCCTGTCCATACGACTGCAGCACCACCGCGTACATCCGGGATTTTTCCGTGTCAGCACCTTATCCCACTACTCCTTTCTAGTATGCGCTGCCTTTTCCACCGCTTGGCGGTGGGTATGTTGACGGGTCATTTCTTGTTTCTGTACTTTATAAACTGCATTTCTTTCTTTTTTACATCTATAATAGTGAACAAAAACTACTTTTATAAATAATTTAAACGGTTTGCACCACTTATATTTTGTATTTCGACCAAAAAGAAGTTTTTAGTGGCTCTGACCAGTAGTAAGCCCAGGACCAAAGACGTCACATTTTGCTCGCTTTCGGTACTGCGGGTCGCCCTCGTCGGTGGAGGAGGCTTCCGTGTCGTCCGGTTAAAATACGCCGCACTGATATTTAGCTACTCTTTCCATGCCCGCTGGCTTTCCCGAACCCCCAAGAGACATGGAAACCGTATAAAAGGTAGACGCCTAAATATGATTGCAGGGCCCCTTTAATAAACTAAGTAAAACAAATGCACGAACTGCAACGAACGCAAAGTGCCACATGCCGTATCCGGAGTGATCAGACAAAAAATGGACAAATACATTTCATTAAAACAAAAAGTCGTTGTGCACATTTTCTCATATCGAGCAGCTGTCCAAGAAAGTGAATTGCTTTACTGCCTGAAAGTTATATATAATTGTAATTTGTAATTAATTGCTTTCTGTGTTGTAGTAGTTCTAACTGTAACTATAAACACTTTAGGACAATGTAGTCGAGAGTTTTAAAGTAGTTGTAATTATACTTAAAGGGAAACTGAAGCGGTTCTCTATTTGAGAAAAAACATTTCAATGGCCTTCATTCTACCTCCAGGATGAGGAATATCAAGATTATTTTTCAATTTGGTGCACGGAGGCTTCAGAAATTAATTTTTAAAGTACCGCCGAAGCCCCTCCTTCCCGGGGCGTGACGTCACACTAGGAGCCTTCGGAATATCTGCTCTCGCGCATCTTCAGCGCCTGTCAAAGCTATGCACGCGCACTCTTGCTATTTTCAGAAAGGTCAGAAAGAGACGTCACGACTGGTGTCAGTGCGGGGAAATATACCTGGCAAGTTTGCGTTGCACGCGCTGAACACACGAGCGACACGCGCTTGGCGGCCCGAATATCCTAGTATGACGTCACGACTGGTCGAATGTTTTTTCGCTTTTTCTCGCTTTTAGTTGCATCTTCAGGGAAAACAAAAGTGATATCCAGATTCACGGGATAAAAATACGCCAGAATTCACCTCTAACTCGTTTTTTTCAAGAAGTGTTTCAGCTTCCCTTTAAGCAGCATTTCTAAAGTAATTTATACCCTTGCATGATTTTGGTCAGTCTCCGACAGTTCAAGAAACGCAGTGTATGACTCACAGTCGTTGCGCTTTGTCTTTCGGCCACACTTGGGTCCCCCTAGTTCCAGGAAGCTCATGTAACCCAGTATCGTAGCACGGCCCTTAAAAAACGCTAACACCCCCCAAATAAATTTTTTTAATTATTTTTTGCCGTGAGGAGGCGGAGGCACGCGCACAGTCTTGAGAATGTGAGAGCCAGTGCTGTCACATGACTATAACACGCGCAAAACGGAGGCCAATGTGGCCCCCCCGCGTTGGGACGCCGGACGGTGGTGCCGCTGAACCTTGTTTTCTTTGTTTCCTTCGTTTTTCCGGCCGTGTGAAGCAGACAAAAAACGGGCACGTTGCACATTCAAGCTCTTACCAATTCATGTATGTAAGGTGAGTGATGTCTTCAGCCAGTGGAAGGGGCGACGACTCGGAGACGTCTTCGTGCGTATCAGCTTTGTGATCGGGTGCATCGTACGGAATAAATCCTAATTGTTTTGATCGGTAAAAGATTGCTCTTTCAAAGCTAGACCGATTCGCCGGTACCGCAAACAAAAATTCTGAAATAGAGGTCCCATGCCCGTCTTCCGCCACCTTCGCTTAGTCCGCTTCGCTCAGCCATCCAGCCCGCGACTCCTGCTATACAATGTCATGTTGAGAATTGCGCAGAAAATGCACAGAGTGCTTCCCGTTCTCTGTGAAGCTTTTTATTTTTTCAATCAACGTGTTTGCAGCTTTTTAGAAGCCATAAAAAAATGGATATAATATTTGTTTCTATTTTTAATGTTGAGTGCGTGCCTTCGATGACCCACGACTTTGATTATACTTGGTGCATGTGTCTAAACCATGGAGAAGGGCACGTGACCACGAAGGAGAGAGTCTGGACAGTTCTCCATCGGCGGTTTTTGGGTGGAAAGAAAACGAATTTCGAGCTGCAAATTGTGTTCTAGGTAGTTGGGCTCTCATGTGTCATGTACAAATAAAAACCTTGGCGAGCATAAATACCCTGTCAGCGTTCCTTTAAGCCAGTGGTCTCAAACTCGTTTGAGTGTTGGGGCCAGATAGCCAACACCAGAAAGGCCGAGGGCCAACGTAAAGTTGGGAGGGGGGTCTTAAAATGGTTTCTATTAAAAATGCCAACGTGCTGGCATTTTTAAAATGCCAGCACGTTGCCATTAACTCAAAATTTAACGAAGCTGAATCTTCCTCTAAAAAAAAACAAAAAAAAACCAGTTTTTTTTACAGTTCTTGCTTTCTTGACGATTTTTTTTTTTTACAACACCCTGAACGAATACTTTTCTTCTTTTAATGGTGATACCCAAGCTCGTAGCTTTATCATTAGCAGTTGCTTCACCTGATCGAGAGTTCGCGCAGCCAAGATGCATCCTTCAACGAAGTTTAGTAGCGGAATTGTTGCACATTTCAAAAAGCTGGTAAGCAAAATAAGAAAGCGAAACAAAGGGTGAAGGAACACAGATAAGCATAAACTATGTGAAGACATTAAAAGAGCAGAGCTACTTTTCGAGCGAAAGTGAGTCGGTAAGACCAGATTACTGTGGCGCATGTCATTTCTATGGCGCTCGAAACATGGGAACCGGGACTCGTAGACAATTTTCCGCGGGCCACGTCCCAGCGAGTCACAAGCCGCATGTGGCCCGCGGACCGCATGTTTTTGAGACCCCTGGTTTAAGCCATCGATGACCAGTACGTCGTCCCTTGGTAAGCCGTCGGAATTTCGCAGATGTACGAGGAGGTGATCAAGCTGCTGAAGGATGCCGGGCAGAGGGACGACGTCAAGTTCCTCGTGCTCACCGGCACGGGAGAGTTCTTCTCGAGCGGCAACGACCTCGGGAACTTCGCCAAGCAGATGCAGACGGGGCGCTCTCAACTGGAGCTTGCCAAGGAAGCCGCGGAACTCGTCAGGTATCGGCTCGTCAAAGGGTCTCGCCAGCTCGGCTGATTCCAAACCTCGGTATACAGTCTAAGCTCATTACAACAGACCTGGTTAAACAGACATTTGGATATAACATACCAATTTGTGAAGTTCGGTTGGTTTTCCTCTATGTACCATTGACTTAACTTCATAGCTGCCATACAGCATACTCCTCTTACAACAGACCGAAATCTTGGCCAAAATCAAGGTCTGTTATAATGAGCTTCGACTGTACTTGATCTCTCTTGTATTTCGTTTGCCCTGGGGCCACTAAACTAGTTATGCTTTGCAGTAATAACTACACTTCAGCCATCTTGGTCCTTAAAAGCCATTGTTGCCAGTTTTGTGATGCTTTGTATTTAAAATCGAAGGCTATCGTCCGATCTTCCCAACACTGTGCCTAAAGCTGAGGTAGTCGCATATTTTAATTGCAACTGTCGCCAATAGCGCCCTCTCTGCACTAAACAGCAACGTTTTTCGGTCTTTCAACATCTATAATTCATCGCTAAAAAAAAAACAATTTTTAGGTATGTTCAGTTTTTCTCGTCGAAGGAGGAACGATAGAAATGGAGCAGTCGAAACGTGCTTCCTTTATTTGTCTTCCCAATTATTTTGATTTTGTTTCTCGGTCTCATTACAAACTGTCACTACTGTATTTGCTCGAGTAATAGCCACACCATTTATGAACAAGGCCCTTGCGTCCACTTTCCCACAGAACAGATATACAGCCAATCATTGCATTGCGCATAAATAACATAGCGGATAACCAGATCGAGAACACGATTCTCCATATAACTGCAATCTTCACAGATGGTATCTTCGCACGAAGACGTTATCGCTGTCCTGTAAACAGCTGGAGTCATGCTGTCGATCGCGGTGATTGGCAAACTGCGTGCTCCACGGAAAAGCGAACCCTCAGGTTTTCTTCATAAACAGTGTGGCTATTACTTGAGTAAATACTGTAGTTTGCTCGTTCTTTTTAAACGTCCATCCCCTCGTGCACTTGATTTTTACTTTTGTACGTTTCGATTTCAAGTTCTTTGAGTGTCGTGCTCCGCTAGCACGGAGAGGGATAATTTGGAGAGAGGATTACTGTAAAGTTCCGAAAGAACGCCCACCCAAAATGAAGAGACAGATGGTGAAAAACATGGGGTGGGCTATCTTTGAAAATTCCACAGCAAAGTTTTACCAAAAATTTATCATAAACACCCGTGCACCCACTACAAACCACGTGACGCGGAAAGTGATACTCCAGATCGCAGACACCACAAATTCGCGTTTCACGATGCGATAAACACACGGGAATTCGCCACATACTCCTGTGTCCTGGGAAAGGACACCGCAGGTTGCGGACGGAGCAGATTTGCGTTTTACCATGCGAAGGACCCGCGGAATTCGCCGAGAACTTGCACCTCACGGGAACGAATACCGCAAATCGCGGACGCAGCAGATTCAAGTTTTATGGTGCAGTAAACATTCGGGAACTCATTACGAACTTACCTGTCACGGGAACCGATATCGCAAGCGCAGATCGCGGACAAAAACGCGGGAACCCGCTACGAACTCGCTTATTAGACCTACTGGTACAGCAGATCACACGGTTGGACGTCGCGTGACGTCCGACGTGAATCGGGGAGTTGGCAATGTTTCTGAATTTTTATGTTACAGATATTCAGACAGAAAACGGGATGGGCAATCTCTCGGGGGCAGGCATCCTCTCGAAACTTTACGGTAACTGTTTTCAGCACCTCTCCGTCAGGTTGTAAGAATGGAAATATGTGTCAGCTGCTCTCATGCAAGCCCTAAACATGTAGGTAAAAAAAAAAAAAAAAAAAAATGCATCTCCACGTGGTGAATGATGTCGATTGGGGCGAAGCTCTGGTGGTGCTTGTCTGCGTAGACGCTGAGCCGCAGCATGCCGGGCCTTTCGTTCGTTTTCATCCATGTCACGCTGCGGTCAAATGCTCAAATGCATATATAACCACGTTCCATACCACACATTCTCTTTCTGACATGGATGAAAAGAAACGAAAGGCTCGGCATGCTGCGGCTCACAGTGTACGCAGACAAGCACCACCAGAGCTTTGCCCCAATCAACATCATTCACCACGTGGAGATGCGTTTTTTTTTTTTTTTCCTACATGAGCACGGGAGCACGTGCTCGTGAGCACGTGAATGCGTGAGCTCAGAAGCAGGAGCACGAGCCCCCGACGCCGGACATCGGACGGACATACGGACATGGCTAGCCCCTAAGGAGCTTCGCCCCTAATAAATCTCGGGACCCCTGAAGTTGGGCGTACACTCGTGTTTGTGCCAAGCAGGGATGGGCAGTATTTCAAATACAAGTATTTGAAATACGTATTTCAAATGCTTTGTGTATTTTGAATTTGTATTTAATTACAAATTGGGTAATGTATTTGACGTGTGTATTTAAATACTAAAACGTGGGTATTTCAAATACAATTGTAATTAAATACAATTTTGTGGGAGAAAATACGTCCCTCAAATTTATTGTCACTGTCCAGAGCAGGAAGAAAACTATGTTCTGCACCGAATGCAGTATCTCTCAATCAAGCACAAATGTTTAGTGACTTTGTGATTACGGTGCTTGCTAGTCCAGGGCAAGAATAGTGACGAAATCGACGTTCACAGGCAGACTGGCCAAATAAGTGCCTGTGACAACTTGTGATGCTTTCCAGCCTGATTTTAATCTATATCAATCCATATTTTTCCTGGAACATTCTAAATGCGCAAGTCGTCCAGATTTTCGTGACTGGTGCGAGTTGCAACAATAAAAAATTCTCTAGCTAGTGCTGCGCGTCTTGGTCGTCTCGGTTCTTTATTCGTCTATACCAAAATGTAATCGACAAAAAAAGCTGCTTGAAGCTCTGTACTTTTTTCACCAATTACGTCCAAGCTGATTACATTTTTTTGTGATTATATTTCTATTACGTACTAGAGCCTCGCACACTAACTCCCGAGTGCGCGATGCAAAATTGAAATGAGATACCCAGAAACCCGTTGCAGGTGCCCTGAAGTCGCTGACGCAAATTTTGAGGAATGTATTTGGAACAGTATTTGGAGGAGACCAAATACATTTGGTTGTATTTGTACCTTGCACTTAAATGCTTTTTTTGGAAATGTAATTAGATTTGTAATTAAATACATTTTTGACGAAGTATTTTGTATTTGTATTTCGATACATATTTGCATGTATTTTGCCCATTCCTGGTGCCAAGTATATTTTTTTTATGGGGTAGACTGCCCGCCACTGTGAGCACAAGTGTCATTATGGCGCTTGTTCATATTTATTTTTCGAAAGGGTACTGGCGGGCATCAAAATTTACCACTCAGGCTAGTACCTTGTCCGAGCACTTTCCACCACTTTAATAGTTTTGATTGCAGTCCTCTAACGATTAAAGATAAACTAAGAAATCAGCTGCTGTTTATTTGTGCTAACAGTGTCGTGGAGTGTGCATTGCCCTTGGTGTTCCTTCCGACGCTCGTCATATTAATATATTTTGCACGTGGGAACAGATTGTGAGACTAAATTGGCTCCCTAGAATTAGTGCGGCTTTTATATAACCGCAGCGTAGTTGGTGAGAGTGGCGTTAATCGATCGGCTGTGGCTTTCTTCCAAAGGCGATACGTGGCGGAATTCATCAACTTTCCCAAGCCAGCCATGGCGCTGATCAATGGACCGTCAATCGGTGTGTCCTGTACCATTCTCGGGCTCTTCGACCTTGTCTACGCATCCGACAAGGCGAGTCAAAATGTCGTCAAGTTCAAAACCGAGAATGTCGGCCGTGGCGGACCCCTTGGAAGCTCGTGCATGGGCAGTGTTGCCATCTGTGTGGGGCCTGTACTTAATTAAAAGTACAAGGATGTCGGTCGACCTTTAATTGCACGTCTGATTTCAACTGCAAACTCTTCCCCTCTTTCCGCAGGCGTTCTTCCAGACTCCGTTCACCCAGTTGGGGCTGTCACCCGAGGGATGTTCGTCCTACACATTCCCGCGGATCATGGGAATTGCCAGGGTGAGATGCGAGGCGATCGGCGACCGAGCGCTTGAACGTGCCGCAAGTCGGCACGCGAGGAGCGAAAGCTCACGCTGCGGGACCGGGGCCTCCCAAGTTCGGCGCTCACCCTGGCCCGTTTCGATCTGGACGAGCGTCGTGCCGGCTTATGGTCGTGCATCGTCACCACGTGGTGCAAAGACCCCCAGGCTAGCGGGGTTACTGCACTGGCAAACTTTTTCGTCTACAATGGAGACATCAGATGCCCATTGGGCCTGACCAACTTCCCACTGTCTTAACGTACATGTATACACAACACAATTATTACTAATATACAGGACTGGCCGTTTCAGATCTCCCTGAGGGTAATTTAAGCGGTAATGATGCATGGCAGTTTCCGAGCCTTGTAACCGGTACCGGGCGTTCGCAGGCGTGCGAAGTCCTGATGATGAACAAGCAGCTGAGTGCTAAGGAGGCCGAACAGTGCGGCTTCGTCTCCAAGTGCTTCCCGGATGCCAGCTTCCAGGAGGAGACGCAGAAGAAGATCCAGGAGATGGCCAAGCTGCCACCCAAGGTTTGTGCGTGCATCCTTAAGTGCTGCCATTACTACCGCGTCTACTCGTGCGGTTGGGCGTCCTCTACAAAGAATGCCCGCATGTATCCGTGTCTGCTTCCCCGCGGGGCATGCGGATATGGCCAGACGTTGGATGAAAGGCCGATGAGTAAGCTAATCTTGCAAGCATTGTAAGATTGTGCGAATATTCAAATTTTCGAATAGTATTGTTTGGAATAATACGCCATTCAATATTTGCTCTGAGATGAACTGCAATATTCACATTTTTTGAAGCGTCGATCGCAGTGAATTAGCCGCGTTGAGCGTGCTTCTTAACAAGACACCGGTGCACTGCGGAGAAGCAGCACAGGCGAAACTCGCAGAAAGCTTGCACTTGTGTGCTGTATATGCACGTGTGCAACATCTGGATGTATGTACCCGATGTAAAATTGCTCGCGACATAAAAGGACGTATGTGTGATGTATGTATTTGAGCACCAGCATCTGCATGTCAGTGATGTATGCAAATGTGGACCATACAATATGCTTACATACTTTCCGCCCCAAATTAAAAAATGCCTCGTGTGCTGGTTCTTCCACAGTCCCTGATGCACTCCAAGACACTGGTCAGGGCACCCATCTTGGAAGATCTCCACAAGGCGAACAACCTAGAGTGCGAACGACTCGTCGAACGCTTCACTTCGGAGGAGATGATGAAAGCTGTGATGGCCTTTTTTCAAGGCAAGGGCAAGCTCTGAGTGGCGAGTCACGTGACCACGGCGAGGCCTTATTAAAGACGACTGTGAAATGAATTTTTGGCTAGGATAAATTGGTATTTTACTAATCGCATATCGTTTAGTCTACCAAAAGAAAACTAGTATGTGAGGGTAGAAAGCCAAAAGCCTGCTTTTCGGTATTAAATTTTGTCAGTAATAGCGGAGTATTTCTTACCTCCTTTCCTTCGAAAGCTCTCCGCCTTTTCACTGCAATGCATCCGGTGGCCAATAGTGCCGTGACAACACTTATCATCACTTGCGAATGACAAGTTCCATGGTGTGCTTAAAAAGCAGGGTGGAAGCTTGGAGTAATCGCATCCGATGTCCAAACACGTCACAACCACGTGATTTCTCATTTTGCTTTTGGGTTGAGGATTGAAACTAGGGAGGAAGAAGCTGAAAAATCATTTCATGGTTTCTTTAATGATACCGCATACTGTTACGGTTTTAATTGGGTTCATGGTGGGTTCTAGAATAGCGTCGTCGCCATTGCGCATGCGGTGAACACTAACCACGTTTTGCGCTCCGGGGAGGGCTCGTGATGTGCAAGAAGTTGGCTAGAGCCAAGACGAGCACAGTGAGAAAATGGCGGCTCCCAGAACCGCAGCAGTCGTTAGCGCAACGTGCTAAAATGGCGTACATCATTCTAGAACTCTCCAACATGAGGCCCACAGCTGTTAAGAGGACCTCAGAACTTTCGGGGAATCGTTTATCGAGTTTACAACTTGTTTCTTTTTTCAAGAGACCAATGTATTCTGGTCTAGACATGAACTAGGTGTTCCCTAGGGGTGTCGCACTGTCTTTCAATAAAACATTTTTACATTCCTTTCGTGGATGAGTTCTTTTTCCCAACGGAAATGTTGCAAAGCGTGTACGTAGCTTCCATGGAATGAAAAGTAGTTTTGGGTTTATTCATTCAACTTGTTTTTGTTCACATTGTGATTAACTGTTATTGACATTATTATCTTAATGGTATAACCTTGGCAATGTGAAGTAGCTGTTAAATAATTTTTTTTTTTCTTTGGAAGTTGTAGTGTACTAGGAATTAGCATTAAGTGCAATTTTCACCGAATGAACATGGTGCAGTTCGAGCTGTTTGAAAGCTGCTTCGTTTTATTAAAACTTGATATGAGAGAATCTGGCAGACTTTTTCATAGAAAAATCAACCCGTTGTGTATGACCCATTTGCAGATATATCATGTATAAAACGTTTGTATGCGATGCTTAGCGCCAGCCATGCGGAACATGTACGTAGAAAGTTCAAGGCTTTTTTGCACATAAAATAATTAATACCAGCGTGCAAAGGGCATGGGGCGAGGAACCTGGGAGACAATCCAGAAGCACTAGAAAGTACACTTCATACTGACACCACCGCTATGAAAAGGATGTAAGCAGAGGCAGCACTACTGTTGAAATATTTTTCAAATTAGAGTATTTAAAGGGCAACTCTGGTCGGGAAAACAAAACCAAAATAAATGACTGGTATCGCTTTAGTGGCACGAAATATGATCACAGCTGAAATATTACGTTGAAGTGAAGCTGCATACTCCATTAAAACCGATTTTAAAGATGGTACCAGCTGCTCTTTAGTGGGCAGCAAGCGGGTTAGCTTTTAGTCAAGGAACACTGGTGCAGCACCCTTGTGACGTCACGTCGCGGCCGTACGGCTGATGATCAGTGTTGCCATCCCTCTAGCAGATAGTTTCGGTTTTGTCATAGGCGCCCGAATCCAAACTTTGAGCCGTGATATTTATAAAACTACACACAGTATCGAGAAAAAAAAAAAAAAAAATTTAACTTTTTAATTTAGGGACACTGCTTTAGCTGAAAACAGTCATAATCCCAATTTAAAAAATATTAACAGAGAGCGATTGTTTAAATTTGTCTACAAGACATTAAACAATCGCTTCGGGAAGTGAAGAAGAACCTGGTTTATTTTTATCAATTTCCCCGCTACATTTAGCGGAGGAACTAAAGGCCCGTTCACACACTTGCAACCGAGTACGACCGAGAGATACGAGACCTGTTGAAACCTCTTAAAATTTCTTAGGACAAGAAAACACACTGGCACGCTGGCACCATCTATGCGGTGACCCTGGAACTGCATTTCACAAGACCGAAGGTTTTGCGGGATTTCTGAGGTCAAATGTGCTTAATACATATGAGAAAGACTCGTTTATAACGTTGACAAAAGTTTTTGGAGCCGAGAAAGAAAGGATAATGCCCGAGAGAAATAGAAACAAATCCCGGACCGCCAAGTTTACACTGGTACCCAATAGATGGCGGCAGTGTGACCTCGTCATAAGAGATATTAAGAGGTTCCAAGGTGGTTCTAAGAGGTTGCGAGTATGTGAACGGGCCTTAACAGTGCATAGATCACGTGACATTAATTTCCCCACCAAATCTAGCAGGGAAACTATGCGGAGAGCAAGTCATGTGCTTCTTGCGCAGGAGTTGCGGTGACGTCGGACTGATGCCGAACTCTAATTGGCTTTGATTTAAAGGATAGTGGGTAGACCTTAATGCTAGATGCCTTGAGGTCTACCCACTATTTTTTCAATCAGCCAGTAAGAGCTCGGCGTTCTGACATCCTCGCAACCCCCGTGCAAGAAGCAGACAAACTTGCGCTCCACATAGGTCCTGTGACATGTCACGTGACGTCAAGTTTCCCGGCTATATTTAGCGGAAAAACTCAATTGGTGATTGTCACGTGGTATCAGTTTCCCCGCTAAATTGAGCGTGCGGACTGAATCGGTGCATAGGTCATGCGACGTCAATTTCCCAGCAAAATTTAACAGAAATTTAACAAACAGAAAAACGGACGGACAGAATGTTTTGGATTGGGGGCTCTATTACAAAGCGTTTTATGCTCTAATACACTCTAGCACTTCTTTGGCTATTAGCAGTTTGCAGATGCTCAGCAATCCCAGTCATGCTAAACTGTGCAAGTTCTTGCTGTGCATACATATGCCTGTAAAACTTGTTCGAGTGGTTCAGATTAGCGTTCTTCCTCAACGTAACTCCGGTTTAAGATGCCAGACCTTTCTGACGTGGTGCCAGTGTGACGCAGGAACCGTTGTGTTTGCTTGCGCGTCATTTGCCGGATGACACCGAACCCAAGCACCACTTGGAGTAGGACCAGGGTTCCCATTGGAATGTCCACCGCCCGCTCTAGGGGCAGAGGCATGGCACCGGCTATGGCAAGGAATGCCAACAGCGGTAGCTGGAACAGCAAGCTCAGCAGCCAGCAACCAGCAAGTGCTGGTACCTGCAAGATAGTAATTTGGGGTTTTGTATCTACAGGGTGTTTCCAAGCACTATTGGGATGTAGAATTTGGTTTTATAAATAAACCAATTAGCTAAGTGCAATTAAACTTTTTACAAGAGTGTCTTTGGGTGGTCGATTTGTCATACTCAAACTTCACGAGCACATGTTTTGGGAAAAAAATGTGAGCCTAAAAAAACAATTTTTTATCCATGCACAGGGAGGAAAACATTAAAAACCGCCCCATTGACGTTGTTGCTCACAGATGGCGCAACATAAATTAAAAAACGTGGAAGATTTTTCTGAGGTAATCTCCCGAAAGCAGACGCAAGCATGCGCGGTCCCATCTTATTTCCGTTCTCCTTATTGGTCCTCTCCTTATTGGGCTTTGTCTGCTACGCCATTCTCTTTATTAGGCTTCGACGTCTTATCAAAAAAAAAAAAATGTATGTTTAAAAGTATTTTCCTGAGACCCACTCATAAAATTTTAAATGCACCACCTATTTATGCTTTTGTGACAAGCTTAAATGCCTTCCGTTGATTGGTTTACTTTTGTAAATATTTTGTGCCCCAATAGCGGTTGGGAACAGCCTGCACAGCCTGGACCCGATGGATCGAATCCACTTTAAATAAACCTGAAAAATCATTTCCATATGCTCAGACACTGTAATGCGGAACAAAAATGTAACTGGCTAACACAATTTTTTTACCTCTTTTTTTTAACATTGGAGAGAATTTGCTTTTATCAAAAGTTACAACTAAAAACGTTTGTTTTACAAAGTGTGCTCGAAAGAGGACAGTTCCCTGAGCTCCTGTCATGCTGCGCCATCTCACGGCATTTTTTAGAAGTGGGGGAAACCTTCGACACGCTTGCTTCATGGCAAGCGGCGCCGTTTAGACACTTCTGTTTTCACCGCGTGCTTGATCGTATTTACAGCTATACTATGTGAACCGTACCTATTGGACATGGTAGGTTTAAAAAGGTTTTAGCACCTCTTCGGCAAGGTTTCCTAAGTAGCCGAGATACAGCCGAGGAGCTTCCACGAGTGACATCATGGCCAAGATGGCGGCTGATATAGTCTGCTGCATCACTGACAGACGGTGGTACTGAAACAGCACAAAGAAACGTGAAAATGGCTTTCAAGATTGGTCCTTTGATCTCTCTGTTCACGAAGACAAGGAACTGAGGAACACCAAAAGAATCACACAGGTGGCACAGAGACGACACTTTCTTTCATTCATCCCACCTGTGTCTTATTCTTTCGGTGTTCCTCAACTCGATTAACACCCTCGTCCGTCTACAAGACAAGGAACTCGGCCGTTACAAATTATTCTAGTGTCAATTTGTTAATTTGTTATTTCATTCCCTCAAGACGAATTCAGTCTGGTGCCAAAATAACTTACCTTGATGTAGAGTGATAAAATGCGGCTTATTAGCCATAAAGGTGAGTAATGAAGGTTGAAATAAATTAGCATTTGCAGTGGCAAGCTTGTCATAAGTTCTTCGCCTGGAAATGGAAAAAGCATTGCTCCGTTTATGAGGACCCAAAGCAAATGGAAAATACTATAGAAAGTAAGAGCGCAAGCAAGCTGGTATATATAGAAGATGATTACAAAGAGCCCCGAGACAGTCAAGAGGACAGCAGAAACACAATGGTTCAAGTAAGAGTTCTTTATGTTCGTGCTGTCCTCTTGGGTGTCGGGGTTATTTTTCGATAAAATTCTTACCATGTCGAATTGCAATGCCATGCCATTTACTGTATGTTAGATGTAATCCTGGAAACACGGTCTCGGAAACTGCCTCTATTAAGCTACGAACTGAACTCATTGATCAAGTATTTTAAAGTTTTCTCAGAAATAACATATTTGAAAAACCGAACTCGTCAATGAGCGCTCTTCAATGTTTCGGTTTGAGCGTCGCTATGGCAGCCACCCAATTAGGTTTTTTGGATTCTGCAAGTGTTACAAAAAAAAAAAAGTCTGGGCTTTAAAAAAAAAATTAAACGAAATAAAAACGAGATGCGAAGGATTCTAACGTTTTAAAAAACGTAAATTAAAGCGTAATAAAAAAAAACGTTTTTAAAGCAGCGTTGAGGTGGCGCAAGCCATTGCCCAACTCGAGTAACTGTTTTGTTTATTTATCCATACGATCCATACTACTTGTAAAATATACCTTTATTTGCACCTGACAGGTGGCGCAACCTGTACATTTTTTTTTCTTCTGGTGTACGCTTCCGATCAACGGAGCTTGAGGTGTGGCCGTAAGCGCAACGATTACCTCCAAAGTTATGTTCGCGTGACGAAGTTTTCTTTTAACCGGTAAATGCCGGATCACTCACGAACCGTGCAGCTCACCCTGTGAAAACACCGTAAGCGCCCCTTCAACACACCGTCAAGATTCCACCTGTTGGACCGCGAAACAAATTCTTGTATTTACGATCAACGGTCGCTTGTTTTCCGTAGCATTTTCCATGCGAATTCCGACGTTTGTCTCGCATAGTTTTAAGCGTTTCAAGTTTTAATTCGGGCCTTGAACGTTGACAGATGCCTTGGAACAGCGTGTTGGTCGTCGGCCTCGTCTCCTTCGTTGGGAGTGGTGAGTTTCTTTCGCTGACATGTGTCACGCATACCTTTCGTGTTGACTCAACCAGTTGCATCGTTATGCATGTTTGTGCTCTGGCGTCAACACCACCACCCTTCCGTGATTCGCGTTGTTTAGAGATCGCGGTCGCAGCGGTCTCTGTTCGCGGCGAACTTACTTTTGACCAAGTTCCCTCGAGTTCGCGTTTCTTTTTATTGTTTTTGTTTCGACTGGGAAAAAAACGGCACCGGAATGTTTGAAAGTGAATACATTAGCCTAGAGTGGTTGGCCTTATTAAGAAAGAAAACAAGAATCGGGGATAGTTGACTGACTCAGAGGAGCGAGTGAGCGCGGGAACAAACCATTTAACTGTTAAATTACGTTAGAGCAGTGTATGCTTTTTCCAAATGAAATGTGTGTGTGTTTTTAAAGTTGTACTGCTACTTTCCCGAAGCTCCTACGTGTCAAAACGTTTATTGTAAACCATATAACTCGTCTTAGAAATTACCAAAACCGACCCACCTAATTAACTTGCAAATACTGCAAAACCTTTGCTAGTGAAATGCAGTTTCAGGGCCACCTCATAGATGGCGCCAGCGTGACAAGAACGCGGTCGTAATAAACGCAAGTGTGAACCAGCCTTAAGACTCTAGTTAAAGTTGAACTGTGCATACAGCAGTTTGTGGAGCTGGCTGTAATGATTAACAAAATTGTTACTTGTAAGAAGCAATTTGTTTTATGACAGTTTGTTGTATGACAGTATAAATCTAGTCTGCCTCAAGAGCATCTGACTTCCCTATCTGCTGTAGATACAAATTGCAACTTCTCTTTCATTAAAATGAAAATATCTTGAGGATGAGGAAAATACATTCGGCCTCAAAAAAGGGGGTGGTGTGGCCATTGCGCATGCTGATGCGGCGGTCATGTGCATACCGGGTAAAAGAAAACAAAACATCATTTGCAGCGATCGGCCAGAGCTGCCCGAAAGGGTGGGACGACTATGGGACGTCCTGTTACAAGTTCAACCGATCTCCAACGCGAACACGGGACGGCGCCAAGGAAGCCTGCCAGGCCTACAACTGCGAGCTGGTCTCCGTGAACACCTTCGAGGAACACCGCTTTGTTGTGGAATGGCTCAGGGAACACGACCCGCAACACCGGAGGTTAGCGTGTGAATAAAACTTTTGCCGCCTGTACTCGTACACAGCAGTAGCAGATGAACGTCTGCTATTTTTGGTGGTGTGCTTTTGCGGCGATCTCGGTGGCCAGGGTAATCGAGTGTTTTGCATTGCAACATTTTGCAGTTCTGATCCACTGTCGGGTACAGCAACAATGCAAGCGTGATCGTGAGTTAAACATTTTCGGCGGCCTATCAAAGACGTTGCCGGGTTGGCCAGTAGATGGTGCCAGACATTTTGCGGAAATTTTTCACTCAGCTCGTCTGCAAACATAGCTAATATTAAAAATGCATATATAATGACAGTTGCAGTTGCTGTGTATGGTTATAGAGGCCGTGTCTTCCTTATTTTACACGCGCTGCGGGAAGATGTTTATTGGTTTTTTATGCACCCTTTTATTTAACAAAAACGGACCCTTTTATTTCCTGAGAAGAGCATTCAACTTCCTTTTGATCTGTGTGGTGGCTTTTAATGTTCAATTGCACAGTTTGACACCTCTCGTTACAGTAATTTGATAATTTTTTTCGTTCGTCTTGCAGGTGGTTCACCAGTGGATTTGAGAGCGGAGAGAATGTCTGGACCTGGGAGGGTGACAACACACAGTTCAGCAACATTGACTCCCTCTGGCTGCCTCAGCAAGACGGCTACCTCTGGAAATACGTCTCTTACAAGTGAGTTATCTGTCCATGCTGACATGCGATAGTTGTTCTATGACTATTTCTTAACGAGAATGTTTGTTGTCTCTACAGTTGCAGATGTGTCCTGACAAATACCAAAATCATTTTTGCACTCCTGACTTTTTGGAAAACAGCTCTAATGATTCTATTTCTTGTTTCTGCACTCAGCTTCTCGACCGAGCTGAATCGCTGGGGACTTCAGAAAGTGGCTCCTGGCGATGAACTGGCTTTTATATGCGAGATTCCAAAAGAGCGTCTCTTCCAGATCTACATCCAAGAGCGTCCAATTGGTACGCTGCTCCTTTCTGCCATTTTTCCTCTCTTTCCTTCAACCGGCTTTCGTGTCTATTGTGAACTTAGCGATTTGGCTTGGAAATCTAAGTGGCTCGACTTTCTCGCTTCAAGAAAGACGCAGTCATAACACAAACTCTACATGACGTCATAATATATGAAAATGTAGGATGTAACACAGGAATGCACTTACTAACTTACTAATCTGACTTTTTTTGTTTTTTTTCTTATTCTTGTTACTGCTTTTATAGAGTGCTGCATTGCCTTTTTCAACTTCATGGTATTCTTTTGTTTTGTTCCAAATCCATGACCTAATGTTTGATATTTGTGGCATTTTTGTTTATTAAGTTTCATATAAGTGTTTTGTGTATCTTTTTTTTATTATGTTTAGACCCCTTTACAATAATGCCCAAAAGGGTGCTGTAGGTATTGAATAAATAAATCACCTGAAGTAACTTCGAGAGTTGGGCTAGGTGGTATTCATTGTTTATATGTGGAAACAGCGCAAAAAGCATGGGCGGGGTGAAAGAAACTGAGAAACAGGACGAATGCTGTCATATTTGCGTTTTCCTTCTTCTCCATCCGTGTTTTTTGCGCTGTTTCTACATTATGATAGGTAAATCACATCTTCGTGGAAGATTACAATTCCTGAGGTTGAACAGCCAACCCATTCAGTGCACTAAATAAATTGCACAGTAAAATTAATCGCTCTCTATGTTTTTTCCTAACATAACACTGAAACATTAGCACAAATTTAGGCATACAGTCAACATTGGGCACGACGTTCCTTTCTGCAGATTTCGGTTACATCATCACCAACCGGGAAGAGGTACCTCGCGGTCCCTATTTCACGGAGGAACCGGAAGAGGTCATCTTCGATTTGAGCGGGCGCAGCCAGATGAACGAGATCTCGCTCCGTTGCGTCGCTTCCGGTTACCCGCCGCCCGTCTACAAGTGGTTCAAGGTAGGCGCCTCGCACCACTGCATTTACGCTGCCTTGCGTCTTTGACCGGGTTGTTGTTGGTAGATGTTCGGATAGACAAGGTGTGGCGTTGACATCCCGCGGATGTTCGTTGCCTTCCAGGAGGAGTACTATGACGACAAACTGCTGAACATCTACATCGATCCACTTTCGAACGGACGCTACACCCAGACGGATGGCACACTCGTTATCCACGACCCAGACCAGGTGACGATGCGACACTCGCGAAAATTGCCAAGTTTGCCGCGATTACCGCTTTGCCGCTGGCTAACATATCCTAGGATATCGGCCCTTATTTAACGTACTAGTTAGTGACAAGCTGTAAAAAGAGTGACTCGAAAGGCTGAGTGTCGTGCAAAAACGACAAGTAATGAGTAGGGTACAGGGGCTTCAAAACCATCCCCTTAAGTCTCAAGAAATAACTGTAGAGCTGATTTAAAGTCAAGGAAACCCGATAAACCCCAAATTGGAGTTGTCCTTGACTAAGGAGACCTCGAGCTTCACGGGAAAAAAAAATCTTCATCTACAGTCATATTTTTTGTGGTCCCTAAACACAGCGTCCACTGAACTGTCCATGAGGCTTCTGCTTCCTTTGGGAACCGCTTCCCTTATTTTACTTTACTCTCTTATTACTACTGGAACATTTTCCGAGCGTTCGGGTCAAGTGCACATTCTTTGGAGGTTTGGATAATCCCATGCCTGTGTCCCGTTTTCTTCCACCTGAGCTCAGATAAACTCGGATCTTCTGTGCAACACTAAACACCGAAGCTAAAAAGGAATAATCCCCCAAAAAGCACTTCCTAATTTTGAAAAAAAGAAAAAAATAAAGCCTGAAAACATAGAAACGTGGTGATAATGAGGATGGGCGCTGTGTCGCGACAACTGACACGACATCGTGGCCAATTTTGGTGCTTCGCGGTGCAGGCCAAGGACAGGGGCAAGTACCACTGCACGGCCGAAAACAAGTATGGCCGCGTGCTGTCCCGGTCGGTGTCCCTGGGCTTCGGCTACATTGGCGAGTTCAACAAGAACAGGGCCGGAGACAGCGGCAAAGAATACTGGGGTATGTGTATACATTTAAGCCTGTACTTTAATAAGAGTACATATTTTTTCCTTTTCATGTTATGAAGATATTAGAATGGGGGTGGGGGAGGGGTGGGACATGCAGGTTTCATTCACCGCATACTTTTCTGACCCACAGGCAAGTCGATCGCCTGCGATCCGCCGCAGTTCAACCCGTCTGTGCACTACTTTTGGGTGCGCAACTCCTTCCCTGAGTTTGTGGAGGAGGACAACCGAGTCTTTGTGTCGCACGACGGCAACCTGTACTTCTCGTCCCTGGAGAAGATAGACAACGCCAACTACTCGTGCAACGTGCAGAGCAAGATCTCCTCCACGGGACGCACGGGACCGTACTTCCGTGTCACCGTCGACCCCGCCTGTGAGTTGTGTCTTGTTGGAAATGGCTTTATTGAATGAGTGTGTCAAAGTCATCTCCAGAAGCGTGCCAAGTGATTTTTTTTCCCGCCGTCTTTTTTAAAACATTCCCCTAGCTGCGATGCACAGCTTTAAACCTGGCTCTTGAAGAGAAAGAATTCACTATGATGTTAAATTTTGACATTCAATATGGATCAGTCTGCTCACTTTTTTTATAAACACAAGTGTGAGTGCATTTGAAGTGTTCATTATCGTGTTGATTATAGTTGACAGAAGTGTTGTATATGTGCGAGTCACCCTCACCTAACTTTTTTATTTGATGTTGAAATTGTTTGTATACCACGCCTGCTATAACCTGATCAAAAGATGAATTTAAAAAAAATTGTTTATTTATAACTTTACCATAGTATTTTATTACAAAATTCTCAAGTGCAGTGATAACAATGTCGATCAGTAGTTGTGATGGCATTCCATTTTATTTGAACTGCAGTGAATGATTGTCCTCTTAATTTATTCACCTGTAGACATCCGAGAAGCAGTTCCAGCCATCAGATCAGACAATGGCGGAAAAGCACGAGCTATTGGAAAATCGTGCAAATTTCTGTTCCCAGTGTTGCCTCAGTAACAGTTGACCCATTGGCAGCCCACTAATGAGTTAATATTAATGTTTTTATTGCCAGCTTTACTGTGGTTGTCGGCATCATTTAGACATGATATTGCAACTGTAATCCTATTGTGTCCCAGAGGAGTCATATGGGCCATTCGTTTTGGTGCAAACTTTGTATAGGCCCCCCGCAAAAAATACTTCCATCTCTGGCATTCCTCTTCCAAAGGGGAAACTAGCAAGATACAGAACCGGTTCGTTTTGAATCTGTGTATAGTTTTATTAGTGCTTTCAAATGGCTAATAGATTTATTTATTTCTTGCTTTCTGTAGCGAGCGGACAGAAACTGCTGTTCCCCAACAACTTCCCCAAGTCGTTTCCCGAAGCTCCGTTGGCAGGAAACGAAGTGCGTCTCGAGTGTGTCGCATACGGATAGTGAGTGCCTCCTTTTATTCATAGTGTAATGCATTGCAAGCACTGTGAATGTACTGGACAGCATGTTTTTCGCGAAAACAACTTGCAGACAGTTAAAAAAAATTCACTTATGTCCCTGCAAGTTGCATGCAATGCTGGCACCCAGTGTTTCCGATGTTGCATGCAATATCAGGCACTCAGATTGCCGAGCATGCACAAGACTCCCAACTAAGAATGGCTGGGGCTGAGAAAGTAACTGTGCAACCTGCGGTGAAGTTTCAGCATGCAAAACTGATTTCAGCGTTGCATGCTGACAACAAGAAACAACGTGACTGAAGATGCACAAGCCAAAAATATGGACAGACACCCTGTGTGTCCACCTCTTCATACCTTGTTGCTTACGACACCAGCACGCAAGAGCCCAACCTCATGTCTCATTGCATGCAACACACACAGCCCATAACCAAGTTGCACACAACACAAGAAACTTGCAAGCCAATGTTGTGTGCAGCTTTCTCCACTTGCGTTACCAGTGTTGCATGCAACCCACAGGGGCTTCAGCGGCCCGCTCGTCTTTCCGCAGCCCTGTCCCGAAGTACAACTGGACGCGCCGGGGCGGTCCCATGCCCCGGGGGGCTCGGATAGAGTCGCGGGGACGAGTCCTCCTGCTTCCACGGATCCGTGTTGAAGACATGGGGGAATACGTCTGCAGCGCCTCGACGGGGCAGGACGCCATCCACAAGGCAGTCACCCTCAGCGTGCAGGGTGAGCGCCGCTTTTGGGTAACCAGGCGTCCCGTCTTGGCCGGGACAGTCCCGTTTATGGGGTCCATTTCTGCCACCTCGCTGGATTGTCACAAAGAAGCCTCGTGTCCCGGTTTCGTGGGAACGTGCACGTTACGGAATCAGTACAGTACTAAGTGGGTCGAAAAAAACAGAAAGATTGTGAAAACTTGTTACGGACGTGTTTTCATTAGAATTAACCTACTGTGACAATGGTACACCCCGCCGAGTACAATTTCAAGCTTTTTCTGCCGACCCACTTGGTTTGCATAGGCATGTGTACAGGAGAACTTTTCTAATTTTCTAAATTTGGCATGCTTTGGTTGAGAGAATAGTTTTTCTATTGTTTAGAAATGGGCAACCGGGGCATATGTGTTCTCAATGTAGCACTCCAGAAAAATGTGTGTTTTTACGTTGAACTGGACAGTAGATGAGCTCTCTTCCCTGCCCTCCACCCCCCACTTTTCTGTTTTCTACTTTGAGGGACATGGTCACTTTCTACTTGCATGTCAGTCAACATTCCATCAAGTTATATGCTGAAATTCTTTTTGGAAACCATAAGAGTTCAAACAAAGCGTCATGTGGCACTGGAGTTGGTAGCACAGGTAGCTTGTGTTTTGAAGCAGCAAAATCATTGAGCAAAATGATGGAATTTGCAAGCAGACTGTTTTTTTGTTGTAAAATGTTTGCGTATACCCTGTCTTTTTTTTTTTTTTTTCGCCTCTTTTATTTTTAGGGCATAGTTACGGTTACATAATTGTCAGTGCTTTCATACTTTGGGGTCATTTTTTCACGGCGGATTTTGGAGAGGTGTTTAAGTCCTCGGGTCATGGCTGTTTCCTGTCTTCCTTTCTTTGTCGCAAGCTGGTTTTTCACGTTGGGCCTGCTCCCAAATCAAACTGCCTTAATTTTCGGAAGAAAAATCTGCCTCATATTTGAAGACTGAAGGTTAGTGAAGTGCGGCTGCTCGTTAGCAGTGAAACCTGCACCACCACTAAGATTAGCGTTTCCCCGATGTCACCAGCCGCTCCGGAGTTCACGATCCCGCTGGAAAATCAGGTGATGGACGAAGGGACCAAGTTTACGTGGACCTGCGAAGCATTCGGGATCCCCGAAGTGACATACGACTGGTACAGGAACGGCGAGCTACTCGTGGTGAATAGCAGCAGTGATCAGCAGGCACGATACAAGGTGAGCGATCTTGACAAATATGCATACTAGATTGGCTTATTGGAGCTACTCGTCGTAGCATAGTTGTCTTCAAGGATGCAAGTAGGTAGTGGACAGGTTGTGACAGATAATTTGACTGAAAAAGTGGACCAAGGAACAATTCCTCTTTTGTTTGTTTTGATACGAAGAGCTCTTCTGAGTGGCACTTGTTGTGTCACACATGCGGAGGCAGAAAATTTGTCGTTCATTCCTTGTTTCAGTTTTTTTTTTTACAATATCGGTACGATTAAAGCAAGACCTAATTTCCATTTCATGCTAATACTTCGCAGCGCACAACAGACAACACACCATCAAAACAGATACACACAAAGAAACAACACTCACGCAGCGCTGACTGTCAACTCTCGGATATATTAATCTTCGTTCTTATCTTTCACCCTTACGCACTAAAAAAGAACTAAATGTTAACCAAGGAAGAACAGCGAAAGAAAAATAAAAATAAAAATAAAAAGAAAGGGGAAAGATTAATATAGGAAAGAAAGATGGAAAGAAATGGAAGAAAATAAGATCTAGTCCTACTACAGTAAAATTACTGAGGAGGTTTTCCTAAATAATATAACTCTTTTCTTGATAAGCTAATCGACGGGGTACTAACGCATACTCCGTCTAGCAGGTCTATGCTCGCGGCTTCGATGATTTCTCGAGTTAGTTTGTTGTTGCTTCGTCCCAGTACTGTGCAATTGCCAAGAAGGGGGGAACATCCACAATCTCTACAATGAATGCCCAGATGGCCTGAGTTAGCGTTAATGGCGTTGCAGTTATGTTCCCGGAGCCTGTCATTGAGACAGCGCCCCGTCTGCCCAACGTAACGCTTCCCGCACGTAAGAGGGAACGAATATATCACTCCCTCTGCACAGGAAACGAACTTGGTCTTGTGATTTTTCGTGCAGCACTCTGTTCGAATAGGCTGCCCATTCACCCGCTTGCACAGGCTGGAAAGTCTCTGCGGAGCTGAGAAAACCACGTCGACGTTGACTCTGCTAGCTACTTTTTTAAGCTTGTGTGACATGTTGTGAATATAGGGCACTATAACAGGCCTTGTAGTGCGTTCTCTTTTTCGGTAGTTAGAAGCTTCGGCTTGCTTGACCTCCTTAAGTAGGCATTCTGAGACTGAAATTAATATCGACAAAGGGTATCCTGCTGAAACCAAGCGAGTTGTTTGCGTTCTGAAGCTCATGTCGGTCATGTGCACGCAGGATTTCTTGAGGGAGTTTTTTAGGCAAAGTTTTGCAATGCCTCGTTTAACAAGTTTCGAGTGTGCGGAACTATGATGAAGTAGTGGCTTTTTTGCCCTCGGTTCATAAGACCAGCAGATGTGACAGTTTTTAAGGAACAATCGAAGGTCTAAGAATCTTATGGAATGCTCGACCGGAAGTTCGTGGGTAAGTTTTAACGGATCAAGGTATTTCTGGAAGGTAGAAAGAACATCGGCCACCAAGGTGGGGAAGGTGCGACTGTTACTGTCAAGAAAAACCAAGTAGTCATCCACGTAACGAAAAACACGCACTATTTTTGAACTGTCTAAGTTTTGCTGTAAGATTCTGTTGTGGAATGCCAGAAAGAGGTCGCTGAGCACAGGAGCTATACAGGACCCTATACATATTCCTGTTTTTTGTAAATATGTTGATCCATTCCAGGTGGCAAAGGTAGAATGCAAATAGGTCGATATTAGGTCCAGGAAACCCTTAATGGACACCCCTGCTGCATTTTGGAAGGCTATTACACCAAAGGAGTCAACACTGTCCTCTATGCACATCAGGAGCCGATCTTGAGGTAGGGCATAATAGAGATCCTTTACATCAATAGAAAAAGCCATGAGTCGTCTGTCCTTTGGTTCTTGAAGAAATTGCAAGACGTCATCCGAGCTTCTAATCAAATACGGATCATTTATGTCAAGAAGGTTTAGTTTTTCTTGAAGGAACAAAGCGATGGATTTTTGCCACGTGCCTCTTTCAGACACAATCACCCTGAGGGGGCACTCGGTTTTATGTGTTTTGGCATTGAAGAAAATCTCAAGGCTAGACAGTTTTTTACGGTCAATGGATGAAGCAAGTTGCTTCAGGTCCAGCGAATTACATAATTGCTTGGCTCTGCTTTTGATTGTACTTAAGGAAATGTCATAATGGCACTGAAAAACGGACTCTACGGCTGCACAGGCCTTAGTGCCAAACTCGCTTTTATGCATGAGCACGAAACCACCTTCCTTGTCCGCAGGAAGAAGAGATAGGCTATGCTCTTTTAAGTATGCTTCGACCTTCTTTATGGACAGTGGTCTTACCGGATGTTTATGATGTGAAAGAACGTCTACACCTTCTGAAATGCACCGATCAACGTCAGTGAGAGAGGTTCTCTGAGATACCTGCCGGACCAAAGATAACAGCTCAGGTGCCGACTTGCGGGGTTCAACCGCAAACTTAGGGCCAAAGCTGAGTACCTTTCGCACTCCTGGAGGCAAGGAGATGTCACCAATGACATGAAGAGGTAGGCTTTGGGTTCTTGTCTTGCGAGGAGTGATAGATCTAAGATGCTTTAGGGTGAGTCGCCACAGAGACTCAGTTGTACGATCCGTCAGGATGGAGTACTCGCGCCACACTCTTCCTCCATAGGGTGGACTCGCTTGGTTGTGCAGAAACACGTACAAACTGTTCCTATAAAGTCTTGCCTGTCGATACCACTCAGCTTGTAGAATCTTGCAAAGCCTTCTGCCGTGGCCTACGGACGGGGTAAAACCTCCGAACAGGACCTTGACTTCTGGAGGTAGAAGGTGTACTCGGAGGCAATAACTGAATGTCCGCGCTTGGCAAATACCAATAGCAATAAGGGTGACCAGGACGTTGGGATGCAAATGGTAAAACTGAACGGAGCCCGATGTACTAGAAATGAACTTGGTCAATACTTCAGCTTGGGCGAGTTGGTTAAACATGCTAATACTTCGCAGCGCACAACAGACAACACACCATCAAAACAGATACACACAAAGAAACAACACTCACGCAGCGCTGACTGTCAACTCTCGGATATATTAATCTTCGTTCTTATCTTTCACCCTTACGCACTAAAAAAGAACTAAATGTTAACCAAGGAAGAACAGCGAAAGAAAAATAAAAATAAAAATAAAAAGAAAGGGGAAAGATTAATATAGGAAAGAAAGATGGAAAGAAATGGAAGAAAATAAGATCTAGTCCTACTACAGTAAAATTACTGAGGAGGTTTTCCTAAATAATATAACTCTTTTCTTGATAAGCTAATCGACGGGGTACTAACGCATACTCCGTCTAGCAGGTCTATGCTCGCGGCTTCGATGATTTCTCGAGTTAGTTTGTTGTTGCTTCGTCCCAGTACTGTGCAATTGCCAAGAAGGGGGGAACATCCACAATCTCTACAATGAATGCCCAGATGGCCTGAGTTAGCGTTAATGGCGTTGCAGTTATGTTCCCGGAGCCTGTCATTGAGACAGCGCCCCGTCTGCCCAACGTAACGCTTCCCGCACGTAAGAGGGAACGAATATATCACTCCCTCTGCACAGGAAACGAACTTGGTCTTGTGATTTTTCGTGCAGCACTCTGTTCGAATAGGCTGCCCATTCACCCGCTTGCACAGGCTGGAAAGTCTCTGCGGAGCTGAGAAAACCACGTCGACGTTGACTCTGCTAGCTACTTTTTTAAGCTTGTGTGACATGTTGTGAATATAGGGCACTATAACAGGCCTTGTAGTGCGTTCTCTTTTTTTCGGTAGTTAGAAGCTTCGGCTTGCTTGACCTCCTTAAGTAGGCATTCTGAGACTGAAATTAATATCGACAAAGGGTATCCTGCTGAAACCAAGCGAGTTGTTTGCGTTCTGAAGCTCATGTCGGTCATGTGCACGCAGGATTTCTTGAGGGAGTTTTTTAGGCAAAGTTTTGCAATGCCTCGTTTAACAAGTTTCGAGTGTGCGGAACTATGATGAAGTAGTGGCTTTTTTGCCCTCGGTTCATAAGACCAGCAGATGTGACAGTTTTTAAGGAACAATCGAAGGTCTAAGAATCTTATGGAATGCTCGACCGGAAGTTCGTGGGTAAGTTTTAACGGATCAAGGTATTTCTGGAAGGTAGAAAGAACATCGGCCACCAAGGTGGGGAAGGTGCGACTGTTACTGTCAGGAAAAACCAAGTAGTCATCCACGTAACGAAAAACACGCACTATTTTTGAACTGTCTAAGTTTTGCTGTAAGATTCTGTTGTGGAATGCCAGAAAGAGGTCGCTGAGCACAGGAGCTATACAGGACCCTATACATATTCCTGTTTTTTGTAAATATGTTGATCCATTCCAGGTGGCAAAGGTAGAATGCAAATAGGTCGATATTAGGTCCAGGAAACCCTTAATGGACACCCCTGCTGCATTTTGGAAGGCTATTACACCAAAGGAGTCAACACTGTCCTCTATGCACATCAGGAGCCGATCTTGAGGTAGGGCATAATAGAGATCCTTTACATCAATAGAAAAAGCCATGAGTCGTCTGTCCTTTGGTTCTTGAAGAAATTGCAAGACGTCATCCGAGCTTCTAATCAAATACGGATCATTTATGTCAAGAAGGTTTAGTTTTTCTTGAAGGAAACAAAGCGATGGGATTTTTGCCACGTGCCTCTTTCAGACACAATCACCCTGAGGGGGCACTCGGGTTTTATGTGTTTTGGCATTGAAGAAAATCTCAAGGCTAGACAGTTTTTTACGGTCAATGGATGAAGCAAGTTGCTTCAGGTCCAGCGAATTACATAATTGCTTGGCTCTGCTTTTGATTGTACTTAAGAAATGTCATAATGGCACTGAAAAACGGACCTCTACGGCTGCACAGGCCTTAGTGCCAAACTCGCTTTGCATGAGCACGAAACCACCTTCCTTGTCCGCAGGAAGAAGAGATAGGCTATGCTCTTTTAAGTATGCTTCGACCTTCTTTATGGACAGTGGTCTTACCGGATGTTTATGATGTGAAAGAACGTCTACACCTTCTGAAATGCACCGATCAACGTCAGTGAGAGAGGTTCTCTGAGATACCTGCCGGACCAAAGATAACAGCTCAGGTGCCGACTTGCGGGGTTCAACCGCAAACTTAGGGCCAAAGCTGAGTACCTTTCGCACTCCTGGAGGTAAGGAGATGTCACCAATGACATGAAGAGGTAGGCTTTGGGTTCTTGTCTTGCGAGGAGTGATAGATCTAAGATGCTTTAGGGTGAGTCGCCACAGAGACTCAGTTGTACGATCCGTCAGGATGGAGTACTCGCGCCACACTCTTCCTCCATAGGGTGGACTCGCTTGGTTGTGCAGAAACACGTACAAACTGTTCCTATAAAGTCTTGCCTGTCGATACCACTCAGCTTGTAGAATCTTGCAAAGCCTTCTGCCGTGGCCTACGGACGGGGTAAAACCTACGAACTTACCCACGAACTTCCGGTCGAGCATTCCATAAGATTCTTAGACCTTCGATTGTTCCTTAAAAACTGTCACATCTGCTGGTCTTATGAACCGAGGGCAAAAAAGCCACTACTTCATCATAGTTCCGCACACTCGAAACTTGTTAAACGAGGCATTGCAAAACTTTGCCTAAAAAAACTCCCTCAAGAAATCCTGCGTGCACATGACCGACATGAGCTTCAGAACGCAAACAACTCGCTTGGTTTCAGCAGGATACCCTTTGTCGATATTAATTTCAGTCTCAGAATGCCTACTTAAGGAGGTCAAGCAAGCCGAAGCTTCTAACTACCGAAAAAGAGAACGCACTACAAGGCCTGTTATAGTGCCCTATATTCACAACATGTCACACAAGCTTAAAAAAGTAGCTAGCAGAGTCAACGTCGACGTGGTTTTCTCAGCTCCGCAGAGACTTTCCAGCCTGTGCAAGCGGGTGAATGGGCAGCCTATTCGAACAGAGTGCTGCACGAAAAATCACAAGACCAAGTTCGTTTCCTGTGCAGAGGGAGTGATATATTCGTTCCCTCTTACGTGCGGGAAGCGTTACGTTGGGCAGACGGGGCGCTGTCTCAATGACAGGCTCCGGGAACATAACTGCAACGCCATTAACGCTAACTCAGGCCATCTGGGCATTCATTGTAGAGATTGTGGATGTTCCCCCCTTCTTGGCAATTGCACAGTACTGGGACGAAGCAACAACAAACTAACTCGAGAAATCATCGAAGCCGCGAGCATAGACCTGCTAGACGGAGTATGCGTTAGTACCCCGTCGATTAGCTTATCAAGAAAAGAGTTATATTATTTAGGAAAACCTCCTCAGTAATTTTACTGTAGTAGGACTAGATCTTATTTTCTTCCATTTCTTTCCATCTTTCTTTCCTATATTAATCTTTCCCCTTTCTTTTTATTTTTATTTTTATTTTTCTTTCGCTGTTCTTCCTTGGTTAACATTTAGTTCTTTTTTAGTGCGTAAGGGTGAAAGATAAGAACGAAGATTAATATATCCGAGAGTTGACAGTCAGCGCTGCGTGAGTGTTGTTTCTTTGTGTGTATCTGTTTTGATGGTGTGTTGTCTGTTGTGCGCTGCGAAGTATTAGCATGTTTAACCAACTCGCCCAAGCTGAAGTATTGACCAAATTCCATTTCATGTTTCGAGCTATAAGGGACGTGTTCCTATCTCTTGGCGGATAAGGCTAAAAGAACCGCCTGTATCTTTGGTGTACCCCAAGGATGCACTGTACACCTATGTCACTTATATTACTACCTAGTTCCTCCGTGGCTTCACGGTGTCACATGATGTCACAGTGCTTCATCATGTCACCTGACGTCACAGCGGGACATAATGCCATGTGACATATGTGGTGCCATGCCGTTAGTGTCATGTGACATCATAGTGTCATGTGACATCATAGTGCTATGCGACATCATAGTGTCATGTGACATTATAGTGCCATGAAACATCATAGTATCATGTGACATAGTGCCATGGAACATCATAGTGGCATGTGACATAGTGTTATGTGACAGTATAGTGTCATGTGACATCAAATGCCATGTGACATCATAATGCCATGTGGCATAGTGTCATATGACACTATAGTGCTGTGTGACATAATGGTGTCGCATGTCAACTACCATGTTGGTCACATCATGTGAACACTGATGTCATCACAGTGTTCACATGATGACATCACAGTGACCCTTTTGAAAAGCTATCGACATTGAAGGAACATTGCAACGTCATCAGCGTGATGCTACAAAAAAGGCCACGTCTCAAGAAAGTACTAAGAGCTGGCCCCCAAAAAATTGGTTGCTCCTCTCTTTAAATGTTACCTTTTGTCACTGTTGCCAGGTGGATAACAACATCTTTATAATAGAGGAGTTGGTGAGGAAAGAAGACGAAGGGATGTATCAGTGTTGTGCGACCAACACGCTGGGGTCAACCTACTCCTCGGCTCAGCTGAGAATTGTCAGTAAGTATCCTTCGTTTCAACAGCCATCTTTGCCTCGTCCCAGAATTACTTGAGTCCCAGGTAATTCTGCATAGGAAGCAAATTTTTTCATCAATCTAAATAGAAAAAAAAAAAAATTTACATCAAAAAACAAAATTCTTTTGAGAGCTAAATTTATGGTGCGAGATGATGTTTTATCATGCAAGGTGTAACGGTCCTCCTTTCTACTTTTCTGTCTCGCGCCTGTGCGCTCCGCACAGGCGCGAGAGAGAAAAGTAAAAGAGAGGTAAGTTGCTTGGATTGGCTTGGCTGCTCGGCTAAAAAACGTATGCAAGCCTCGTGCGACTTACGCTCAACTTCGGTGCGCTCTGTGTGCTTGGGTTTTTGTGCTGGTGGTGATAGCAGTCGTAGTCTGCGTCTTTTGCGATGGATCCGGAGTTGAAGCGTAGATTTCTCGAATGCATCAGGCAGCTAGGGCTTGGCCCCTATGAGGACACGCCTCAAAGACCAGTGAATGTCCCCGCGGAAAGCTTCGAGGCCAGCGATGTGGCTGTGGACAGCGGTGCCAGTGGGTCACAGCTCCCACTCGAATCGTATGAGTCAAAATGGTAGCAACAATTTTTTTATACTTGTTGTTTCTGAAACATCAAAATATTTTGTTATAAAAAAAAGTGCAACAAAAAACGAAGATTATTAAGTAACTTTGGAGCCGGTAGGAAGCTCCCGGAAGAGCGCAAGCACCATGTGACTATAGTGGCCATTCACGTGACTGGTAGTTGCCACTTTCCTATCGGCTCCCACAGGCTCCCGCGGGCGTTAACTAGAAATTCATTTTGCATTGTAAACATAGCTTTAAAAATATTGTTTTTCTCTAAGCTCTTTAAAAAAAAATATAATTCCTTTGCATTTGTTTTTTAAGGTGTAACGCTTCAACTCGTCTCTTGTTTGCATTTGATGCATTTCTTTTTTGGAAGGGTCATACTTTTGCTGACTTTGCTAAGTGAACTTAAAACTTTTTTGTCTAGTTTAAAAAGACTTACTCTAAACGACTTAATTTTCGCGAATAGCCTACAGCTTGTGAATAATAGGTCCCGCAAACAATTCCGGTAAAATGTAAACACATTGGAATCTATATTGAGATCTCACCGTGTCGCAAAAATCGAAACCCGCTAATTATTCCAAAACTTCAGCTTTGACCTAAATCGCAAACTATTGAGCCCGCAAAAAATAACTTGTTTAGAGTAATTGGGATGCGCCGCGGTGCAGCATTCCCTAGGGACTATAACTGTTGCTACCTCCGCCTTTTACACAGAGCGTATTCAGGGCTAAAATTTTGTTTAAAAAAAATGTCCCAAAAATGTGTACTGCAAAAGTTGACACGCTAAATCTAGCAGACTTGCTTCATGCAGCTAATTTAAGCGAGAGGCATTTTCTCGCTAAATTTAGCGGGGAAATTGAATTAGTGTATAATTATAGACCGATTAGGCTAGCAGTTGTCACGCTGAGTTTTGTTGATTGATCACGGTAATTTTTGCTGGATTTAGCAGAATTCAGCTTGACTCCCGAGCTCATGAAAACTCTGAAATAAACACCTGGTGCATCGAGCACACACTACACATCCTGTGTCTCTCGACTTGATCTCTAGGATTAAAGGACACATGCAAAGGAAAAAAACATTTTTTTAAACAGCTTAGATGGAAAAAGGATATCATAAAACAATTTTTTCAACCAAGAAAAAAAGATTTCAAAACTATAATTACGGCGCTATACGAATTTGTAGTTGGCGCCGGCGGGCGCCGCGGAAAAGTGGCCCTTGACGGGCCCATATTTGTCACGTGGTGCTTGCGCTCTTTCGGAAGCTTCCTATGGCCTCTAAAAGTAACTTATTCATCTTTGTTTGAAGTATAACAAAAAAACTAAGATGAATAAGTAACTTTTAGAGCCCAAAGTAAACTCCTGAAAAAGCGCAAGCAGACGTGATAGACCTGTGCGCCGGTCAGACGACGGCGGCGGCGCCCCGAAGCAGACGAACTTGTGCGGCGGTGGCGACGGCGGCTTGGAGAAACGTGTTGAAGCGGCGTTCGCACAACGCTCAGCGTGCGGCGGCGACGCAGCGCGGCGGCACGCGGGCCTACCACGTGACTAGCGGCGGCTCTCGCAAGCGCCAACTACAAATTTGTATAGCGCCGTAAATATAGCTCTAAAAATGTTTTTTCTTTGTTGTAAAATCGTTTAATGACATCCTTTTTCCATCTAAGCTGTCTAAAAAAAAATGTTTTTTTCCTTTGCATGTGTCCTTTAAGATAAATGTAATTATATTGTGCCCACCCCTGTTCTGGAAATGAGCAGTCCTGCTCAAATCCAAAGGTAAAGATTGCTGCAACACTTTATCGAATCG